GAGCAAATGTGAAGATGAGAAGGTGTGAGAAGGTGTGAAGACGAGAAGGTGTGAAGATGAGCAGATGTGAAGATGAGCAGATGTGAAGATGAGCAGGTGTGAAGATGAGCAGATGTGAAGATGGGCAGATGTGAAGATGAGCAGGTGTGAAGATGAGCAGATGTCAAGATGAGCAGATGTGAAGATGAGCAGATGTGAAGATGAGCAGATGTGAAGATGAGCAGATGTGAAGATGAGCAGATGTGAAGATGAGCAGATGTGAAGATGAGCAGATGTGAAGATGAGCAAATGTGAAGATGAGCAGGTGTGAAGATGAGAAGGTGTGAAGATGAGAAGGTGTGAAGATGAGCAGATGTGAAGATGAGCAAATGTGAAGATGAGAAGGTGTGAGAAGGTGTGAAGATGAGAAGGTGTGAAGATGAGCAGATGTGAAGATGAGCAGATGTGAAGATGAGAAGGTGTGAGAAGGTGTGAAGATGAGAAGGTGTGAAGATGAGAAGGTGTGAAGATGAGAAGGTGAGATACAGACCCCCACTATTGGAAGAACCATGCGCTCAGACGCTCTCGGGAAAAAAAATCATGCCAACCTCAGCAAAGAAATGTGATGCTAAAGTGTTACCCATTACCCACTAACTCCACAACCCCAAAATGAGTGAATCCCACTGTAACCTCATTAATCCATTCATATCCCTTTGGGGGTAAAATTAAACATGCCTACTAAACATGCCAAGCAAACAAGTCAGGATTTCTTAAAACTCGCCGGCAAGACCTGAACATGACAGGGATGACCGGAAAACAAACACGCCAAAGAATCAACGGGGCAAGAAAACAAAACATGTAAGCAAGGCTGCTTTTACACACACACATTGCCCCTGTCACACAGAAACACCTGTTACACAGAAACCCTGGTGCACACACGCCATTTTACACAGAGACGCTTTAAGACACAAACCCTTTTACACACAGACACTTTTACACACAAAAGCTTTTACACACAGACACTTCTACACAGGTGCACTTCTACACGCAAACACTTTTACACACAAACATCTTTACACAGAAACACTCTTACACAGAAACCCTTTTACACAGAGACACTTTTACGCACAAAAGTTTTGACACACAATGGCTTTTACACAGATGCACTTGTACACACAAACACTTTTACACTCAAACATCTTTACACCGAAACACTCCGACACACAAACACGTTTACACACAAACACTTTTACACACAGAAGCTTTTACACACAATCACGTTTAAACAGATGCAATTTTACATACAATCACTTGTACACACCAACATCTTTACACAGAAACACTCGTACACACAAACCCGTTTACACACAAAGACTTTTACACACAGAAGGTTTTACACACAACACTTTTACACAGATGCACTTGTACAAACATCTTTACACAGAAACGCTCGTACACCCAAACCTCTTTGCGTGCGAAAGAGTTACTCCAGCACACGAAAAATCGCAATTTTACCTCAGTTTTTGCCGATCGACCCTCATTTCGTGCGAAAGGCTTGCTCCGGCACACGAAAAATCGCAACTTTACCTCAGTTTTTGCCGATCGAGCCTCATTTCGTGCGAAAGGGTTGCTCCGGCACAAGTCAAATCGCAATTTTACGTCAGTTTTTGCCGATCGAGCCTCATTTCGTGCGAAAGGGTTGCTCCGGGACAAGTCAAATCGCAATTTTACGTCAGTTTTTGCCGATCGACCCTCATTTCGTGCGAAAGGGTTGCTCCAGCACAAGTCAAATCGCAATTTTACCTCAGTTTTTGCCGATCGACCCTCATTTCGTGCGAAAGGGTTGCTCCGGCACAAGTCAAATCGCAATTTTTCCTCAGTTTTTGCCGATCGACCCTCATTTCGTGCGAAAGGGTTGACGTTTCGTGACTCACCGCCGGTACCACCCTCAGCCTAAAGAGAGAAAGATAAAGAAGGCGAGAGAGAGAAAAAGGAGAGAGAAAGGAGAGAGAGAAAGGAGAGAGAGTGAGAGAGAGAGAAGATGTGAAGACGAGAAGGTGTGAGCGAAGGTGTGAAGATGAGAAGGTGTGAGAGAAGATGTGAAGATGAGAAGGTGTGAGAGAAGATGTGAAGATGAGAAGGTGTGAGAGAAGATGTGAAGATGAGAAGGTGTGAAGAAGAGAAGGTGTGAGAGAAGATGTGAAGATGAGAAGGTGTGAGAGAAGATGTGAAGATGAGAAGGTGTGAGAGAAGATGTGAAGATGAGAAGGTGTGAGAGAAGATGTGAAGATGAGAAGGTGTGAGAGAAGATGTGAAGATGAGAAGGTGTGAGAGAAGATGTGAAGATGAGAAGGTGGGAGAGAAGATGTGAAGATGAGAAGGTGTGAGAGAAGATGTGAAGATGAGAAGGTGTGAGAGAAGATGTGAAGATGAGAAGGTGTGAAGATGAGAAGATGAGATACAGACCCCCACTATTGGAAGAACCCTGCGCTCAGACGCTCTCGGGAAAAACACATTGGATTTTCCCAAGAAACTTATAGAAACATCATATACAAAGTGACGACATGGGCAAGCTGCCTGGGAGGTCAAGAGCTTAGCAGAAGCTCTGGAGAAAAACCAGGCCTGGAATAAGCAACGATAAGCAACGGATAAACAACGTATGTTTGAAGTTTCGAAGTTCGAAGAAACATGTTTTTCTCCCCGCAGCGTGGATTCGATGTAACTAAACCCATGCACTTCATGCGGTCATGGAATAGACTTCCTGCATTGAGAGTGTTGACCAGGTATCGGCGCTGGCTGATGTGCAATCTCTCCGAAGACTAGTCGAGGAAGGAGAAACGCCAAAGGCCCGAGCCCGGCACGTGGCGTGACGACTGTGACATACTGTGACGATGCTTCAGATTTGAGGGTGGCGCGGTGCCACCGTGTGCTACTTTGTGCTGCTTTGTATTTTCTTGTGCTACTTTGACGCAGAGTGCTTAGCGTAGTTTGCAGAAGGGGCTCTTCACCCGTTCGAAACCTTTAGAGGTTGCTAGTGATAGCGCCAATTGATTATTCTTGAAATCATGAAGATGGCAAGGAAAACTTCACAGTTGTAGCATGTCTTGACATATCTTGACATCTCTTGATATCTTTTGACCTTGTCAAAGATCAGCCTGTGCATACCATGCGTACGGTGCATACCTGCGCACTGTCCATGGACCACTCATGGACCTGTGCATGTACCATTGTCATCCAAGTTGGTATGCTGCCCTTGTCATCATCCATGGCCATCATGGCCAATGACGGGCACTGCAGGCATTGCTCAAAATAGAGCCGCAATTCCGCAAGATGTAACAATTACGATAATTACGTAACCGATACGAGGCGCACCTCGAAGACGAATTGCACTGGTGCACCTCTTGGGTACCAAATGTGCCATGCCCATTGTGACATTTGTGACGCTCATTGTTCACCATGATCACTCGCTGGGTTTGGGGTTATTTCCGATGCACGAAGCATTGGGCCAATAGTAAGACAATTAAGACACAGCGCAATGAGTGAGCCTTTACTTTGCATACAAAACGGTATATCACAATCCACACATTGGGGAAAAAGGTGTTTTACGCTGGCCGCAGATCCTGTGGCTGTTTTACGTACAGAACAAGCCACCAACCATGTTCATGCCAAAATCCATTCAGTGCCAAATTTCGTTCATTGGCGAGCTTTCTAGCAGAATTTGGCGAGCTTTGTGGCACCAAATGGACACAAAATAGATTGGTTCCCATTACGTACCATGTCTATCCATCTGTAGTATTCAATCTTACATATGAAATCGTACATGTGCTGTGTGCGACTTGTGATGTGGTGTGGGACTGTGCAGGTGACCAGATTGGTGGAGGAAGTGGAAGCCTTACGTCGAAACGTCGAAGAAGGAGAGCCTGCCCAAAAGGCCGCGGGCAAATTTCGATGAATCGAAATTCCGTTTTGAGGACTGACATCTTTCGTATTTCCGTTCAATATTTGAATGAATAGATGTTGAAAGATGTTAAAACGTGCGTTTAGCAGCAAGTCAAAACTTCAGGTGTCCCGTTTTTCTGTTCATTGTTGGGCACCACTGGAAGCCTCAGCGCGCGGCGTCGAGGTGCAGAGTCTAGACAGCTCAGTGAAGGATCTGCAGGAAATCCAACAAGACTTGAAGACGAAGGCAGGGTCTTTTGCCTTGTCAAGACCACTCAAGGAGCTACGTTGGTAATACATTGGTAAGAGAAGTGCAAAATCATGCAAAATCAAAGATTTTGTTTGTAACGTTTGTCTAGTGCCAAATCCAAAGACTTTGGACCTTCCAAGGTTCATTTCTGCAAATCACAGCCATGGATGCCATAGTGACTTTTTGCTTCAGCCATTTGGATCCATTTGGCCCGAGTTTCCTGCAACATTGGAGCGCAGCTCCTAAGTCTGCGAAGCGCTGGACTCGAGAAATGGCCGTGAGAGCTCGATCGTTCTTCGGTGACTCGAGCGATCAGGGTATTCAGGACGTCCGCGTTTCCACAATCGGGGTTAAAGGCAGAGGTGGTTCGGCAGTGGCGCTGGAGTGCATGAGCTACTTGGCCCACTTGGTGAAAATCTGCGGCCAAGCCACTTTCTCTTTCGAGTTGAGTATGTTGAGTATGTTGAGTCTAAGAGAATCTGAGAGAGATGTTGCGTCACGTCAGGGTGCCTGGCCCTCTTTCACCCCCAATCGCATCAACGGGGACCTGAGCCCAAGACGCGCAACTACCGGAGTAACTACAGTACCAAGAATTCAACGAGTCAACGAGTTCGATTTGTTAGCCACTGTTAGTCCATTAGTCCTTAAAAACCCCTAGGCTGAAGGATGGGCATGTGTACAACACACCCTTGATCGCATATTTGTATACTACATGCATTACACATCATTAGACAATAGTATACAGAAAGTGCCTTACCTGGAATACGCCCACCCTTATTTTGGAGGTTTGAACCCATCAAATTATATAAAATTGGGTTAATCATTAAATCTATGGGGTCATTGTGGTTCTAGGTAGACATATAATTCTGACATGTTGTCCACACACGTGCCTAACTCCTGTAATTGCTTATCAACCTAGAGCCCTTGACCTGCTTGTACACATGAAATCAATTTATGTGCAGAAGCCACTTACATTCCCTGATTCAGTTTGCCAAGGTCAAGCCCCAACGTATCAAAGACATGTCCAGTTGAACCTTTTGAGCCGGCTTGGTGGCAAGTGAAATAGGTTGTTTGCCCGGCATTCCTTCACCGCCATCATACCTTCAAGATATTGGCATTCCTTCAACCATCCCACCCATTTCTGCTTCAGCCGTCTCTAAGAACCCATCGACAACTGCGTGGTTAGACGCTAAACACGCCCAGCAGTTGTGATCCATGCTACTAGCCAAGATCATTGTGTGTACTGGCGCAGTATGAAGCACAAACCGCAGCACTGTCACACAGGGCCCTTCCACGAAAGGAAATCCAACGTAAACAGTGTGTGCTCCTTCCAGCAGAAAGGTTTCTCCACAGAGTTTGTTGATCTTGCTGTCTTGGTAAACGACTGCCGCTGTGCGTACTTGTGTATGTAAGCTGTCATATGTCGTAGCAGTCTCCATTTGCAACACGGCCATAATTGCTGAAAGATTGTATTGATATTTGTTTAGTGGAACTTTGGAATGATTTGAATTCTAGTTGCTGCTTGAACTGTGTCTTGGGCCTTCCCTGCTCCATGAGTGGCGATTTGCTTTCAGCAAATGTATAATTAATAGCACCACCAGTCTCAAAAAAAGACCGCATGCACCAACGTGGTATCACTACCCCGGCAGTGTAGGTGAAGAATTTCGTGGAAAGTTTGTGGGAAAATTCTACAAGGTGCAGAGTCAGTTGCATTGTCGACGTTCACACTGCACAAAACGAGACGGAGAAACTACGAGAAACTGCGGACTCAAAGCAAAGGTCTGTGACCTTTTTTGGGAGAGTGGAGTGCTATAAGCTTTCGTGTGTGAAACCTACAACATTTTTTCGAGGTGGAATCCTTGCAGGGTCTGTAGGAATTGACAAAACTAAAGCTTGAATGATCAGAAACCCGAAGACACAGCCAGGAATGAAAATCAAATACAAATCTCATTAAATCTCACTAAATCTCATTACATCTCGATCGGCTCCCATCTTGAGAGGTGCCGAGTGGAGGAAAGGAACCACCAGCTCAAGCGTTGCACGAGTTCAAAATGCTCAAAGCAGCGGCAGGCTGTCCAGGTGTAGTTCGACCCTTTGGGCTCTTCCACATGGCCATGCAACCCCTGAGGCAGATCTTGGGCTTCCCAGAGTTGCCCCATGCAGTGCCTGGAGAGGCTACGCTGGATTCCTACGGTCCCGGTGAATCTGAGTCCGATGGCACAGAACCAACACCACGCATCTGTGTATTATTTATGGAAAAATGTGACTATTCTTTGCAGGACCGGAGGATGGACAAACATGGGAATGCGTGGCGAAGGGTTCTTGTTTTCCTTTGGGGGTCAACCGTCGGCAACCGTTCCCGATGATTTCGCTATGGCCGTGCCCCGTGCCTCTGGCGAGTGTGCAAAAGTGGTCATTCTTGGAGGTTTCAAACGTCACGTAGCCTCGTTTCGTGTGGTGGCACTGTGTGACATTCTATCCTGTTTCAAAACTCGCAACGTGTCAAAAGTCGTTCTGTGTGACAGGCGCAATACTTTTGCATCGTTTTCAGAAGAAGACTTTCATTTTGCGTGGCAGGCGCAGCACTGTAGATGTGTGGTGTTGTGTGTTTTTGCGAAGCGCATTGTCGGGGCTGCGTCAAGTGGTGACAACCTGCAAATTGTGTTGCAAGCGTGGAATCGTGAGAGTTTCCTTTTGCGTGGCAGGCGCAGCATTCGGTGCAGATCCGTCGTGTGTGGAATGTCATTTTGCGTGGCAGGCGCAGTATTTGGGACACTCCACACTCCACACTCTTCACACTCTTCAATATCTTCACACTCTTCGCTATCTTCACTCTACACTTGACACTCCACACTCTACGCTTTACAGTCGACACTTGGGGGCATGGGCGTGCTGCTCAGGACTTTGATCTCGTTCGCTATACAGAACCTGAAGCCGCTTTTGTTTGCCGCTCCGTGCTGGCAGCTCTATCCCATCTCCATGCTCTTCGGATCGTGCACAGAGACATCAAACCGGGCAACATTCTGGCTGGGAATGGCGGCGAGAGGATCTTATTAGGAGCCGGTTGCATCGGTTGCGATTGCAGCAACAGATCACACCACTGATGGGAGTCTTCACAAATGGTCAATTCTTTCATCATTCTTTCATTGCAAAAAAATAAACAGTTTTAAACAATCTCCATGCTACCAGGTTAATTATTTCCATCAGTCGGAAACGGTTGACACTGGTTGACGCTGTCAATTGTTTATCTAGTTTTCCACAAGCAAATGACATCAAATGAGCGTCATTAACCGTAGTTTCACCCAGGCACCATAGAACCTCAGTGCTCCAGAGGAGACTTCGGATTGGCAACTTTCTTAAAACCCGATGGAGAGATATTGCCAAGCAATGGCGGTGGGACACACGGTTTTTTGGCGCCAGAGTGCTTGGAGAAGAATGTTGTTTGCAAAGAATCCGATTTGTCGCTTGGCCCTGGCCATTCAAACAGTTTTCTTGCGATTCCCCAGATCATCGCCAGGATTTTCTCGATATGCTCCGGTTCGAAGTTTTGACCCTGGTGATCAATCATCTCAATAAATGTTGATTAAATCATATTAAATCAATACTTTGAGTTGCTTTAGTGTTATTGTGGGTACCTGTTTAAAGTCATTTGCGGCATGTGCTCGGCAGGTTAGGATAGTTGCTTTCAACTCTGCAGGTTTGCCTTGGGAGCTGTCTTGTACCAGCTGCTCTTCCGGGTGTACGCTTTCATTAAAGAAAACCCCATAGAGACGGACATCGCCACACTCCTTGGTGAGCTGCCCCTCATTCCGTGCGGAAGGGCTGTGGGTTTCCCAGCTGCACTTGGGGGAAACCGTGAACCGTGTCAAGCTTTGGCATGTCGGCAAGCCCAAAAGGCTCCCTCATGGTCCCCTCACGGTTTCCTTCATTTTTTTAGGCGATTTCAAGTAAGTTGTGCTTGCTGAATTTGTTTGTTCATGTTCTGATGTCTGACTGCTTATATAACCAAAAAATATCAAGTTTCCAGATGCCCCTTGGGATTCTTTAGCACTTTGTTTTTGAAGTCGTGCACCAGGTGGGCTACTGTATCTATCAAAGGGTGGGTTACTGTACCTATTTGTACCTCATTTTTTGTCATGATGTCAGGATGTGCCCCAGAAAGCCGACGTACTGAGGCAAGTCGGATCAGGCTTGTCACTTGATTCGTTTGCTTTTGGAACGTTCAGCCTCAGATCGTCCGACGGCCGCAGATGCTCTGGAACATCAATGGTTTGGAGAGGTTGTGGCTTGGATTGGTAAAAGGGCTGCGATTGAGGGTTAGGATGTTTCTGGTCCATAGGAGAGTCCATAGGAAAAAAAGATTGCACCTTTGGATACCTGAAGCACACTTACATGGGGCAACATGCAGGGTGCTGGTTTGATTGGTTTGGTTCTGTCCTGGGGATGCAGGTTGCTGTCGACTTGCATTGGGGAGTTGCTTACCTAAGCTGCTTACCTAAGCTGCTTACCCATCAATCCAGTATGAGAACCACTTATGCCGGCAGGGCTGAAATAGGTTATGGTGCATTCTGAATGCATCTGCGTTGAATATCCGTTGATATACGCAGATATACTCAGTACAAATTTGCTGGGAGCCGCTCTTTGCCATTTAGGGTTAGATTTCTCTCGCGGCGTCCCAGGATGCGCAGGAAACCTTGAAGACCTTCCTCGCCGAGCAGCATAGAAGAGACTTGGTGGACCTGGACTCATGCCCTGTGGTTCATCAAAATGCCATGAGGCAATCCGAGCAAGATGCCTTCAAGGTGCGCACGCTGTAACTGCAGCCTTAGGACTTGGGGGAAGGGATGAGATTGATGAGATACTGAATTTATGTAAAATATTGTAAATGGTAGTTGCAGGCATGAGCTTGTGGCCTTTCATCACCCACCCCTAAAAAATGATAAAACATGTATATTTTGGGGGGGTACACCCCCTCAAAATATACATTTCCCTGTCTCGGGAACACGCTCCCTGGGGAATTGATTTTATGCAACATGATTGTTGAGTCAAACGGGGGGTTACCTTCATAGTGCCCCTCATGTCCCCACTATTGCTTATACATTTTAGGGGGCTAACCCTGGGAACTGCCACTATCTGCAATCCCCCATGTAGATTTTCAGGGGTTCCTGTATCCCCGCAGGGATCCCCAGTTTTAGCTGTTAGTGTCACTTCGAAATCAACTATTGTACTAGAAGATTATATAAACCTGAAAATGTCCCAAGAGACCATGCTGAGGAACCCCTTTAGTTTTAAGCTAGGAAAGAGAAACAGACAAGGAAACGCGACCTGAAGCACTATGAAATGTATAGACATGGGGGGCAGACTGATATGCCCCTCTGGATACATATAGCTTGATACGTAAATTCCATCACTCGAATGCATTTCAAAAAAATACTAGGAATATCGCTCGTTTACGCACGCTTGAATACCCATTGTGAGCCATTGTGCGCTCCAAAAAAATACAAGCTGTTCAAGCCACACAGGGGGAAAAAAGGCGAGAGACCTGCAGGGTGAAGACATTGTGTTGTCCTTCTGACATGGTCCTCCTATATGCTATATGTCATACACTTTGGCCTTAACTTTAAGGACACTGTCCCCCTAGGTTGGATACATTTTCATAAATGTATTAGGAGGGGGGAGGCATAAAGTAGTTAGGGAGGGTGATGGCCTTTCCAAGCTAAGCCAATACAAAGCTGTCTCAGATAGGTCGAGAGCGCACAAGCTGAGAGCGCACGGAGCTTTCTCCATCGTGCCACCGGTGTTTGGCGTGGAGCACCGCTGACACGGTTTCGGCTGTCCCTGGAGCGCATCCTGTCAAGGTCTGACAGGAAGCCCAGCAAGAAGTCTAAACCCGAAAGGAAGTCCGAAAAGAAGTCCGAAAAGTTTAGGATGAAAGCGGTGCGTGAGTTCGAGAGTATCGTCGTGCTCGCTCCGTGAAGGAAGCCCAGTCCTGGGACTATTTGACTTGGCGTTCTGGGCGGAAAGTCATGTTCAAATAAGTCCCAGATCATCCCAGATCTGAGAGCTTTGCTTTATGAATTTTATGAAAGCTCGAGGCATAGGAGATCATAGGAGATCATAGGAGTTTATGATTTTTTGTGAATGTGTTGGGCTTTCCACACATTTCTCAACCAGGTCCCGTTGCGACCGTTGCAAATTCAACTGGTCCCGGCAGACCCTGGCACCGTTGCCCGCTGAGCCATGGATCGCTCCATACCGTCATAATCGTCAGAATCGTCATAATCGTCATATATTCGTCATATGCATTATGTACATTCGTCATAATTCCCAAAAAGGTAAACTGTGTCAACTGCCTTGGTATTTTTGGTACTTCCGTGTGGCATTTCAGCTGCTGGGCACAAAATCTTCGGACTTGCATGCGCCAACAATCTTTTATAATCTTTTATAGAGGATCGCTTCCGTGTCAGACAGCCACCAAAAAGAAATCAGAAGCCTTGTGAACTTGTGGTCACTAACTATACTGACTGCCGCTCAGTTTCTGTGCCAATGCAGGTCTGCGAGCTTTAGAAAGGTCGGAAGATTGCAGTGTAAGATACGCAACGACGTAAGACTTGGATTCTGATTGCTTTGGGCGCCAGGTGGAAAGCATAGGCTCCAGAGAGGCGGAGATTTCAGACTTGCAACAGCAGGCGCGGATATACGAATATTATATATATATTATATACATACATGTCTGATCATGTATGAATATTCAACGGTGCGTATATTTAATACGCTGTATATATATATATATAGATGGTAATTCCCCTCTCGAAACTACTGCCCAAATTCATTTTTGATATATGTATGTGTATGTATATATATATAGAGGTATGTGTGCAAATGCATAATACGTATAATATGTAGATGTATTGTATATGTATAATCATGTATGAAAATAATTAAGTAGGTAGTAGGTAGATAAACAGATGACAACCCATGTAGTTTTGTACTTAGGGAGAATTCCCCCAAGGACGTTTGCCCACTTTTGCAAACGTTTACACAAAGTAAATTGGGATTGAAGATTGAAGATTGAAGGCTTGGATAAAACTTCTTCAATCCAGGATTGAAGATTGAAGGTTGAAGGCTAGGAACACCTTCTTCAATCCAGAGTTGAAGATTGAAGATGGAAGGCCCAGAAAAGACTTTTTCAATCCATAGCCTGCTGAACTTCAATCCTGGGTTGAAGAAGTTTTTCTCAGACCTTCAACCTTCAATCTTCAATCCGAGACAAGACCATGTAATACGCATGTTTTGTATGGTGTAGTGCAGCATGTAGTACGGTACTACTAAGGGTGCTTAGGAGATTTGTTTCTTTCTTAAATCTGTTTGCAAGTGTTTCCGTCACAAGAGGTATCAGTCCCACTATATAAGGAGCGCGGCACTTGTTCTGAAAAGAATATAGAGTTTTTGTTCAAAGTGAGTTTCAGCTGTGCTCTTTGTCTAAAACAGGTGAAGGAATCTATGGCAGGAGGACAGCATTATTACAGAATGGACGCCTTTGCGTGCCCATTTTAATTATAATGGTATTTCTCGAAGAAAGTGTTGGTGCATCATGGGCAAGATTCCTTCACAAGGGAGTGAACCATTTGATTGAAAAGCATGCAGGAATACAAAGAAGTATTACTACCAAGTAGTAGCCTTGGGTGTATGTAGTATCTTTTGAAAGAAACAGGTCATGCTTGTATGTGTGCAAAATGCCTTCAATATGAACGAAAAATATGAACAGGCAGCATTTTATTTAAAGACGTGAAGCTTTTCTTTAACACACAGACGTCATGCAGAAAATATAAAGGGGAGGCTGAACTTCATTAAAGGACGTATTGCATTTTTTCCACATATTGTAGTTTTCTACAAGAATACCGCTTCTTGCTTAAGCGAGTACCTTGTCTTCAAGGCAATCATTTTGTAGAAGTGAAGTATTTCCTTTAAAGAGATGTCATGCAGGAAAATTGAGAGAAAGGCTGAACTTTATTAAAGGATGCATTGCATCTTTCCACGCATTATCGTTTTAGTTTTCTTGCAAGAACATTGCTTCTTATTAAGGGAATATCTTGTTGTCAGGGCAGATTGTAACCTGTAAGTAGCAATTTAACAAGAATCTTTCTTTTTGAAGGAATGCTGCAATGTGCATCGGCCATTGCACTTTTTGACAGCAATACTGCATGTTAATGACACACTGCATGTTGTGTAGGAATCTGGTGTTCTGAAAGAATATTGTACGATTGAAAGATTTCTCATATCAGTTGGATGTACTTCTTGAAGGGGAGCACGCATTTTCTTCAAAATGAACTCGTTTTTGCAAGGCGTGCTGTTTCTTTTGAAGGCATGCTGCGCCAGTTTGAAGAATGCCTTGTATGTTGCACAGATATTTTACAACATATGGTTTCTTTCAAGAAATCGGAAATGTTGCCCATCCGCCAAAATCAAAATGTGCAGAAGGTGTTCTCGGGACATTGTGGGTCATGGTCAGGAACTTTCAACATGTCTGGCATTGATACGATGCCTGTCACCTTCACTGTCTGTTCTGCCTGCTCTTGCTCATGTGTTTGTCAACCTCACACAGTCAATGCACTCTTCCGAATTCTGCTGCTTCAATGCATTGTTCAAAATGCGACTATGTCTGTTCTGCTTGCTTTTGCTCATATCATATGCATGTTACTGTCACACAGTCAATGCACTCCTCCAAATTTTAAGCTTATTTATCGTTATTGGTAGGGGGTGGCATATACATATGCGTGCAAATGTTTTTTCATTAATCGGCAAATGTGGTCTCTGGATTCCGACCCTTTTCACGGGTCACTTCGAGAGAAACATCGGCCTCAAATTAGTTTGCAAATGCCTGTGTGCTAGAGCTCTAGTAAGTGTTAGTTTTTCTCTCGGTAATGTCACTTTCTTGGTTTGAGTGTTGAGGCTTGCAGTAAAGAGCTTCGTATTGACTTGTTTCAAATCAAAGCGAGCATTTTCTGATCTTGTCACTGTCAGGCTGACAGTGTGTCAGGATGGTAATAGCTGTCAGCTTCCGTTTGCAATGGCCATCTATGGCCTCTTTGTCATCTCTTGTCATCTCTTGCCGGAGGTCAAAGGCCTCGGAGACACGGTGGGAAAGACTGCGGAGATGCTTCAGCGCAATGAGAGTCTAAGCGAGGTGCGACACGATGCGATCTGTGTCGTGTTTTGGCTCGATTGTTGACCCTTGTTGAATTTAGTATTTTTTGATCCAGACCCTTTGCCACGCCTGCGGATATGTCTGTTCCCCCGCACTTCACCTCTTTGGTTGGGCCAAATTGAGATGCATTGATTCATATGGAGGTCTCCAAGCTGAAAGATGCGTTGGACGCCGTCAAGCGGCGACAAGAAGAGTTCAATTTGCAGATTGAGGTAAGATTCGCAGGGCGGTCTTGGTTTTATTAAAGATTTTGCAACAAGGACTGGGAGAAAAACGCAAGAACTTGCAAGGCTCCGCTAGACCCAGACTCTATATATCAGAGAGACGCATTTTTTTTGCTGCTTTCTTTGATGAGGCAACGCAGAGGAAGCAACTCAATGCAATTAGAGAAGACTTGCGCAACTTGGTCTGCAACAATCAGAAGTCCACGAGGGACATGACACTTGCTTCAGACAGGGCTTAACAAGTCATTGATTGGCGGACAGTTTCATTTTCACCTGACGCCTGACGATGATTCCCAAAAGACGCATGATAGAAAAACAGATACCGTATGACTTCAGAAGGAGAGACGACAGGGCAGAGAGGCCAGACTGTGCACGTGACTTTGAGGTGTGGTCCAAGCAAGCCAGGAGGCCTCCGCCAAGCGGCAGGCGCAGATCAAAGAGGCGCCGCCGTCGTGCAGAGAACAGCATGTGTGAGGTTAGCATTACCAGTGACAGTATTGCACGAATTACTTCTCTCCCTATCCGCACAATATTCATGCATTATAATGTATTCAAATGGTTTATTAGTTGTTATTCTTCATGCTTCTTCAATATCACACTGCATTGCAGTGTACACGTATTCGCAATCGTTGGCTTGTTTTTCAACCTGTGCAGGGCACGCAGTCCTTGGAGAAGGAGCAGCTGCAATTGGCTTCGAAGCTGCGACAATTGGAGGGGGGAAGGCCGGTCCTGCAGAAACTGCTTTCCAGTGCTTTCCAGTGCTTTCCAGGGTTTCCGATGCTCTTCATGACTGTAATGATTTCTTGTGGACAAGCTTTCTGCTCACAAACCCTTTCAGATATCTACTCGTTGACTGCTAAGCACAGGGCGTGGGTGAGCAAACAGGGCATGATACGAGGGAATGATATTGGTTTGGGCAGTTGCTGCTGTGGAGAGACAGGCAAGCAGAGGTATGTAGACACCAGCGACTTGACATATAAATTATATGTATGTTTCAGATATAAATCTACACCTGTGCCTGTGCGCAACATATACATGAATTGCACATATGTAAATACATAAATAGATAAATGAATAAATGGCCGGTGAATAAATGGCCGGTGTGCGGGTATCACTTTTCCACCCGCAGACGAAGACAAATTCCGAAGACAAATTCCGAAGACAAATTCCGAAGACAAATTCCGAAGACGCGTCCCCCAAGGACGACGAATTAGAGAAGACCCACTGAAGACGAATTCCGAAGACGCATTCCGCGAAGACGACTTCCACCCCGAAGGCGAATTACAACCCGAAGACGAATTCTGAAGACACATTCCCTGAAGACGAACTATACCTCCTGAAGAGGAAATCTCCTCAGACGACGATTCCAGTTGAGCACGCAGGAGACGCAGATTTTAATTTGAGAAAAAGAGACCATTCGCAGCCACTTGCAGCCACTTGAGCAATCTTGAGCAGCCGCTTGGAGCCACTTGCTTTGATCCTAGGTAAAAGCATTTGACCGGAAAATTCATGAAATCTTCCAACGCCGACTGCCGACCATGGGAAAAATCTTGAAATTCTCCGGCGCCATTCGGTGGAGAATTCTTCATATCTTTCAGTGCCATGGAGGCAAGTGGCTTCAATCGGCTGCTCAGAGCAGGTGGCCCCAAGTGGCTGCAACTGGCTGCAAGTGGCTGCTCGGAGCCGAAACGAAAAGGAAGGAACCTAAGCGACAAGGAAGGAGTATATAGAAACGAAAAGGCAGGTGCCCAAACTACAAGGTGTCGGGCTGGTAGAAACCCGCAATACATTTTTTTTTTTTCTGACCTTCATGACCTGCTTAAGATGTACTGACTTCTTGGTCGTCATGAGTTGTTGAAGTATTTCTTCTTATACATAAGATCATAAGTTATTGATGCTAGCAAGGTGGAACACTGCCCTAGCTGTTGTAGCGTTTTTCACGAAACACCTCATCACGGATGAAGCACGGCGATGATGCTATGGGGTGGGGGGGCTAAAAACTTCTGCTGCCTTGCATTCTTCCAACACGCTCTTGATGCTACGCTCTTTTCATTCTAAAGAAACTTGCAACATGCTCTTGATGCTACACTCTTATCTTTCTCAAGTAACTTTCAGCACACTCTTGATGCTACGCTCTTTTCATTCTAAAGAAACTTGCAACATGCTCTTGATGCTACACTCTTATCTTTCTCAAGTAACTTTCAGCACACTCTTGATGCTGCCCTCTTTTTCCTCAAGTACCTTACAGCACGCTCTTGATGCTACACTCTTATCTTTCTCAAGTAACTTTCAGCACACTCTTGATGCTGCGCTCTTTTCATTCTAAAGAAACTTGCAACATGCTCTTGATGCTACACTCTTATCTTTCTCAAGTAACTTTCAGCACACTCTTGATGCTACGCTCTTTTCATTCTAAAGAAACTTGCAACATGCTCTTGATGCTACACTCTATTCTTTCTCAAGTAACTTTCAGCACACTCTTGATGCTGCGCTCTTTTTCCTCAAGTACCTTACAGCACGCTCTTGATGCTACACTCTTATCTTTCTCAAGTAACTTTCAGCACACTCTTGATGCTGCACTCTTTTTCCTCAAGTACCTTACAGCACGCTCTTGATGCTACACTCTTATCTTTCTTAAGTGACTTCCAACACGTTCTTGATGCTACGCTCTTTTCAATCTGAAGTAACTTGCAACACGCTCTTGATGCTACACTCTTATCTTTCTCAATTGACTTCCAACACGTTCTTGATGCTACGCTCTTTTCAATCTAAAGAAACTTGCAACACGCTCTTGATGCTACACTCTTATCTTTCTTAATTGACTTCGAACACGTTCTTGATGCTACGCTCTTTTCAATCTGAAGTAACTTGCAACACGCTCTTGATGCTACACTCTTATCTTTCTCAATTGACTTCCAACACGCTCTTGATGCTACGCTCTTTTCATTCTAAAGAAATTTGCAACATGCTCTTGACTCTACGGTCTTATCTTTCTCAAGTAACTTTCAGCACACTCTTGATGCTACGCTCTTTTCATTCTGAAGTAACTTGCAACACACTCTTGACTCTACGGTCTTATCTTTCTCAAGTAACTTGCAGCACACTCTTCATGCTGCGCTCTTTTTTTCTCAAGTACCTTACAGCACGCTCTTGATGCTACACTCTTATCTTTCTTAATTGACTTCCAACACGCTCTTGATGCTACGCTCTTTTCATTCTGAAGTAACTTGCAACACGCTCTTGACTCTACGGTCTTATCTTTCTCAAGTAACTTTCAGCACACTGTTGATGCTGCGCTCTTTTCATTCTCAAGTACCTTACAACACGCTCTTGATGCTACATTCATATCTTTCTGAATTGACTTCCAACCCGCTCTTGATGCTACGCTCTTTTTATTCTGAAGTAACTTGCAATACGCTCTTGACTCTACGGTCTTATCTTTCTCAAGTAACTTTCAGCACACTCTTGATGCTGCGCTCTTTTTACTCAAGTACCTTACAACACGCTCTTGATGCTACATTCATATCTTTCTGAATTGACTTCCAACCCGCTCTTGATGCTACGCTCTTTTTATTCTGAAGTAACTTGCAATACGCTCTTGACTCTACGGTCTTATCTTTCTCAAGTAACTTTCAGCACACTCTTGATGCTGCGCTCTTTTTACTCAAGTACCTTACAACACGCTCTTGATGCTACATTCATATCTTTCTGAATTGACTTCCAACCCGCTCTTGATGCTACGCTCTTTTTATTCTGAAGTAACTTGCAATACGCTCTTGACTCTACGGTCTTATCTTTCTCAAGTAACTTTCAGCACACTCTTGATGCTGCGCTCTTTTTACTCAAGTACCTTACAACACGCTCTTGATGCTACATTCATATCTTTCTGAATTGACTTCCAACCCGCTCTTGATGCTACGCTCTTTTTATTCTGAAGTAACTTGCAATACGCTCTTGACTCTACGGTCTTATCTTTCTCAAGTAACTTTCAGCACACTCTTGATGCTGCGCTCTGTTTTTCTCAAGTACCTTACAACACGCTCTGGATGCTACATTCTTATCTTTCTGAATTGACTTCCAACCCGCTCTTGATGCTACGCTCTTTTCATTCTGAAGTAACTTGCAATACGCTCTTGACTCTACAGTCTTATCTTTCTCAAGTAACTTTCAGCACACTCTTGATGCTGCGCTCTTTTTCCTCAAGTACCTTACAGCACGCTCTTGATGCTACACTCTTATCTTTTTTAATTGACTTCCAACACGCTCTTGATGCTACGCTCTTTTCATTCTGAAGTAACTTGCAACACGCTCTTGACTCTACGGTCTTATCTTTCTCAAGTAACTTTCAGCACACTCTTGATGCTGCGCTCTGTTTTTCTCAAGTACCTTACAACACGCTCTTGATGCTACATTCTTATCTTTCTTAATTGACTTCCAGCACGCTCTTGATGCTACTCTCTGTCCATTCTGAAGTAACTTGCAACACTCTCTTGACTCTACGGTCTTATCTTTCTCAAGTAACTTTCAGCACACTGTTGATGCTGCGCTCTGTTTTTCTCAAGTACCTTACAACACGCTCTTGATGCTACGCCCTTTTCATTGTGAAGTAACTTGCAACACGCTCTTGACTCTACGGTCTTATCTTTCTCAAGTAACTTTCAGCACACTGTTGATGCTGCGCTCTTTTCATTCTGAAGTAACTTGCAACACGCTCTTGACTCTAAGGTCTTATCTTTCTTAAGTAACTTTCAGCACACTCTTGATGCTGCCCTCTTTTTTGCTCAAGTACCTTACAACACGCTCTTGATGCTGCACTTTTATCTTTCTTAATTGACTTCCAACACGCTCTTGATGCTACGCTGTTTCTTTCTCAAGTAGCTTCCAACACACTCTTGACACTACGGTCTTATCTTTCTCAAGTAACTTTCAACATGCTCTTGATGCTACGCTCACTTTTTCTCAAATAATGTCCAACCTTGGGACATGCTGGTTGGCACAGGAAAGTCATTCAGCTCAAAAGAACAATCAAGCATGCCAAACTTCACATTCATTCTTCCATCATGGAAAAAAGTTAGTTCGCAAAGGTTTCAAAATGTGCAAAACCATGAATTTACGGTAAATACCATGCACTTCTACTCAAAAAAAATGCGCGGGTTTCTACCAGCCCGAAGTTTCTACCAGCCCGACTCGAACAAAAAGAAAGGATTCGAAACCACAGGAAGAAGTAGAAACGAAAAGCAAGGAATAGAAATGATAAGGCAGGAACTTAAACGAAAAGGAAAAAATCGGAACGAAAAGGAGGGAGTAGAAATCTGCAGGAAGGAGTAGAAACTAAAAGGGAAGGAGTAGAAACGGAAAGGACAGAGCACAAATGAAAATGATGAAAATGCAGGAGCAGAAACGAAAAGGAAGGAACCTAAACGAAAATGCAGGAATGGAAACGAAAGCGAAGGAGTCTAAGTGGAAACGACAAAGGAAGGAGCAGAAACGGAAGGAAAAGGAAGAAATACACAACGACAAGGAAGGAGTTGAAACGAAAACGGTAGCCCCCAAAGACATTAAGTTGCTAACCCCAAAGTTGCTACGACCCCAAGGTGCCAACACCCTAAGGCTAAGACGCTTATATAGATGCTACCGCAGACGCTAAGCTGCTGAGACGCTGAGAAGCTAAAACGCTTAGACATGCATGCTTAGACTGCTTAAATGTTCAGACGGTCGGACGGTCCGAACTAAGAGAAAACTAAGATGTTAAGTTAGCCCTAAGATGCTACGCTAAGAGGGTATAGAAAACACTAAGATGCTAAAACACTACTGTCGGACGCAGAGACGGAAAGACACGGAGATGCAGAACCCTGGCTTGCAACGATCCTAAATTGCTGAACCCCGAACACGGTAAGACATGTAAGACGCTAAAATGCCAAAATGCAAACACAATAAGGCACCAAGATGCTGAGGCGCAAGATTCACCCAAGACAACAAGATACAACAAGAGACTAAGATATTCAGATGATTTCAGATGCTAAGATTCCCATGCAACGCCAAGGTGCGGCTACTGTTGAGCAATGGGTCAATCAACCCTTCCCGAAACATCGTAATGGTCCCAGGCTCTTTCAGCATGGGCAAGACTTCGTTAAGATACTTTTTGGGAGTAATGCGCCGTCACATTGGATCGTCAAAGGGTAACGCCTCGTCATAACATAACGTGCATCAGGGAATGTGGATACTGCGTGGTCACAGTGTAATGTGGCGCCAGGGAGTGCCGTCAAGACTGCGACGTCAAGGGATTATACGTCCTCACAAGCACTGTGGCGTGAGGACATGTGTTGTCACAATGCAAGGGAAGGCGTCGTCAGTAGATGTGTTGTCGCAATGCATCGTCAGGGGGTAATGCGTCGTCAAGGGGTAATGTGTCGTCAGGCAATGCGTCGTCACAATGCGTTGTCAGGGGGTAATGCGTCGTCAGTGTCATTGCAGTTGGTCGTCAGGGGGCAATGTGTCGTCACAAGTATTGTGGCGTCAGGATTTTTTAAAGTGTCGTCTGCGTCAGGCAGTCATAACACGTTATCAGGGGGTAATGTGTCGTCACGGAATACTGCGTCGTCACGGAATGCGTCTTCATGATGCGTCGTCAGGCGGCAGTGTGTCGTCAGGCAATGAGTCATAGCAATGCGTCGTCAGCGTCACCCCCACAAGTGATACCCAAGTTGTGTAATGTATAGATGCAAAATACAACACACGCATCACTCGTACATTGAAAATTATTTGAAGAGGCCTGATGCCTGTCTTTCTTTTTCGCGAGGATAAAGCAGCTTGGCCAAGACATGCAGGCACTGTCAGCGGAGACTCTAAGTGAACTATGCGATGGGTTTTGTTACATGTGAACTATACAGATTATGTTGTCTTTGATGGTGATGGATGTTCCGGAGAACCGGTAGCACCGGTAGATGTTTCATGTGTGGCAGTGATGTTTTGGTGTGGTGAATCGAAAACATTGCTGTTTCCAGACAACGGGGAGGGAGTCGAGTGGTTTCTGATTCTGTTTCAAATCCTTCCAGTGTTCTTATCATGTCGATCTAAGCCCTCTAATGATTCTGTGAATGGCATTTAAATGAACTGCTGCACTGGCCTCCGATTTGACAGATGTGCAAGGTTGTGAAAGAGGCGATTTTGCACGTGCAGCAGGAGTTGAAGAAGGAGGCGACCAGAAAATCGGACTGGACAGTGCCAAGACAGTACGATGCCAATGATGATGCAAGCAGGGGTACAGTGCTGACAAGTGGACAACAGTAGGTTTAAATTTAAACCACTCCAAGAGGAACTCAAGAGAAACTAATAGAAACTCTTGGGTTCCTTGGAGCCGTGTTACGTCGTCGTTGCCTGGAGAGGTGGTAATTCCAGAGCACGTGCTAAAGGATCTGGACGCAAAGAACGAGTCTCGCCTGGTCAGTGCCCAAGTCGAAACGGAAGGCCGATCCAATGTGACGCCAAAGCTACCACCATTTTCATTGGGAGTGAGGAAGTTTTCTATCGATTTCTTGGAGAGACGTGACAGTCTTTCAAGTCACATCTCGTGATTTCGCGTGGTGTGAACTCACCGTTTTGTAAATTGCTTCGTTCATTGTTCACTTCTTCGTATCTGACTTTTCGTTATGCACCGTGTTGCTCTGCTCTGCTCTTCAGGAAGCCGTTTGGACAGAGCTGCAGCGGCATGCGGAGGCTGTTGCGAGTAGTGGGAAGACTGCAGTGAGCAATGCGTCGAATCCTGTCGGCTCTGTTACGACTTGAGACCTCGGCATGCGTGGCGTTTGTGGCGTTTTTGAGCCCTTTTGTGACAGGCAGCAGCCACTCGAGCAGATCGCTTAGAGCAAAGTCTCACTCAACGCGTCGTCCACTTGGCAGCTGCCCCAATTACCCTTAGATGCGGCGGCCAATGCAGAGTCATTCGGACGTCTCCTTTGTTCTCTTTGCCTTATTTTTTCTTCCCTTTCCGATGAGGAGCAGGCTACTACTATCCTTGTCAAGGCAGAGGCTCCGTGCTGCACCCTGGGACGATGAAATGTAATTACTTCAATTACTTCAGAAGCCAGGAGGTTGTGATTGAATTGTTGACCTTTAAGTTGACGCTGATTTCCATTCAACCCAAGTAGGGATTGGTGTCGATGTGAGGAGATTTAGCTGACATTAAGGAGGGCCCGGGTTGCTGCAGGAACACACAAGAAACTTGGAGCAAGACATGCAGAAGCAGTCTGAGTGGTTCGCTTGGCGGCTGGAAAGCCCAGTGAGCGATGTGTCGATGTACTCGAAATATTCGAATGCCTTGACCACGATGACTTGGAAATGTCCTGAACGTCGTGTTGGCAGCTTGAAATGATTGAGGGTTGCTTTTGGTAATTTGTCATTCGAGCTGGCCTTGAGTCTTGACCAAAGATTTGGCCTGACAAAATATATGGCAAGAGAAGAATGACAATTAGCCAACGCAAGATATGTGTAGATGTTTGCCATATCATATCGCTGCTTGACTTGCCAAAGACCTACACAGTTCAGTGCGAAACATTTTGACAAGAGAACTGTCATGTGATGAACAGATCTCCAAAAAGTGCTGCGACTGCACGAAGTTGTCTTGAAAGCTGTGAGGGGCGTGATGGCTGCTTGAAACATCTTGAAACAAGCCGCAATTTGTCAAGGATTGCGTGGCTGGAGTGGGCCACGACTGGGGAAAAGCGAAGCTTTGCCAGAGCATTGCCATGCACCTCAGAGAGGATGGTTGGGGATGAGGCAACTTGAGGCAACTTGAGGCAACTCAATCTGAACAATCTGAACAGCTACAGCTACTTGAGGCTCAGTAACTGCAGTAACTCAATCCAATGTCAGCACAGTTCAGATCATGTCAACATCTTGTGCTTGAAGCCCATGCCCATGCAGCACCTTGGATTTTTCCCGAATGCGTAGCGGAGGGTTCTTGTTTAACTTTGGGGGTCTCCGGGTGCAGGTGTGTCCGCTCGCTGTTGCTTTGCCAACCGCAACTGTCCGCAACCGTTCGCCACCGTTCGCAACCGTTCGCAACCGTTCGCAACCGTTCGCAGTGAAGGCCGAAATCTCCGTACCCTTGGGGATTGCTGCAAAAGGGTCACTCTTGGAGGCTTGAAAGGACGTGTAACATCGTTTTAAGTGGCAGGCGTCATTTTATGACATGTTTGATGAAGCATCGGGCGTAATATTTTTCCATATTTTCCAAGGTTTTCAGAAGGGCTTTTATTTTTCGCGGTGTTGCCGGTTTTTTGTGAATCACGTTGGCAGTGCTACCTCAAGTGCTGACAAAATGCAACTATCATGGCAAGCATGGTATTTTTTGTGACATTTCATGAAAATGAACGGAAGCCTCGCACGAAACATTGATTTTGAGGAAGCAAATGTTGAGTTTCATGAGAAAATTGGTCGGAAAACGGCGATTTTGTAGCAGCGCAATGTGAAAATTTGAAAATTTGAGGAAGTCTCGCAGGAAATGCTCGTTTTGAGCCTCCTGCATGTTGCGTCTCGATTATTATCTTGTTTTGTTGCGGTGTTGCCGATGCCTATAGGGAAAGCTGCAAAACCTTTTATTTTTGAATGTCTCAAAAGAGGTTATAAGGTCGTTTTGCGTGGCAGGCATGGCATTTTATGAGATTCCGACGTTTTTGAAAAAGTACTGCCGGTGGTTTTGTGTGACAGGCGCCGTCGTGCGTGGAATGTCACTTTTCGTGGCTTTCAATTTGGCAAGATGAACTGATGAACTGACGATGAACTGACGATGAACTGACGAAATTGACTTGAGTCAAACTATGTCAAACTTGATGCTCGGCGAAAAACACTTCCACATCCGCGAGTCCCGGCCACGACACCTTTTTTTGGCCCGAGGCTGCCGCCTCCATCGACTCCAGCAGCGACATGCTTCAAGCAACCCCTTACAGAGGCATCCGAACAGATCCGAACAGCATGAAAGAATAGGAGCATGTTCAAACAGAATTTGATCATTTTAGACAGTTGATTCATGTTGATTCATGTTGATTCATGTTGATTCATGTTGATTCTCTTGAACCGACTAAGCTAAGTGCAGATTTGCATTTCATAGGTTTCCATTGGAACCTGGTTGCATTGCGCTACGTTGCACATCACTGCACTATGCAGCCAGCGTCAGGACTCTGAGCTCTGGGCCCAAGAAAAGACTGGACGACAGCGATGCTCAGCAGCAGGTCCATGTGTAATTCCATTGGCACAGTCTTGCCATCCACATCATATATGTATAATATTTGTATAATTCTATATATATATATATATATTATAATGTATTATATCTCAACCCACGTTCCGTGTACAACATTACACACGCATACACGTACAATCACATACATACATATACATACACAGACATATACATTCAGTCACATACGTACACATAGAGCCAAGTACAGACACATACAGTCACATACAAACAAACAAACATACCTACATACCTACCTACCTACCCACCTACATACATACCTACCTACCTACCTACATGCATGCATGCATGCATGCATGCATGTGTAAATGCATATGTGTATATTATATGTGTGCTTAAGTACATATAATTTGCGTCTTGTTTACTCGTTGAAATATTCGGTCATCCATGGTCATCCATGTATTCAGTTATTTTTCCATTTGTTGTGATTTGTGTGCTTAAGGCTAATCACGGACATGACACATCTCATGTATACCCTTCAGAAGTGTTGTTTCTGTGGCAATCACCCGCATTGCATATCTCTGCTAGCGTGAAACGCAGAGTCTTCGGTTCAGGGCACACTTCAATATTTTTCTTTCTTTTTTGTGCAGGCTCTAGAAAGCGGCATAGTTGTGGCCCTGTTGGGCAGAGCCATTATAGGCCCTGTCATCTCTTTGAGGGGTTTGGGGCGGTTGCATCCAAAAGATACCAGCTAATCAGGTTGGACAGCCTGCGCAGTTGTGCTGGAATGTGAAAAGAACCAAACTCATGCGAACATCACAAATTCATGCGAACTCTCTGACCGGCTTTGAAGCTAAGGATTACGTCGGGCACCTCTCAACAACATGCCAAATGTGGGTGCTGCAAATGAGAGGTGGCAGCAGTGGAGAATAGTGGAGACACGTTGTGGAGACACGTTGTGGAGACACGTTGTGGAGACACGTTGTGCCATCATTTTTATCCAGTAGATTGATGTAGATAATTTTTATCCAGGTGATGTTGCCGTCACTTGTATCGCTCTATTCTGTAGTGAAAACCCACGACGAACCAATGACAAAATAAACAATTCAATCTTGAAACGTGCCCTCTGTAGATTGACACCGCCATGTGCAATTTGTTGAAAAGGGTTTCACAAATCTCTTGGCCAGGTCACTGGCTGCTGGAAACCCAGAGCTGTCTCTGATGTTTTCTCATAATATGATGATCATGATGATCATGATGCTGTTTGGAAGCTCTTAGAATCTTAGAACTCAAATCCTCATGTTGCTGGAAAGAGTTGGATAAGTTTGTAGCAGTAAAGAGCAGACACATATTAGTACATTTCCAGGGCATTTGACACCACATAACACATTGAAAACAGATAACACATTGATGTACATTGATAACATATTGGTGTTGCAGCACAATTTCAGGTGTCAAGTCCCAGTATGTCTATCTCATCTTCGGCACCTGTGAGGGTCCCCAGTATTTCAAGGGCTGAAAGGATTAGCTGCTAAGCTGATTGAATCCGTTTTGCACTCAGTCTCTTTCAGTCTGTTGCAAGTCTGTTGCAGTTTGTTAAAAAAGAGTGGCAGCGGGCTGGCTTGATAATCCATTAATATCCATTAATAAATTCATGACTCAATCTGTTTAGACTCGAGGACTTGCAAATCTCACCCGCGAGAGGTGAGAGTCGTGGCCGGGGAGTTGCTCCAAGTGTTGGTGTTTCAGCGATGATTCGTATGTCGTGAGATGTTGGAAGTACCGGGACCTGCTGAGAGTATGAAGTGTTTTTGAGTGTTTTGTTATGTTTTGTTTCATCTCCAAATGCAGAAGGGACCCTAAAATGATCATTTTACTGTGATTTTTGTCTACTCGGGTTTGACACTTGTAGAATCTACTTTGCAGTTATCCAAGGGGAAGAGGAGCATTAGTGGAGAAGATTTACAGCAACCTGCACAGTACCGTACAAGACTCAAGGGATTATAGGGATTTGGAACGCCAGGTTACCCGATACGGAAAGGAGCGTGGTATCTAGAAATCAAATCTGCTTGTTGCCATTTGCCGGCCACCATCTTTGCTGACAAAAATTGCTCGAGAGTCTTTCCTGCGATCTAAATCTCCAGTTGTGCTTCCCAAAGTGGAAGATGCTGGGGACTGCACAACTCTATCCTATGCTGCGCGCATGTGCTATTCAACTGCTCTACCATTCGCACATCCAAGTGAATTGCTCTACAAATGCCTTGGTTTTCATTGAAGCTATCACCTGTCGCAGAACAGGTGACCTCATTATTCATTGACTAGACTCGGCTAGACAGGGTTTCAGCGAATCAAATTCAACCAACATGAGGGGACTATTTTTGCTCAGCTTTCAGCTCCCTCACAGCACAGCCATTGCTCAAGCAATAGGACCACTACTTTGTTTCACTTTGAAACGCCATGGGCGATTCATTCGGCAATACTTCACCACATGGAAAGTATGTATCGTGGCCAGAATTCAGACTGCTGCAGAAACAACCTTGAGATTTGACTCCATGCAGCTTGGCTCTGGAGGCTTACACTTTGGTCCATGCCATATGCACCTGTGGTTTGTAAGAGATACCTAAATATCATATATTATATATGTGCCAAATATATATATATATATGTATAATATGTATACATATCTCTTCCTAATGATCTGTAATATTCATTCATATTCAATAATCTCGTGACAGGATTTGTTTCGAGGATGAAACTCTCGCATCGAGGCGCCAGTCAGCGGTGGCTCCCCTATGCATACTGTGGCAGGCAACGAAGCCGAAGCAGTCGAAGTGCACCATGGCACTGTACGTGACAAGATGTCCCAAGAAAGGTTCAGAAACATGCAGAAGGGATCAGAAGGGCCAACAGATGTCGATTTGAGGAAGTCTGGAGTGTTCAAAAGCATCTTGCTGAACTTGTCACCATCTTGTTTCCATTTTGTTGCCATTTGCCCATATCTGTCACCATCTTGCTTCGCGCCAGCATCCTTTCCTGGCTCGTGTCTTGGCGGAAACAGTGGCCAGAGATGGCAAGAGATGGCAAGAGATGGCCAGAGATGGAACATTTGGAACACCGCTGTTTTCATCTTGAGATGTCCGAATATGTGCTGGGAAAAGAGATTTGTAGAGCAACAAAGTCTCCCAAGATCTCCCAAGCTTCGCTTTAGCGATCTTTAGAGATCAAAGACTGCAAAATGTCACCAAGGCACGTGGACTACGTACCGGTTCCAGGAAAGGTGGGCTCCTATGAGAAAGAGAAGGCATGGCAGACACGGCAGACACGGCAGAGACTCAGATGTTCCAAGATGTTCCAAGATTTTCCTATCACGTTTGTGATCCGGACGATGGACTGGAAAGCACAGTGGATTCCTTTGACTTGGCTGAGATGTTTGTGCTTTGTCGAACAAGATAGGAACAGAGTTGAGATGTTCTGTTGTTTTTTATGTATCATATGATACTCATATGTCTCCAATAGTCTCCAATAGTCTCCCTGCAATAGTCTCCAATAGTGATGACAATGATACAGTTCCAAGAATTCTAAGGGGGAGAATAGTTTTGTAACGGAGCAGAGCACGAGCAGCGCCTCGTCAGCGTCCCGTCAGCGCCCCATGAGGTCCCCGTCTGGGGAGTTCGCATGGAGTGCCTTCTCTTGGCGCCCCTTGGCAGCATCGATGGCATGCAACATGCATGGTGGACATGTCCATGCAGTGGTTTAATCCACACGACTGATGTATTTTAGAATCTAGATCTTTGATGATCTTTGGAGGCAATGACAGCATTTGAAACATCTCCCAGGATCAGGTTGGCATTGTTGGCCTCTTTGGTGAATGATGTGGCAGCTTTCCCACACTGCCCTTTCAATCTCTGCTTGGTGGAAGTGATTCCCGATACTGTCAACTGTTGCAATTTTACCATATCAGTATGTGCACGTGGCTATGCATGCGAGTTGTTTGCAAACGCTTTCTGACGTGATTTTCCAAACAATTTTCCGAACCATTTTGACATGTTTGCAGACCCTGTTTCCAATGCCTCAGGGGATGCTTGCTACTTGCTGCTATGATGCTTGTCTCAGAAGTGAAGACAGGACACGTGGTGTCTACTCAACCGAAGCTTTTTCCCATCAAAGGCATAGGGCCTACGATCTACAGGGAACAGACGGAAATAATGCTCCCGAAATTATAACTTAGGGACTTAGGGATGATATAGAGACGAAGGAGACTGGAAAAGTGCGGCAAGTCTGATTTTTTTTTGGTTTTGACAAATTGTTGGAGCCTTGGATGCAAACGATGTCAAACGAATGGTGGCAGCGGAGATTCGGAGTCCTCAGGCTGCTCTTCGTGTATTGGATGGTCGTATGGATTCACGTGACTTGTTCTGCAACGTAAAATCTACTGGGAGAGTGCCAGGGTCAAACTTCTCAAGACTTTTGATCGAGGTATTTGTTGATTTCGGTTGAATTCGGTTGAATTCGGTTGAATGTTAAACATATCCATGGAGTCACGGGGTTTCTTTGTCGCTAAGGCCAGCAGAGTTGGGCACAGCGACACGAGCGGCGACTTGACGGTCAGCTCCTCTCCCTTCGACTGTGCTGCAGGTGACACCGGCATTCAGGTCTCAGCTGTGATACACTCTATACATCTCCATACATCTCCATACATTTCACGATGCTCAGCAGGAAGTAATATGAAGCAACATGAAGCAACATGAAGCAACACTCATATTGACTCATCTTGGTGGAATCCTGGTGTCTTGTAGTGGGACACACTGGCCTGGATTGCTGGTTCATGACATTTCGATACATTTGGTATCTCTGTCCCAAACATCGGGGCAACATGACAGTAAGAGTCTTCTTGCGTGCCGAAAGCTTGATTGGTCAAGATGCACACGTGGTTGGCAGCCATATAAGCAACACTACACGAACAGAGGTGTTGAATGGTGTTGAGTAGGAGCATTGCGACTCTTAAGAATTATTGAGTACTCTGCCACTGAGCTCCGACATGTTGCCAGAACAACCTCTCGAGATTTCTCTACAGATTACATCAGATTACTACAGTAGAGGATGTAGAGGGTAGTCCCTTTGAGAATATTTGATCGTTTTGATCACTTGCAAGAGAGGCTTTGTCACTTGGTACCTTTTGGGATTGTTTTCTGCAGTGCAGGAGCTTCCAACTGGCAAAACGGGTGGAGCGATGCAAAAAAAGACTGGTGTTCCTTGGCAACGTTTTGTGAAATATGTTCGAAAGGAAACCGTTTCCAAATCCAAACGTTTGAACCCACGCTATGAATCGCACAATCGACCTCTGAAAGATTTCTGACTCCGACATTTGGCCACTCCCTGGCAGGTTGTAAAAATGCAGACAGAGGCTGTGCGAAGTCTACCACCAGCGCTCCTTACGACTGCCTCTTGCCGTGTTTTTCCAAGAAATTAAGCCTTTGTTTTGCTTCCGGGTGTGAACAAATCAGATTGGAAAGTAGTTAGTTGAGTTTTGCTTGAATTCCAATTGACTTTTAGTTGACTGAAGGTTTGCACCTGAACACATGTTGCAACAAAAATGACACAAATGCAAACTTTGGTATACTTTGGTACTGTAACAATCTGTAACACTTTTCTGTAACTCTTTTGCTGAGGCAATGCAGCCTGGAATAATTGGCAATTCGCTTGGTCGGAGCCGAAGAAAACTTGGTGCTGCGATACCTTCGAGTGGCTTGAAACAAAAAAAGAAAGCTCGACATTCGCGAAAGAATCGAGATGAGTGAGATGAGTGATAATTGAATGAGTGAAAGACGGGGGTGAGTACAGAGTCACAGATTCACTGAAAGCTTATGATTGTCTATTGTGCACATCATGAATGATCGTACATGATGCGATGTAGCGATGCTACTAGTAGCACAACAACATGTCTTCAGTTTCAACGTCTTGTCTAGCTGCGTTGCCAAGACGTGTGTGCACAGCAAGTGGCTTCCTTGAAAACTAGAAGCTGTGACAAGGATGGGCTGTGTGTCCAGAGACGAGAAACTTGGGGCCTACGATTGCCTCCGGGCTTTCAATCAGAGGTTTCAAGATGTTTCAGGGCATGTCAAGGCAGTGTTTGAAAGATCCGTTGGCGCACTTTGAGGCGGCCTTAAATCCGAGGGAAAGGCATGCAAAGATGTCCGACAAAGGCTATGTACGCTATGTAATTACATTTGATAGTTGAAAGATGTAGGAAGATGTCGGAAGATGTTGGAAGCATTGAAAAGCAAAATTGTGCGAATTCCGTTCATACTTGGATTTCAACATTTTCAACCGAGGTAGTGGCACCTTAATCGATACGTGGTCTACGCAAAAGCGAATGTTTTGTTGCGTCTCAGCAAAGTTAGGATTTGCTTTAATGGAATTTTGAGGGAGCGCCAAGACTATTCTTAAAGCAACAGCATCAAAGCCTCACCCACCAGGAATGGCGAGTGACATTGAACTGACCGTTCTTTCCTAGATTCCTAGATTCTTAGATGCTTGAGTGTTGGATGCTAGGTGATGCTTCTTGCCGCTACCAAGGTGTCACAAATGTCACATGTGTCCCGAGCGTCACAATGTGACAACTAAAAGACAACAGGCCAAATCAACTTGTTTGAAGGAATTAAGTTCTGCTCGTACTGGAAAGTGACGGAAAGTGTGTATTTCTCAAGGCCATGTTTTTTTTGACAGGACTTAATCGGTGACTTCATTGCCGCTGCTGTTTTTCAGGTCAGACCAATAGTGTTGGTTGCATAGCAGCCGGTTCAGTTCACTATGACTGCCAGGCAGATCTCCGACCCTGCGACGGGTTGTGAGAGGTAAGAATGTAAACTTGCAAAGTATGGACCATGCCAAAAAGATAGCTACGATCAGCTACGAGCCACGAAGATGTTTTGGTTCCAATTCAAAGCGTGCAAGCCGATGGAATTGGATAATCAAAATCAGTTCGGAACTTGATCGGTGCAGGCTGGCTTCACCAACTGGAAAAAGGGCCGCTCTGGCTGCAGAAAGAGCTGGTGTCCATGGTGGCAACAGTGGAAACATTGACAACGGTGACAATGGCAAGAGATGGCAAAAGACAGAGCATGCTCCTCAGGTTGGTCGCCAGACAAAAAGGCCTGGTGTTGCCATCATGCGAAGGTGGGCTGGCCTTATGAGAACCAAGCTCAGATGGCTGATGTTAGGTGATATTAGGTGATATTGCCTGATTGTTGCGGGAACAATCTTAAATCATGTGGGCCAAAAGCATCCAAAAGTCAGGTATTGCTGACATTGTGTCGAGGTCAAAGTACATCTGAATTTTCGCTATTGTGAATGATGACTGAATCAATGAGGCTATGTCTTAGATGTGTTTCAAGCAGACTAACAGTGACTAACACTCTGTACATCTTTGTACTAAATACATCTAAATACTGTGCTGGAAGGCCGCCTGTCCAGAACTACCACCTTTCGGCTGCAATTCGCAGTACGAGCACTGGCAGGTACAGCGGGTCAAGTCAGATGGCGATGGAAAATCAACAAGATCAACAAGAGACTTCAATTGAGACTTTAATGAGATTCGCTTTGTCTAGTTTACAAGAACCGCCCACTTTTGAGTTTGCCGTGGAAGACTGTGTTTGGTTCATGTGCTTGCTTTCTGATTTCTGATCATATGGACTTCTTGACTTGAAAGTTACATCAAGTGCCATCACTACATCTCCTGCTCATCATGTCAGGATTAATGTAGACCAACTTCACTTTAAGCGGCCCCCGGACCTCTAGACGCGAATATGTGGAGAAATTGCTACGTGTAGTTTACAGAGATGCCATTTTTTTACCCATTTACAGCTGTGATAGTTGTAAGCCATGCTGCCATCCGACTTAAAATGGGAGGATGGGTTGTGGTTGCGGGCTGTGTTAGCTGCGGCTGTTGCTGTTGCAGAATGCCTGGTCGGTCCTCAAGCAGCAGTTCTGTTCCAGCCTCAGTCGCACCTTCGGCCGAACTCGCAGCTTCTGTGAGGTGTTCGCACGTCTTTGCACACCTTTACAATGTGTCCATATGTATCCATATGTACAATATTGATTATTGTATAATACTGTAATATAGTGTATAATGATGTATAATGATGTATAACGTATGTATTCCATATGTATTTCATATTCCATATGTGTCCTACGCCTCAGACGGCTCCGATGGCCATGAAAGCTCAAGCCAAAGTGGGACTCGGCCCATGACTAGCAATACAGCCTCTCCGCCAGAATCCCAGCACAAATCACCACAATTTTGGACAAATTTGGAGAATTTAAAAGAATTTGAGATTGTTTGAGTCGTTTTGAGTCGATTCATATTTGAACAGCTTTGAACAGCTTTGAACTCTTCACGTTGATCGATCGTTTGTGTTTGCATTTAGATCCATTTAGAGATCACAAGACGCAGGATACGCAGGCAACTCAGGCAACTGAACCGGTTGACAAGACAACAGCATGCCAAGGTATGAGCTCGTATGGTACTTTGCATAGGCCCCAGAAAGAGAAAACCGGGGGCAATTCTGCCTTCCTGACAGCGACATTGATTGTTGCTGATGTCGTGGGTGCAGGCCACTTTGTTTTTCTTTTCCTATGATGTCAACTTCTTTCAAGAATAGACCTTTTGCTGTACTTTCAAAAGCTGGTCAGAGCGTTGTTTGGCAAGTCTTTTTGCAACCAGGAAAGCATAAAGCAGTTCTGTTCAAAAGAAGCGATGCGGCAATGATGAATGCAATGGGTAGTCCAATGAATTCTGCTTTTTTCCTTCAGCTTTTTTGGAAGGAGTTCTGGCCATGGGCGATGCCGTTGCAAAGCTGGGGTGGTTTCTTGGAGCGATGCTCATTCTGCTCATGCTCGCAGCTTGGAAGAAAGTGGAAGAAAGTTCTCCGAGTCATTCCGAGTCATTTGTTGAAGCAGCACATAGCAGCACTGTGCACATGCAAAGGACATGGCCGGAGCCCAGTAAGATGCAGACAGATGCAGAAAGATACAGAAAGTGTGCAGAATGTGTGCAGTACTGTAGGTGAACCCAACTTAAGAGATTTAGGAGAGGAGAGAGTTACCGGGGAAGAGGAGTCATTATATGGTCATCCTATTGCACCTATCGCACCTATTTGAAGCGCAGCTCTGGTGTCAGGCAATCAATACCCACACAGCCATCTTGCTGTGGAGAGTTCACCAAGTCTATCCGAAGGCCATGGAACAGATTTCGTTGCCATTTTTACGCCGTCGGTAGAAGTTTCTGAGGAGCAACACTGCATCAACACTTTCACCTGACCTTGGTATACCTTGGCATGTGCAGTAGTTAGCAGATTGAGCTTTCCATAGCTCCGCCCCAGACCACGTCCTACTCGGATTTGGCGGTCGCAAGTTTTGGCACTGCCAGTCAACCGCAAAAGGATGCCATTCAGGTCCAATTCCGGCAAAGTCGGTGTGGGACATGCTACACTTGGGACGGGTAAGAGAAGGGAACAACAGAAGCTACAGATAGCTACAGTAAATATAGCATAATATAGCTGAGTATAGCTTAGTCAAGGGTCTGAGGTCCGGATATTGATGAGCTTCCTGTTTTGGACAAGAATCTCTTGCACAATTATCCAATTCTACCTGTGCAGGAATTTCTACTTTCGCGGATTTGATCTTGTCTGGTTGTCTGGTTTGAGTCGGTTTGAGGGTGAGTCTGTTTGCAGGTCTTGGTAGCTGGGGCGCAGTATGGATCGATTTTTCTTTCGCTTGGACTCTACTCATTGAGCATTGGCCAAGGCGCTTGAGTTGGGGCATGGGCCTTCGGGAGAGTTGATATCGGCAGTCTGAAAGGGTTCCAACGATTCAGCCGAAACGACAGGCTTGGGCATGCTCTTCTACGAGGTCCTCTTGAGCTGTTTCTTTGACACACCATTGACCCTACACTGTAGGCATCTCGCTCTCTCGCTTTCTTAATGCTTCCATAGTTCATCAATAAGTTCATCAAGATTGATCGTAATTGTGTGTAACAAGGCAGGGTTTCAACATGCTTCAATATGTTTCAACCCACAAATTGAAAGCACTGACCGTCGTTGATCTGACGGAATCGGAGCTCAACCGGTTCGAACGGTTCGACCGGTTCCACCGGTTCGATCGGTTCAAGGTGCATTTGTGCTTGCCTGTCTTCACTTTGGCTGGCTGCCTCTTGCTGCTACCTCTGAATTTCTCAGTTCGCGATCTCCACAGCTTCAGATGGGCTCCACATATCAATGTGACTCGCATCAAGTTGAACCAGATGCTTATGGTTTTGGATCGCGGCTGTGTTTCCAACATTTGCTGAAGCTTTGCACAGCATATGTTTGCTGTTTCCATGCCGCAAAACAAAGGGGACGACGGTTTGAGCGACTTAAGCGCACGAAACACCATGAACTCTGCAAGGTAAAGATAAACAGACACAGAGCAAAGACTCCCAACTAATGCACGTTCGCTCGAGGTAGCTTGCACCCTTGGCACGGTCCTGACGCCTATCTTGTGGATGACAGTCCATGGTGGCCTCGATTGCATTTCTGGCAATACGAATTGATTCGACGCAAAATATTCTGTTGACGACTGTGAAATTACGTCATGGATTCTAACATATGTTCAATAGCTAGTTTTTGGATGAATTTATGAACATTTCTGAATATGCAGTCAACATATAGTCTTTGAAACGCATGCTGAAATTACAGAGGTCTCGAGGTCACCCGTCTGGAAACTTCTCGTGTGGTGCCCTTCGAGACCCTGTCGGCGTTCAACGTCTTCTCAGCCGTGAGTCTCTTGCCCAAATTCTCAAATCATTGAATATCATTGAACTTGAGATTCTGCTGTTGATATCATTTGAGAAGTTTGAGATCTGCAATTCAAAGGGGAGCGAAACGGAGTGAAAGGGAGTGAAGTTGGACAGGTGGAGGATGGTGGAGGCTTGGAGGTGTCTTAGTGGCTTCGAACCAAGGCACGATTGCCTTCGCTTTGCAGGGGCACCCCATCATTGTGGAGATCCTGGCAGAGACTTGTCCTTTTTCCTTGACGCAGCAATGGGAAGGTAGAGAAAGGTAGAGAAAGGTAGAGAAACGTAGAGAAACGTAGAGATAAACTGAAAAGATGAGACTTTTTGCTTTGCCTTAGATTTTTCTTCGATTTCGACACGAGCGTTTATGAGTAAGTATCTGACTGGTAGCTTTCAGTGGTTGAGTCCCTTTCAAGAGGATGTACACGCCGAGGCAATCAGCTTCAGAAGATGAGAACTGGGGTTTCAATCGTTTTTTTCTATCATCCTTGATGCAGCGCATGTAGAGTAAGCTGCACCTTACGGTTTCATACTGTGTGTCTGTCTGTGGCCATTCTGTACCCGAGGAAATGGCAGACACTTCGGAGTTCCCAAAAGCTTACATTGGTCTATCAGCTCCATTCCAGGCATTCACATTCTTAGGCCGGTCACTGGGTGACTCTGCGAAATGAAGCTGGAACAAACTCACCTGCAAAGAATAGCAACAAGTAAAGTAGAATCTATGCAAACGGGTACCATTTCAGTTGTTTGAATATGTCGTTTGCAAGGATCATGTCATTCATGGTTCGCGTGCAAAAGAGTCCGGAATCTCTTCAATTCTGGCAACAATGCTATTCCTGGATTTTCCATCCTGACAATTCACCGAGGATGCCCAGAGAAAGTATTCTGCAAAGCGTTATTCTGACAGGTGTAGGTCTGTCTGTGTACTACTTCCGTGGCTCTGCATCGTCAGAGATGTTGCTCACAGAGAAGCTTGGCGAAAGGAGTTTCAACATTGCAAATTTATGCAGATTGTAATGAAGTTGTGACGTTGTCCAGGGTACCGAATGCGGGGCTCTGATAGTGCTTCAAGTGAGATGCATGTCGTCAGTGGATTTGTCACTTGTCCGGTCAAGAAGTCAAGCATTCTTTGTGAAGGTTGACGTGGGAAGTCGTAGCACTTTGCCGGATGCCTCATGCCCGAGGATCCCATTTGGAGGTTACAATCAAATAGCCGCTCTTTGCATGCTGACACACATGGTAGCTGGTCTGCACTGAACACATCTGAAGACATCTAAACACATCTCAACGCATTTGGACGCATGTCGGAATTTTTTTGGCAGACGTTTCAGGTGATCACCTACGTCATCAACAGTGTTGTCTTGGGCAGCAAGGTTGACAAATGGATCCGGCCATCTGTCGGCCATCTTGCGCACCTTGGACGCAGAATTCAAAGAGTTTAAGCATGTTTGCGGCATGTTTTAAGCTGGAAATAGCTGGAATGCTTTTGGCTCTTTACGGTATGTACGGTATGTATCGGTATGTATCGGTATGTACTGTTTGCCGAGTTTGCCGCGATGCTCAAGGTGGCCCATTGCTGTGCTATCCATAGTCTTCGGCTCCTACCTCACAGCTCAGGCACTGCCAGCGATTTGTAAGATGACATAGTTACTGCATAAGTTGCATAAGTTGCATAGCTGACAGGACCCGTCGTGATGGAAAAACCACATGGAACCCGGGAAAAAGGAGTAAATAGCAGTAAATTTATTCATCAGTCGAGGTCTCAAGTTTATCATGCTTGAAAAAGCTTTTGCATTTCGGATTATCATCCTGCTTGTTCACGACTGTGATGTTCACTGACATTTGGCAGATCATACCGTTCTTCGACGATCTCGTCGATGTATTGGGAACAACGCTGACACCTTTACTTTGCTGCTCAGCCAGCATTGCTCTTTTCGAAACTGGACACAATAAAAACACACACATACATGTCACATGTTGATATTTGTCCGTATTTGTCTACATTTGTTTATACGTGTTTAAACAATTGTTTAGTTGTTTCATGTTGTTTCTGGGTCTCTTCACATATCTTTGTTATTGCCACGGACTGCAAGTCAGCGGGTACTGCTTGGACGTTGCGTCCGGGCTGTAGATGGCTGTAGTGGTGTAGGCCTGGTGATCCCAATTGCTTTACTTCTTCGTTGCGTCTTTGACGACCGAATCGCCCTGGGAAAGTTCGAAGCTTCCGCGCTGATGCTGGAGCTCTTCTTTGCTATGGTTGCGCGGCGAGGCAAACGCAGACATAGGCAGACTTTGAGACAAACTATGACAAACTTACTAACTTGAATTGAGGCTGAAAACACACTGAAGACACGAAGACTCGCTGTCACACCAGGTGGCTCGCCAGGTGACTCACTCATTTTGTATCACAGCAGCGCATATCAGCGCGCCTATGACTTGCTATGATTTGTTATGATTCTGGGTACTCGCTATCAGCAGCGCTATCAGCCCTCACAGAGCCCAGGTTTTGATCATCCAGGGCACTGTCTCCACCCTGTGTGACGCTCAGAGACGGAATCGCACCTGACATCTGAAGACATCTGCCTGCTGCTACTGAAGCTGCAGTGGTAAATCTCAACTCAGTTCCGAAACGTTTTCAAACTTTGATAGTCAACATAGTCAATGGCACATCGAAATCTGAGCAGAGTCTGAGGCAGCATATCGTGGCACAGTGGCACACCTATGGATGGCCATTTGCTTGTCATTGCGAGGACTGCAGTGACTGCACCATGTTGGTTTCAAGGGACATGGATCCTCAAGGCCCATCACTTTGTGGTTGGGGTTTCCAAACCTACTCTGTCAGTCGGGAGAAAGGGCTCGCTGGGGTGACAGTGAAAGCATCCGTAGAAGGAGATATGGCACTTCAAAGGAAAACACCGTCGAAGAAACAATCATAGGTGAAACTAAAGCTATCACAAGATGTAATGTAATTATCAGAACATCCACAAGGCACGCCGGCAGGGCGGATTTCAAAAAGGAGTCAGGACTGTGTGGGAAGACAACATGTGTCGTCAAGCACCTCTTTGGGTGTTACATGGTGTTACTCCATGTTACTCCCGCACTTCGATGTTGCTGATCTGGATGCATCCCGGGTGACAATTTGCGACTCTGCGGAATTCACAAGAGGGGTTGGCTGGCTTGGCGTCTTTGTTTCGGATCCTTAAAAAATGCTACCAGTTTGAAAGCAAAATCCAGGAGCTCAGGGAATCAAGGAAATAGCAAAAAGATGCAAAAAGAATCTGTTTGAGCCTTTGATGTGTGCTTAGAGTTGCACAGCCTTGCCTAGCATCAATGCGCCAGGATATTTGGAATACTTGCCAGTGCTCTGCAGACAGGATGGCAGATTGTCTGACCTCATGAAACAAATCGTTTCGTTGGTGTGATGTGATCACAAAGTTTGCAAATGCCGCTGATGGTGTCTTATCAAAACGAGTCACTTGAAGGGAGAGACATTCTCAAGACACCACCCGCGGCTGCGGTTCTACAATCTTATCTTCCAGAGCCCAGGAAGGCTCTCAGTCCCCATTTCTGCGGCTTGACTCTTTGTGCGTCAGAAAAAAACACCTTCCGCTAGTATCGCAGAACTTAAACACAGGGAGATCAGGGAGCAGGGATGGCAGGGACAGAGAAAGTTTGAAAAGTGTGTCTCATGACATCATGAGATGAGTCACCAAGGAGATGCGTTGTTACCAAAAGGGATGCCCCTTGCAGTGCGCAGAACATGAAGGGCTTGACTCTAAATGCTTGAAACATATTTTTTTGAACATCTTAGAGCTGTTTTTGTACTAGAAAACGAGGATCAATTTGCAGGCTGTTTTACCATGTACCGTAGACCACCAGGTTTGAGTTTGCCACATCTGGAAATTTCTAACTAAGTCCCTCGTTGCAACTGTTCTGTGCCGCGTGCAGTGGCGCCTAAGGTTGCAAGGAGCATGAAAGAGCTTGCCCAACCACGGTCCTCACCACCTCTGAACCATTTAATTGCATCTTGGCACATCTTGGCACATCTTGATGGTGCCATTGTGCCATTGTGGACGGTGTAGTGACTTCTTAGGCTCTAGAGTCTCTAGAGTCTCTAGAGGTCACCGTTTTGATGAAAAGTTGCAGGTGTAGTTTGAACACTGACGTGGGATGACGTGGGATGACGTGGGCCTCCGGGCATCTGGCATCAGCACACCATCAGCAGACTTCATCAAATATCTTCAAACTCCACACTGTTCAAATCTGTTCAACTACATTAGTAACTACATCTTCTCATTATGTAATCATTATCTTCGACATATGTTCGACATATCTCCACAATTTTCCACGTATCTCCACATATCTCTGAACCAAGATCTTCACAATTCTTCACATCTCACAAGCGTCAGGTGCTGCAGGGTTTGCCAACTGGATCCATGGCTGGTCAAGACTGAAGAAGGACGCGCGGGGAAGCCAGAGGCAGAACAGGTGGACGATGTCCTAGCTGAAAGATCTGAAAGCCATGATTTTGGGGCAAGAATTGAACACTTCGGGTTCGCTGCATTCGCTGCATTCTGCAGGTCTGACTTTGTTTGATTCGCTGATTCGCTTGCGCGAATTGCAACATGCTTAGCCTATTAGCCTAGCTGATCCAAGCAGGTCGGATGCCTTACGCCATTGTGGATTGATGTGTGCATATCTTTGACGTGTTTGCGACATGTATAGGCGTGTTTTGTAGCTGAAGCCCAAGCAGGAGTGGTGTTGTGCTCATCGGTCGATGGGTTGCCAGAAAACTACAATTGTGCCGTTCGAACCATGGCACCAGGAGCAGTACTTGTGCAACCGTTCAGCAATCATTTCAGAAGTCATCATTTCCTTTATTTCATTCCATTGGACTTTGGTTTCGTCTTCGTACTTGCCCTTCTATTCGGGGCGCAAAGCGCAGAAGACAGAGCTGGCCGCCAGATGTCAGACCTTTTTTTTCGAGCAAGCAGTCATACACTTCAAGCAAAACAGGGCCAATATAGGTCTTTCACTGCTCGAAAAACAAGACAGGTGTTTCGACAAAAATGTCTGTGTGAATCCAGCCTAGTCACTAGTCTCGGGACTCTTCAAATAAATAATGAGAAGGAACTGGAAGGAACTGGAAGGAACCGGAAGTATTGCGCCGAGCCAAGGATTGCAGTGTAGGCTTCGACAACTGGCGACTCGGATGGTCCATTTTGAAGCAACAGTGGTGCTGCTCCTTGGCCGTTTGGGAGGTCGGGAGATCATGGATCGCTAGGGTCGCTGCTAGACTTCGTGACACGTGTGACGTTCAACGTATCTTTCTCTCTGCGTATTTTCATTGGGTAACCGAAATCTGCGACAAAAGGTCCCCGAACAAATGACCTAGGAAAACTTCAATGCAACAAGCCGTTCTCTAATCGCCTGGAAGAATCCGCGATTTTTTGGCAAACTACATATCTTGCCAAGCTGGTTTCAACAACATATTCTTGCCTCATGTCCACGAGTTTGTGCCACTCTCGCTCAGGTAAACATGAGACACGTGGGTGCGTTGCCACAACAACTGTACAGCCGCTACCTTTTGATTGCTTTCATGGTGTGGCTTGGCAGACTTTTCGCAAAGCTGTGCATGCCACATGTTCTTGTACCAAAGACGTTCCTACTAGGAGTCAGCTGCTATTTGCTTTGGACGCGGCAAACAACATAATCGGTTTGGTCCTTTGGCTATTCCCGGACGCTTGACATTTGGCATGTCAGGAGCCACATATCTGGCCTGGAGCAAAGCAGAGCTTCTGTTGTTCGCACTTTGACCTGGGCTGTCATCACAAAAAGTCAGAGCTATTTGCCGCTTGGATTGAAAACAGGAAAGCACTCGAAAAGACAAATATGATCAAATATGATCAAATGGCAATCCAAATTTGTGTAGAGAAGTAAAGATTTAAAGAATGGTAAGACGTGCGCGGACAGAGTGTATGACTGTGGCTTTCCTTGGGCTATTGCTGTTTCATGTAGCAATCCGGAATGACCTGGAATGAGCCTATGAATAGACAGTCTATGTCTCCAAGATATCATAAGATATCCCTGGATTGCGCTTTTCAAGGACTGCTACTCTGGATATTTCAATTGGCATGAGCTTTGGAGTCACCGGCAGTTACCTGGTCGGAGATGTGCCGAGAGTGAGGCGAGGCGAGTCAGGTGGCCTCAGCGTGAAATAGGTGAAAATAGGTGTTCAGAACACCGGTGTTCGGTTTTCATAAGGTCTTCATGTAGCCACATGCAACCAATGCAGCCAATGCAAAACCCAGCCTCACCACACTCACAGTCACACAGCCTGCTTTGAACCCTGGAAACTGATCCGACTGCGAGATCACCCAACGAACTGATTAGTTCTCATTTATTCATGATATTCATGTCTCTTATTCTCTGTTTCTTTTCTTCGATTCCCAGAATTTTTCTGACACAATTCCCACCAAAAGAAGGCCTCGTCGTTTTTTCATCTCTAAGGAAGTCCTATTGCTGCCGCTATCATCACCGGGGTTGTGTTCCTCAGAGCACGCCAGCACCCTATGATTGCGACGCAGGCGTGTGCACGTCAGAAACCAGTGAAAATAGCGAGGGAATGACCTGCTTGATACAGCTCTTCAACAGTCCCGGATGCTCTTTATGTAAAATGTGTTGAGCAACTTTGAACTGGAGTTGCACGCTGAGCCTCATAACTTCTGAAGCCAAGGCACCAAAAAAGTGAACTTAATTTCTTCGAGTGATTCCCACCCTGACACATATACATACACAGACATATTCTGACATTCTATCTGACATTCTATCTGACATTCTTTCTGGCATATACTCTGACATTCTTTCTGATATTCTATCTGGCATCTATTCAGACATACTGTCTGGATCTTTCTGGCATATATATATATATATATGATATATGCTGACATTCTATCTGACATTCTATCTGGCATCTATTCTGGCATCTATTCTGGCATCTATTCTGGCATTCTATCTGACATTCTCGCTGACATGGGCGCTGCCGGACCTCAACCGCGAGTGCCAGATCTCAGTCGGCGGTGCCCCTTGAGATCCAGCACTCGCAGTTGAGATCCGAGGCTGCCGGAGGAGAAGGAGGAGAAAGCAACTCTGATAAAACCTGGAGACAATCACCTGGGGGAACTCAAGTTAGCAACTGAAAACAAGATGCTTCGCAATGTTTGCAGTTTTTCTTCAGAGTTTTGACTTTTTCCAGTGCAGGCTTCGCGCGTTGGGAGAAAGGCGCTCTCCGGGCACATGCAGGGTAGAGGCGAACACACATGTTAAATTGCGAGGAAACCGTGAGAGCTTAACAATAATGTAAGTATACAGCGGTCATGCAATCGTTTACTTCACGTGAATTAGTGGTTGCCGCATGACGCAAATCACATGGTTCCTGCTGCAGTCATAGGTGTAGTGCGAACGATCCGTAAGAAGAGAAACCATGGGAACCTGAAAGAAAGCGGCGCAGACCAAGACCCCTTGAACAAGGTTGAAATATCCATTTTGGAATTTAAATTAATTTCATCAAAGTTTTCGAGACAAACTTCATCTCGCTTCATCTTCCGGGAGTACTCAGAGAATCACTCAGGCTGGTCAGAGGACAAGAAGCACTGGTGCTGTTTGGAGGTGGGATCGACTGGGACTCAGAGAATCTCCCCCGATCCCAGTCGCACAAGTCGCATCACAGTCGCATCACAGTCGCACCGATCGCATGGGGGTCGCCACGGTCCATCGCTCTGCATGGCTCTGCATGGCTCTGCCAGGTGAATCGAGGGTGTGATCCATTCGACTGCCAGGACAGAGACAGGGCCACAGAGCTCCAATTTTCCGAAAGTGTTTTGGGGCCATGGAACTCCATTCCTGTCATCCACACTCATCTGCAGAATCTGTTGTTCTCCAGTATCATCCATTGTCTCGACCCGTTTACACGGTTTACACTTAGATTCTTTGCCCCGTTGAATCCACTCACAGCCTTTGTATTCGTATCACCATGCATTACCAAGCCATCTTCATGAAAATGCAGGTGAATTGGCAAGGGCAAGCCTTCCATCATCTTGCAGCAATGTGTTTTTGATCATTTTTGACTGGTGCTCAAAAAGTTGTACATATACTTTATTTAGGGCAAGCTGTATATCCATAAAGTCAGATTGATACGCTTACATATCATGTTGCACATCATACTAGTACCGTATTTTGATGTATTTTGTATCATCTTGTATATCATTTATAAACACTACTGTACCACTTTCATTCCTTTGAATTCAGTTTCATCCAGTTTCTGGTGGCCACATCTGGCCACACGTTTTTTTTTTGGACCAAGCAGGAGGATGCAGATTCGTGGCAGCGGCAGTGGTTGCTTGGACGCAAATAGTGATTTCCGGTTCCATCCAGGGTAGATTACATGGTAAACCATCATAACCCATGGTAAACATTGGTAAACCATGGTAAATGATGATGGATGATGGAAGAATATGCAGAAACCATGAACATTTCTTGGTGAATACGACCAAATCAGAGAGTTGATGACAGGTCAGCAGCGAAAAAAGCGTGGTGTTGCGAGCACTCCATTCGGGGCTGTGAACCAACTACTTCAAAGCCCATGTTTGACTGCGATGCAGGCGAGGATTCATCGTAGTCATCGATATTCAGCATCTTAACATCTCGAAATTGTCATGGTACAGTGATGTACAGATATGTAATGTGATGTCGGATGATCCATGATGATCCTGTACGTGTTTGACGTGTTCGTGTTTGGCACGATGGCGTAGCCTGTCTAGTGATCATCCCTTGTGAGCCATCGCCTAGAAGCTCCTCCAGAGACACGTGCTTCAAGCCATAGTAAGATATAGTAAGATATAGTAAGCCCCAAGCAAAGGTTTCCTTGTCATATCTGGATTTCTTCGATTTCTTACCAAATCGTTTTTTGTCTTTCCACTGGCGGATTCTGGGGTCGAACTTGCACTTCCCTTCGCGTCCACACCGTGTGCAGCGAAATTTGAATTCATGCTGAGCATATCCAAACGTTCTACAAGCTTCACATTCCGTCCTTATGTGTGACCTGAATATATTGAATGTGCAGGAATCACAGAACCACGTCCGTGCATCCACAGCAGCCTTAGCACCCACCACAGCATTTGCAGCATGACCACCAGGGCAACAAAAGCTTCACCCTCCATGAGAAGTGTGCTCACTCTACGCAAAGTATCAATCAGATGGGAAGTTGATACTGCCATTTTCGGAACTCGTCCCCGTCTTCCCAACCAATTTGGGCAGACTATCCCTGCGTTGCAAGGCTACGAAAACTGGGAGAAGGGCTGGTCTCCGCAGAAACGCTCCTGGTGCTGCAACTCCTTCAACAGGGCTTGCGAAGAATATGACCCCCTTCTGCACAGAGTGGAGGGTGAATCTTCTGACATTTCTAACTCCTAGGCTCAGCTGGCAGATTCGGTTTGTTTTGTATCACTTGAGACTGGGGTACCTCTGGAACGGTAGTACGGCGTACGACATTGTCCAATGTGGTCGATACTGCTCAGCACAAACAAAAGACGTTTGAACATATAGAGTATGGACCCGCAAAATTTCTAGGAGAAACTATTGCCAGCGAGATGACTCTTGAAATTGCGGAAGGGGTTCCTGAAAGTGCATGGAGCAGGCAAGCCATCTACTCCAAGCACTGTACAAATACATGCTATCAGTAGCTTTTGCCTTTCCAGACAGAAACGGGCACTGGCCTTGAGTGCCCCATGAAATGCACGTGAGCTCAAGTTTTACAATCTTGTCCAAGTTTTGCAAGTGAGCGCACGTGTCCAGGACTGCAGCATGGACTTCAAGACCTGGAAGTTTCTTGTCCTGAGAGGTCCTAGTGCAGATAGCCATAGATCGCTCCTGACCTTGGAACGGTTGAAACAAGGAACAGCAGTTCAAAGGGAGAAGCTCTGAAGTTTGGTTCCTCTTGCAGCTGTGAAGCTGATGCCACTGCTAGCGCGATGTAGGGCTTGCAGTTTCGACAACAGAATCAATCGGCTGTTTGAGCCAGTTTTGTCTCAGGACTTCTTGGACGGAGGTGAAGAAGAGCTGGTGTTGTGACCATGCGAGAGTCGGATGCCCTGCGACGACTACTCCGCCGCTGTAACCTGGACTCAGTTATCTCGGTTCTCAATTTCTACCTCTCTTGTTCTCCCTGTACCATGTTCTACCTGCAGACCTCTCATAGGGTGGAGGAATGCCTTGAAGCCATTTTAAAACAAGCCGACCCTGCAAGATTTGCAATAGGATCAATAGGGAACACTACCAACAGCACCGCTCACCAGAACACTCTTGGTATCTCTTGGTGCTGAACTACTGCACGGGCTTCATGCAACCCGAGTCGCGTTTGACCAATTTTTCTATCCACGTGTCAGTTTTTCTCCTGTGAGGCACGACTGCGATCTGAACTTTCAGCATTGGGAGCTTGGCTGGACTGCTTTGTAACTCCGGATTTGATCGTGATATGTTTGGTAACCTGGTTGAAGTTGAAGCATTTTGGAACCATTTGGAACCATTTGGAACCTGTTGGTGAACCTGCTCTGGCTTCTGAATTGTTGGGTTGTAGTCTTGCCCGGGAATTCTCAGCCAACGCAACACTGCAAGTTGCCATTTACATTGGCAGAATGGCTGTAGAGGACGCAAGTTGTGTTGTGGATGAGATTTCAGTATTGTGTTGCTGATGGCATTGCAGCTTACAGCTGGCCCTTCTCATGCATTGTGAGAGGCAGATATGCAAAGATTGCAAAGGTGACTGAAGCAAAGAAGACATGAATCCATGGTAGATTTCGATGCGGCAGGACGGATGAGAAGAAGCACTTCTGTTGCGGTGCGACTGGACGTGCCTGTGATCCTTTCGACTGCTCAGAAGGGCTAGAGCAGTGGCGACTTGAAAGAGCTAACATATTTTTCTGCTGACATCAATTTATCATGGCAACAGTGTGCTGTCTAATCTGTCTACTACCTTGCCATCAGTTCCCAGATGGAGATGAGTACCTCAATGATCTCGAAACTCGTAGATGTGGTCTTTGCTGCGCCAGATGTGTCAAATAATTATATAAGTCATGCATACGATATTCGTGCTGTACATCAGTGTTTCTGAAAAGAAAAGAAAACGCGTGATATATGCATTGATTCTGCCCAGACGAGAAAACAATTCTTTTCTGAGGCAAACAGTGTGGGGCTTGGCGAAAAGAGCTTGGTGTTGCGAGCGCATCCAAGTTGGCCTGGAAGCCAAGATTGGGCAAACATGGGACTTGGGCTGCTGCTCTTTTCGTCTCTTTTCGTCTCTTTTCGTCTCTTTTCGCCTCTTTTCGTCTCTTTTCGTCTCTTTTCGTCTCTTTTCGCCTCTTTTCGTCTCTTTTCGTCTCTTTTCGTCTCTTTTCGTCTCTTTTCGTCTCTTTTCGTCTCTTTTCGTCTCTTTTCGCCTCTTTTCGTCTCTTTTCGTCTCTTTTCGTCTCTTTTCGTCTCTTTTCGCCTCTTTTCGTCTCTTTTCGTCTCTTTTCGTCTCTTTTCGTCTCTTTTCGTCTCTTTTCGTCTCTTTTCGTCTCTTTTCGCCTCTTTTCGTCTCTTTTCGTCTCTTTTCGTCTCTTTTCGTCTCTTTTCGTCTCTTTTCGTCTCTTTTCACTTTTTCTTTGTCTCTTTTTGTTTTTTCTTTTCCATTCTTTGTCTCAAGTTCTCAAGGGAGTAAAGGGCAGCCTATGGCATGATTTCCTTTGAGTTGGCAGCCGTAGACACATGTTTTCAGTCCAGCAACCCCAAGGTTGTCCAGCCACCACAGTGAAGCCATACCATTGTGATGACGGGCGCAATGCTGGAACTTGGGAAGCACCCAAGCGGTCCTGGTGCGGGGCTGAGATTCTGTATTCACTTGCAACAGCCTGATGAACTGGCTGGTCTTCTTGTGTTGTCTTTTACACTGCATTTGTTCCAGATCTATCCAGATCTGTTGTTTTTGTTTCATTTTGTTTCCTCTCCCAACATTTCAAATGATCAGCGCAGCTTTTTGATGCAGGGATTCCACTGGATTAGACAGATTCTTGCCAAAAGGACTTCGCATTGCAGGCGTTGCATGTAGAGATGTGATGAGATGTGTAGAGACCAATGGAGTTTGCGACGTTTGCGACAGGTGCTGCCACCATGAGCGTCTGGGATGTCCTGAAGACATCTTCGACTGCCACGCAGGTCTGAAAGACTGGCGCCATGGATGGTCCAAGGCACAAAACTTAAAACTTAAAACTTAACTGGCTGCACAGTCTGCACAGTCTGCACAGTCTGCACAGTCTGCACAGTCTGCAGATCCTATATGCACATCTTAAGCTGGTCAGCTGGTCCTACATTGTCCTACATTCTGTTTTGCGGTAGTGGGAAGGCAAAGAAAGAGTGGTGCTGTGAAACTCTCCACCGCGGTTGTGAGTGAGGCGCCAAACCCAAACATGGACTTAGTCGGTTCAGTGTCACAACTGTGACAACTGAAAAGACACGTTGCTATGGAATCCTTGTGGTCAATCAAATCGGACCAAAGCAGCGGAATATTCTTGAGCTTTCCTTGATTCGGATTGGTTACTTCGCAAAATGGACTTACGCATTTGAAATCATTTGAATAGTATTGGCATGTATTAGCCTGTCCAGTTTGCGTTTCCAAACTGGCGACACCAACTCTTCTAGCTTTGAATTAGCCATCACTAGCCTGTGGCATCCTGTAGCCAATAACTCAAACTCAACAAAGACCTGGCACGAGAGTGCATTCCAAATGCTTTGGCAGGCCGGGTGGCATGCCTTAGGCACGAGAGTGCATTCCAAATGTCAGAGATTTGACGCCCAAGACCATAGTCGAAACACAAAACTTCAAGAATCTGCAGGATAAAGATAGGAAATGAATGGAAATGATACGAAACACATGGAAAGACACAGTCCGTTGTGATGAAACCAGAAAGGATCAGTGTGAAATTGTTTGGCTGAGTTTGCACGGTGAAAAGATGTGGTAAGGTGTGACAAGTTCCAACATGATCCAACTTGAAGAGACATGTTTTCACATGCCTGATCGTATTCACCGTTTCGCATAAACACCGCAGAGCATTGAGGCATGGGAGCGTGGCTCCAGCGTAAACATAGTGAGAGGCAAAGTCTCTCTCGATATTTCGGCCTGACCGCCAAGTTCAGATTTGAAAGTTCAATGTTTTAACTCCACATTTTAAATACTTTTAAACAACCAACAATTAAATGAAAATCAACGTGACACACTCATTTGCAAATCAAAATGCCTTTGCAAATCCAAATCCCTGGGGCAACTCTCATGAGAAATTTCTGCGAACATCGACTGTCATTTGAAGGGCTATCAGACACGCCGGAAAGCGGACCGACGCAGATAGTGCGAATGATGATGCAACGGTCAGTCGTAAAAAGTCCTTCCAGGATCTTTGGAATGGTTCCATATGATGTCTGGCAACATTTCTGTGCGTCAATTCAAGAACATGAAGCTGGACAATACTGTGGCCCATTCCGTTGAAGCGTCACGATGCAACATGTTCTCCAGCTATACTGTGGTGTGTTTGACTTTTCAGTTGAAAGTACACATGAGGCTCATGTATGGTGTGTGTGTGTGTGACGTCTGAATAGACGTAAAACCTCTAATCTAGGACTTTCGAGTATGCAGGGGGCACAGGCCCATTGTGGATACCTGTGCCAACGAAGCTATTCCACAATGGGGGAAGCGGAGATTGATCACCTCCGTGTACCTGCACTTTTTGACTGTTGTGGCAAGGGGCTAAGCCGAGAACCCCAATCACAATGACAATGACTTTATTTCTTCACGGTTGCCACAATCTGTTATTTATTAAATTTATTCTATCTCATCGACATGGCAAAGGGCTAAGCCGAGAACCCTAGCGAGACAACTCATTTCTTCATTTGGGATTTATTCTTTTTCTTGGACATGGCAGAGGGCTAAGCCAAGAACCCTAACGAGACAATTTATTCATTTGGGGACTTTGTCTACGGCTTTTTACTCTTGGGGTCTACTTGAACCTGTTTCCGGTCGTGATTGCCTTTAACGGACTTCCTTCCCAATATTCGGATACTACATCGAGGAGATCTACCTTAGGTCATTGTTTCTAATCTAATTGCATGTGAGGGGATTCAGTTCCCAACGGATCACTTCAATGATCCATTTCTTGTCTAGTGTGTGAACCATTGTGAATCAATGTATGAAAGGATCATAGTGCCAGATCATTGATGCAAAAAACTACAGTTGACTTAGCCCAGCACCCAGCTGCCCAGCTGCCCAGCTGCCCAGCTGCCCTGCTTTCCAGCACATAGTTCCGAGAGCCGCTTTTGCTTTCCAGTTTTTGTCCTTTTGCTTTGATTCGCTTTGTATCAATGTGTGGCAGGTGTCCAAATTGTGAAACGCTTTGATAGGCATTGTTAAGCATGCTCGAAGGCATCTCTCGATGAGACATCTTGAAAAAAAATTGAAACGCAGAGTCAAATCGTACTGTTTTCAAAAAATGCAGGGAAGTAACCGCCTTGGGAGAGTCTTACGGTGTCTTTCCAGCCTCATGACATTTGGGAAACTTCCCCTGTTGCGGCAGGGCAAAGTGCCACGCGACTGCCAGAGATCCGATGAAGTTTGGACGAGATTCGGAGCGTTTTAGGAGATGAACTTGTTCGCTTCGCCAAGCGAAGGACAATGTAAAGTTTCACCTGGCAAGGCTTGCTTATCAAGGACAGTTACATAAACAGTGAGTGATACTTCTAGATTCATTTTTTGTGTTGAAAGAAACTGTTTCACTGAGTGAGGGTCATTCTTGACCTTGCAATTTCCTAGTTCTGCTTGCCTTGCTCCTCCCTCGGACCAGAAAAAAAAGGATTCGACGGATCACAGCGCCTTTGAAGAGCATGGGATTGTCATGTATATAGCTGCCAAAAAGGTATGAGTTGGCCCTGGACCAAGGGAACAAACCTTCCAAGTTCGTTGAAACTGTTGTGAAATGTCCTTCTTTGCAATCTTTGCCCGGATTATTATTTGCCTTGTCCCCATACTTTTGTGATGGCGAGTTTTTCCTTATACCTATATACAGGCCTCCTTTGCTTTGACCGAAGCAGTTTTCAAGCCGCGGGGCGGAGATCATGAAACTTGAGCCATGTAATAACCACTGGCCAGATGTAGATGGATCAAGAGGAAATAGTTTGGTGAAGACGGTGAAGAGTGTTTTCATATGTTTTCATCCAAATGAAGCAGCACCGCTCAGTATCAGTTGAAGTCGTGAGAAGAGTAGCTTTCAGCTTTAAGGATGGCTCTCTGATACAAGACCAATACTGTCAATACTTCAAGAGTGACAGCCTAGCTGAACATATTGCACTTCTCTGAACATAGCCAGATTTGATCAGATTTGCACCTCGGTCGGAGCCAATATCGCCTTGTGTAAGGTGCCCACTGCGTGGACTGCTTTGTTCACTCAATTTCAGTCCGGCCTTTGTCACAGTGGCGCTAACGGCGCTATGCTCTAACAACACTCATTTTTTGAGACCCAAGTAAGGAAGACGTCGACATACGTGGACCGTGCTGCATGACAGCAAATTTGCTAATGCAGCCAAACCACTGGTCCAGATATGGAGTTTGGCGTGGTATTTCATCCTATATATTTCAAAGTTAATTTCACTTGGCAATCCATGTCCAATCTGATTCAATCCATGTGTTTCACATGTTTTGCGTATCAGATGTCAGACGGGCAGCTCAGGGATCATGCGACGCGCATCCGTTTTGGCCTTAGGAATCTTAGGATGGGCTGCGAAGAGCGGTGCCGGGCCAGTAGGGTTCATTTCGGTCTGTTTAATGTTTTACAATCTATAGGTTGTTTTAGAATGTTTTACAAATGAAATGATGGTTGGAATGATTTGGAATGACAAAAATCAATTCAGACTCGAAACTGAAGCGCTGCTGAAGCTGCAATGTGTGACGTGTCACGCATGTTGCACGACCAAATGTCGTGCCACCAGGTCCAGACGAGACAAATCTGTAGGTGGGGCCGTGGTAACGGGCATGGACAGGAACACTCACACAGCAGACTCGGACACAAAATGAGGAAACATGATGAAACATATTGAAACATTGGTCACTCGGACTGGACTCAGTTGACAATTTCACAAAGATCCAAAGATATCCAAAGCATCACATTTCTATTTGAAAGACGTTGAAAGTATTTCAATGATGCTCAGCATACATTCAGATAGACTCGGTACCAGTATCACTCCAAATCACTTTTTTCCAAGCCATTCGCATGCAATCTTTACATTCACCCTAATTATTGCCTTGTATATTGCAGCAGGTCAATTTTATTTAGCAAGAGACAATATGCAGCTCAGGTTGGAAAATCCAAACATTTCAAAATTGTGTTGCTCAGTCGATTATTTCTTGCTACGCTCATTTGTTCAATGAACATGTACATTTGCGCAACCTCATACTTTGAAAGTCAAAAAGCGAATACTTCTCAATACTTCTACGTACGACTTGGTTGCGCAGCCCAGGCTGTATTCTTCAGTCCCATCGAAGCCAACAACTGGTTTGCCTGAGAGCACGGGGGCCTTCTGATGTCTCCTGCTGTCAACATTACCAACATTGCAAACGTTAGTTAATTATCAGTTAATTCAACATAATTCAGACATCCTCACGTGTACCATGTAGTTTGAAGAAGTTTACATGATATTCCGGCTGTCTCTAATGACTAAAAGAGCTTGAATTTGGATGTTGAATGGACATGAATGGACTGACTGAATAGATTGTGTTCTTTGCGCGCCCAAGGTCATCCAGAGGCTTGGCGACAGGACAGAGAAAAGTACAAGGATTTAGACAGGCACAGCAACAGCGGAGCTGATGGAACGCCCTTTGCCAATTTGACAAAGGTCATCCTCAGACTGTGTCAGTCCAACGTTTTGCCGGTCAAAACGAAACTGAATTTTCAAGTTTTTTTCAGTGTACTGCTGTAACTTTCGTGAAATTAGAAGAACAACTACTTGTAGAAGAAAAGATATATGGATTCTGATATGAATCGAACAACCCTTTTCTCAAATGAATCAGACTTGGTGCTTTACCGTGCTTTGCTTTCTGTGCGCTCAGCTTTCCCGGTGGACGCCAACCTCCAAGGGACTTCAGGAGAGCAACAATTGTGTCGTCCAAGGTATTGACATCGAGCAGACGACAGACATTGGTTTTGGACAGAAGTGGATCCCGAACTATTAAAGCTTCAGAAGCATTCTATGTTTTCTAATTCTATAGTTTCTAATAGTTTCTATTGATCTCAAGTGACAGGCTTTCGTCTCTAAATCTCCACGTTGCAGGATGGGACCATATGCGAGTACTATGGTCAAAGATCCAGAAACGGGCAAGGCACATCGGAGATTCATATCATTCCTTCGAATCTTGAATCACATTTAAGCTTATTTCATTTCAAGTTATTCCGATTTAATATTCATCGAGAGTCTTGTGGTTGATACTAACAGCTAGTAGCATGTTCACAGATCGCCACAGCTACCACAGCGGCTACCGGACTCTCATGGACTGTCACCGGTGATAGAGTTGATAGGTCTATCCGAAGGGAAAGTTCTTTGCACATCCTCGAGATGATCCGGTGACCTTCGTGGTGACGGGCTCACGCGCGATTTTACCTCTTCATACAGCATACAGAAATCATATGAAATCATACAGTACTCCAGTAACATCCAGTAATATCCAGTAATCACACAGCTGTACTTTGATCGTGGAACGTTCCACTAGAGGTCGACCAGAGTAGCGTTTTTAAAACAGCTTGGACGCCTTGGCAAACTCGGCAAACTCCGCCCATTCGGATTGCAACGTTCAATAAACCTGTTGGCTCCAAGATTTAGTGTCTGAGTTGTGCGGCTGCGGCCATGGCGCTGAGGTGAACTGCCTCATTGCCTTAACCACGGCCAGGACTTCAAAGTTACGATGCAGAAACACAGGAAATCATAGGACATGGAAATGAATGGACATGTTATTTTTTGCTAGCAATTTGATTTTTACTCTGGTCGTCAGGACATTACGTAGCTGCAGAAACATGCAGAAACATGTTTCGGAGCAGACGCAGAGTACATTCGATCTCACTTGATATCACTGATGGTCCCTGATGGTGCGAGGTCTGGACCATCAGTCAGCTCTCCTGGGGTGAGTCCTTCTTCGAGAGACGTTACTTGGCAAACGTAGTAGACCTGGGGAGCGACAGAATGTGACAGACCTCGAAATGAAGGACGAAGGCTGCAACGTAGAATGGATACTGAGAAGACTTGACCAAGAGATTTTGATGATCTGTAACATATTGAACATGCAAACTTTTAGCATGTCAAACAATTGTCACCTTTTTGAGGGTTAGCCAAATTCGCTTGTGCTTCGGAAGGTAAGCGTGTGCTGCGAGAGAAGATCAGGCAACGAGCAGAATCGGACAGCTCCAAGTAGAAATCACATCTGAAGTGATCAGAAACCGATGAAGTATGATGAAGTATGACGAAGTGTTCAACTTCATCGCTCGCGAGCATTCCTGATGGTGCAAAAAGATACAACAAGGCAATGACTGAAGAGTACTTTTTCCATGGGCGAATCTACTAGTTTACTACTATTAAACTATCAAACTATATCATATCAAACTACTAGTGCTTATTGATGCTTATTGATGCTTATTGATGCTTATTGATGCTTATTGATGCTTATTGATGCTTATTGATGCTTATTGATGCTTATTGATGCTTATTGATGCTTATTGATGCTTATTGATGCTTATTGATTATTGTTTTCTCATCTGTTTCCCAGACTTGGATGTGAGTCCAAAGCTTGTCCAAACGAGGCAAGAATATGGCCTTCCAAAGGGTTGGGAACATGACATTGAAGATGAGGAGGAGCTGCCAGTGATCCCAGAGTTGCTTTTGGGTAGAAAAGTTTTGCACATCTGGCGCTGAAGGTACTTCGAAAACTGTCCAAATCTCTTCGAAAACTGTCCGTTTCTTTTTCTCTGTGAGATACTTGAGGCCTCTCTCAGATGCTGAGCCCGTTACCCCCGCGGAGCCCGTAGCACGCTGAGGTCCTGGGACGTTGTCTCACGTTGTCTCAAGTTGTTCTGTTTACGTCGGTTACGATTCGGTTACGTGTTGTCTGCGTTATTTGCACGTTTACACTGTTTACCCCCTGTGTTTCGAGCTCCTGCGGCTTTACATCGTACACTGTGAAGTCGCGTCTACACTGAATCTACACTGAATCTACACAATTCAAATCGATTCAATGATTTTGCAACGCTTTGACAGGCTCAGGTCGCGGCGGTCACGGCAGTCATGGCGGTGCTACAGACAGCAGGAGCTCAGCTGCGAAGCAAAGAGAGCGGGGTCCTGCGTGCATTTGTACATGGAAGAACATCATGAATTAAAAATAAAACTGTATTTTTTTCAATAGTAATGAATGAACATTAAAAAACGTCAATAGTTTTTCAGGGTTTCTCTTGAGAGACCAGACGGTTCTGCATGGATCGTTGGGCTTCATGGCCACGTCTTTGATGAATCGAAACTCCTTGCTGAGAAACACGTCGAAACGCACTACAACCCGAGCTAATAAGAACATCGGGTTTCACACACCCTACATACAAAATCATACAAATGGTGGACAAACTTTCACGTGATAAACAAGTCTTAGAGAAAGAAAGTTCAACGACGACCATCCAGCATCATCCAAGAGATCCTATTCAATCTATTCACTTGCACACTTGCCCACTTGCCCCGCCTACACGACTACCAGGATTTCAGACCGCTTGCCTTCTTTAACTTTTTCTTCTGAAAGCCCAAAAGGGGCAGAACAACTTTGCACTCTGCATATCTCTGCATATCTCTGCATATCTCTGCATATCTCTGCATATCTCTGCATATCTCTGCATATCTCTGCATATCTCTGCATATCTCTGCATATCTCTGCATCATGCACAGCAGAACCCGGAAAGAATGGCAGGATGAAGGCCTCCGATCGGACTTAATCATTTTTTTAATCCTCATGCTGATTGTATGATTGTGCTAGGACCGCTAGGAGCGAAAATCGGAACTACACAAATGCAATGCCTTTTGCACTTTGCGTCTCCATGAATTGTGCCCTGCGCTGTCGTCAAAAGTAAAAAAGAAGTGTCATTCTTTAAGGTCACAAATGCATCAAATGCTATGTCAACCCAGGTGTTCTGGTTCTCCATGGATTTTCGGTTTCTGATTCTTTGCAGAACCTGTTGACGTAGCTTATTTTGGCACCTTCCCACGACCGTGTCCATTGCATATATTGTGGCCAATTCATGCTCTTCGAGAATCATAATGGTTGGACTTACACCGATACCTTTGAAGGTACCGGAACTGCGACTCGGATTGTCCTATTTGTAGTGCTTTGGAGTGGTATACCACCAAGGAAACCATTGAGTTTTGATGGCTTCCGGGAAGTGGCTTCGGCTTTTCAAGGTGGCAATCCCCATACTTATGAGGTGGTTTTTGATAGTTTTTGAATCTCCTAGCAGGTGCGCCCCAAAAACGTACCCTGAAAGAATTAGACTATTTGGGTTAGACACTTGGTTCCAAGGGGGAGTAAAATGATACGTACACAATGTATACATTGTGTATAGATAATACAGCACTTATATAAAGACAGCACATGTTTTTGTCATACTGTATCAACATCAACCCTAACTTGGAGGCAGGCAGGCAGCAGCGCGCATGTTGAACGATCTCATGGAGCAAGTAGTTCATGATGGTTTCATGTGCTGGTTGGATATGTTGGATGTTTGTTCGAAGTCTTCGACAAGAGTGTTTTCATCATGTCAAGAACCGACGGATTTTCTACCAGACGGTTAAAACAGGTCTTTCTCGCACAATGACTGCAGCTGATAGGCTTTGATATCTTTTGAAAGAGACAAGTGTATGCAAGTGAACACACTCCGCAGATGGGCCCAATAGACATCACCAAAAAGTCCAAAAAGTTTCAAGATTGATCCGAATTGATCGTATCAATATCAGAAAGGTCCTGACCAGTTCAGAGACGAAAAAGACTCGAAGGAGCTGTTGTGACTGCTTAGCCCTCCAGAACAACAGTGAATGTTTTGGACAAATCATGACCTCGTGTAAAAAATGACTCAAGTTTCAAAGCAATGAACATTTGCAAGTTTGTCTCTGGTTTTTTCCGTGTTTTCCATTTTGCATCTTTGGAAAAACAACAGGTTCTGTACACCAACATCAACAAACATCAACTGCATACACCCAAAACCGACAGCACGCAACCGTGCTTGGGACGCCATCCATGCCGGACGATGCTGGAAAGGTTCCGTTGGAGCAAACAGTTGGACAGTTTGCTTGACAACTGCACTCTGTACCCGTTTTGTGTCTGCTTATGTTTGTTTTCTATTTTGAAGCTGAACGTGAATGGAGCTTGGAATGGAGTTTCTGTGCTTTTTCGGAGTGACCGTCTCTTCAGCCAGAAGGGGTCTCTTTCTTGATCCTGTTGAACTCTGTTTGAAGTATGTCCAGAGACATGCCTTGGTGACAAGAATTGATGCGCGTCCAATGTGTTGAACGAGTCCATCATGCATTCAACATGACAGTCCACAATAGGCCACAATAGTCCACAATAGCCCACAATAGTCCACAATAGTCATGTGAGGACTTCAGATGCATCGTTTTGTATTGCTGCGATTTTGATGTTCTTTGGCAATCTTTGGCCATCTTTGGCCTTCGGGAATTGGCGGCATCTGTGCATCTCGCTTAGGTCTATGTGGGCGGGCTGAATTTCAGCACCACAAGTGAAGCCCTGAAGGTGCCCCAGGGTCAGGTGGAAGGGAATGACAAATGGCATGGAGCACTGAATCTTCAAAAATGGAATCGAAAGAATATGAAAACTATGAAAGAATCGAATGGAAAACCGATGAAAACCGCTATTTGGGCGGCCAGGGACTGGTTGAGATCCTCTTCCAAATCTTCCAGCCGTTTCAGCTGCCGTTTCGAATCGACCTTTATGACCTGTCTCAGCAACGAATTTGAAGCACAAATAGCTACGGATAGCTACGGTATGCATCGGTATGCTACAGTGCTCCTATCACACCCCGCTTGTTTTGTGATCATGTTAGTCATGTTAGTCATGTTAGAATCGCGACACATCGCGACCCATGACCCAGCATCAAGTTGAGCGATGCAAAGTTTCCAGGCCCACTTCGAGCAGTTTGGTCAGATTTCTGACTGTGTCGTCAGCAACTCTGATCTGCGGCTGCCTTTCAGAACTTGTGCCATTTGAGCAGAAAGATGAGAAAAGATGAGAAGACCTGAGAAAAGATGAATCTTGTGACATGTTGTGACATGTTGTGACTTGGTTTGTGCTTAGTTCGTGTTAGGTTCTTCCATGTTCTTCCATCAAAAGTTCAGGTCATGATCGACAGAGATTCGGGTCGCTCTCGGGGCTTTGGCTTTGTGACTTTTGAGGCATGCGGGAAACGGAACCAGAAACACCGTGACCACAGAACGTTCGGAATGTTGGGAACGTTTGAAGATGTTTGAAGTTTAGAACGTTGATGAATTAAACAATGCTGTATATAAATGTATAGCAGACATCTAAATGTGGTCTGTGGGATGTCTAAGGAGCTTTGTTTCCTTTCTATCCACGGTTTCTAAGTATTGGTCTATCCAAGGTTACTGGTCCAAGTATACTCAACAGACCAACAAATAAACCTGTTTATCAATGGTCAAGGGTGCACATAGAACAATAAGTCGAAAATCAGCAACGGGAAGAGAGAGAGAGAGAGAGAGAAAGAGAGAGAGAGAGAGAAGGAATTCGTAGATGAAACAGAAAAAACACAATAATGCCCTCACACGCATTTGTAGCTGGGGAAACCGTGTTTGGAGTCAAGAACGCAGGAAAAGGACATGAGTTCAATCGGATACTCATGATGACAGCCAACATCGAACGGGGCATGCCAACTGATTCGAATATGGCTTGTACATAGAAGAAATTGCCACCATTATACAAAGTATGTAGAATATGTAGACAGTATGCCGCATTTCCCCAATGACTGGCCATCACCATGACCATTCTTTCAGCCAGGATCCAGGGTCTGTGAATGCGGCGATCACCATGTGCGCCCGGAGTCATCTGCTGTCCGCTGTGCACAGCTCTCCGATGCTCTCCGATGCTGTCCGATGCTCTTTCAGGCCTACGCAGCAGTTGGATGGACGCAACGTCACAGTGAAGAAGGTGGGAAGGTGGACAGAAAGGACAGCAATGCTACGACGGCAAGACGCGTTTGTAGAGATGGTAACGTGGTAAGAACATGTAAGAACTTTCGATTGTAGGAGAAGACAAGAAGATTGCACCAAACTATCACACTTAATACATCTTGATGCTACAAGATATTAGATAATATATGTAAAAGGGCTGCCGCCCCTGCCGCCGACCCCGGGCAGTCCGGGAAGCCCGGGAAATATCCTGAACAAGGGGAGCCCTGAACAAGGGCTGGTCGGGGACTCATGAAACAATAATGTTTCTGGGTGAAAGTATACAACATTGGAAATTACCCTTAAAGTAACCCGCAAAAATTAACTTCCAATGTTATTTTTTTAACCTAAATAGTTAACTTAAAATAAGAGTTACCTATTTTGCTCCAAATAGCCTTGACTGACCTATAGGGAATCACCTAATTTCGTGCCAAAAACGTATAAAAACATAACCAGAAAAAGTGCCTAACGTGTCGTCTGAATCCGCAGAAAATGAACATTTTGCAAGCTGCGTGGTGGGTTGTACCTGTTGAGAAGCTTGATTGGACCCGTTGAGAGGCTTGCGTAGCCACACGTGCAAAAGCAATGCTTGTTCAAAAGGCAGCTCCCGGATGGGAAAACACCATGGCAGTGAAGGAGGGAAAAGCATCAAAATTGCGTCCAAAAATTCCCTAATGTAACTGAAATCCATAGAAAAAGATGATTTTAGCTACTCTTTCCTGCTGCTGCTGCTGCAATGATGATTTCAGCTATTTTTTCTTCCTGCTGCTGCTGCTGCCTCCTGCTGCTGCTGCTGCCTTCTGCTACTGCAGGGACTTTGCTGCTGCTGCTGCTGCTGGTGGCTGCTGGTGGCTGCTGGTGGCTGCTGGTGGCTGCTGGCTGCTGGCTGCTGGTGGCTGCTGCTGCTGCTGCTGCCTGGTCAAAAGACAGCTCCCGGATGGGAAAACACCATGGCAGTGAAGGACGGAGAAGCTTCAAAATTGCACCCCAAAAATGCCTAACGCAACTTCTGAAACCCATAGAAAAAGATGATTTTAACTACTTTTTCCTGAACTGGGACAATCTCTTCGAGGTGAAATGGAAAGCTGGAGCCGCTGTCACCGTGTGCGATTCACGATCATACCCCGAAGGTTTCTTGGCAATACAAGAACCTCCATAAAGAACAAGAGATAAGACATACCAAAACAATGATGATAATGGCGATGCTAATGTCAGTGATGACGACGAGGATGATGATGATGATGATGATCATCATCATCAACATCATCATCACTGCTATTGTCATTGTCACTGTTGAGCCCAAAAGAATTCGAAGCGCAACGTTTGATCTGAGGTTTGCCCATCAGTGGCGTTGCAGAAGCCGATGCTGTAGAAGGCGTCAAGGTCTACCATGCAGGTACCAAGCAGCATGAGTCCTTGATGACCAGTGGAGGTTGGGCCCACGAGGGAGCTTGGTAGCACAGGCTGAGTCACAATGAAGGTTTAATGAAAACTATGCATTCACATTTTTGAAACTGCTATTGCTATGCCGAAGGAGCCAGAAGCAAACAACGAGTGCGTCTGGATAGTTCCCAGATCTTGGGCTTTGGAGAAATCGCTGATTTGTCTCTCGAATGGAAAAATGACACCTAGATGTCCGCTGCACGGCCAGTTGCCACCAAAGGCAAGCCCAGCTAGTTACTATAGTCTACTTGGTTTCATCTATATACTGATGTTGAAACTTTCAAGTTGTCACATGTACTCCACCGCAATCATTGCAGTGAATGGCCCGCTGCTCCGGACAGGTCAAGCTTTCGCGGTGAGTGGTGAAGGTGCAAATTTAAGGGAGGCGCTGACAAGAGCACATCAGGCAGTTTCAAAGATCAGCTTTGATCTTCCTGCCTCCAGCAGCTGCTTGGCAGTCCAACAGACTGAGCCTTTGCCATCTCTCCCTGCCCCTCTCTCTCTCTCTCTCTGTCTCTCTCTCTCTCTCTTTCTCTTTCTCGCATGCAGCCATTTGTGCGTTTCTTGTGTATTTCAGTCCGTTCTGAGACAGTCCATGTTATTCCATCCAGTTTTATCTCCTCGAGCCTCGTGCCTTTACCAACGTTGCTTGTCACTTCATTTGAGGTTCCAGCATGCATTTCCATCAGGATATTGGCCTGGAGGGGTGAATCTGTGGCATACTGCACAGGTGAACGGTCAATGTCCATGGCTTTAATTACGTGGATCAAGACAGGGTAGATGAGAATGAAGATTCCCTGCTGTTTCAACAACACCTGGTTCAGATGAGAATGCAGGGCTTGAGATCCAGACTGTTTTGCCAAATCTTGTAATCACTCGCTTCCAGATCACGAGGGTTGTGGCAGGACGAAGAAGAGGAAGATGAAGATGATGGAGATGAAGACGTCGAAGATGAAGACGATGAAGATGAAGAAGAAGAAGAAGAAGAAGAAAAGGATGCCATTCGAACGTCGGGGTTGATGGGGAGGCTCTCCTGTCCATCTCCTCCACTGGCACTCTCTGCAGGATCTTTTGTACGTCCCAGAAGGGCAAACCCTAAGAGAAGCGCTGTGGGCAGCCGTGGGTCGCAACACGGAGTCCCTGGCAAGGCAGTAGTTGCCCGCCAGCAGGTAACCATTCCCAGAATTGGACGATGACGATGAGATTTTTTTGGAGGAAATTCATCGAATTGGGGCTAAAAGCCATCGTTCCTGTAGAGCGTCCCGACAATCATGGTTAATTACAACCGGTTGGAAAATGGCGTTTCCATCCAGCATCCTCCACCCTCCGGGACCCTCCAACACGGCGATGGAAAGTAGCCACAATGCTTGAAAACAGGGGATGCCCCAAATTTTTGCTTTCATTTTGGGGGCGCCCCAGATACTCATTTGTAGATGATTTTCTCGTTCATGGTTGCTCCCGCCGCAGAAAACACCAGAGAGGAACACGGCATGGCACTGTGAGCGCAATTTGCCTGCTGCAATAGGTTGGTTAAACTATTTAGCTCAATGACACCCAAAATTTTCGCCCCCATATTTGCAGGTTGGTGCGCTTTAGATGCGCTTTAAAGCAATTGTAACGGGACGGATTACTGAAACCAAAATTCCGAAATCAGTGATCCGGCCCACAAGAATGATTCATACCACCCCCAGGCCCTTCATCGAAGAAAGTTTAGAAGCTTGACTTCCGATATACTGAAAGTTGTCTGGCAAGTCAGGTCATGCGCTAAGTTTTGCGAAAGCTAAGTCAGTGAAGAGATGCGCGTGTGTTTGGAAGGTAGGAATTGCGCGAAATGCTGTGTTTTCTTGTATTGTTCTGCTCAGCACGAGTCGAAAGGGTACCTCTGAAGAACGGGCGGGTGCGGAATGCGCCTCGATTTGGAAGTCAAAATCGTTAAAAACTGGTGGTCTCGGAACACTTAAGTTAAGATCTTTAAAATTGCATCCCGTTGTGGCGAGAGAGCGATTTGGAAGTCAAAATCGTTAAAAACTGGCGGTCTCGGGGCACTTTTTGAAGTTAAGATCGTTAAAAATTGCACCCGTTGCAGCGAGAGCGATTTCAAAGTCAAAATCGTTAAAAACTGCCAGGTTCGGACAACTTTTTGAAGTTTTGATCTTCAAAAAATGCACCCCGTTGTAGCGAGAGAGCGATTTCGAAGTCAAAATCGTCAAAATACTAGGTGTTCGCGACGTTTTTGGACGTTCAAACTATGTTTCGCGTGGCAGGCGCAGGGAATGCGGCAGGCCGGAAAGTACGTGGCAGGCACAGGAGTTCGTGAGGGTTTCAAAAACGTTGGCAGGCGTGGTGGATTTGAAGAGTAACGTAACTTCTGAATTCTGAAAACCATATAGAAAAAGATGATTTTAGCCACTTTTCCCTCCTGCTGCTGCTGCTCCTGCTCCTGCTACTCCTTCTGTTCAAAAGGCAGCTCCCGGATAGGAAAACACCATGGCAGTGAAGGACGGAAAAGCATGAAAATTGCGCCCAAAAACTGCCTAATGTAACTTCTGAAACCAATAGAAAATTATGATTTTTTAGCTGTTTTTTTCTCCTCCTGCTGCCCCCCAAAACTCCCTAACGTAACTTCTATAAAACCTAAAGATCCTCCTGCTGCCCACCAAAACTCCCTAACGTAGAAGTGAAAACTCCCTAACGTAACTTCTAGAAGTTAAACTGATTTTTGCAGCTACTGTTAGCTACTTTTTCCTCCTGCTGCTGAAGAGGCTCCTACTGCTGCTGCTGCTGCTGCTGGATCCTGGCTGCTGCGTCCTAAACTCTTCTTCCCTTACGCGCTCCCCCTTGCGTCTGCCGGGGTCGGCGGATATATATATATAATATACTGGTAAATCTACGTATCTATATGTACATATTTATAATATTAGACTGCAAATGTCTCTACGAGTCTTGTGGTTTTCGGACATGGGAAAGAAATATGACATTTAGCAGGCCACCCGTGAGGGCAGTCGACAAGGCGGAGGAGCTGAACCACAAGGCCCAAATAACCTGACAAAGACATACCAAGACACAGAAAATGAACAGAAATAAATATAAAATTTTGAAAGAAGTATGAACAAAAATTTTAAAGGGCAGAAACACTTTTGAACACCCCTTTGAAACAAAATGAACAGATGTTGAAGATGATTGCAGATCGTTGAATAAGTGGAAGGGCAGGGTGTTCAGGGGCCTCGAGCTCCCAACATGTTCAGCAAAGGTTCCTTCTGAACGCAAGTTAAGCTGTGCCTGCGAGGTGTTGAGTTCAATGTAGTCAAGGTTTTCGCACTCCTGGCAGCAATTCAGGAATCTCCGGTTTCAGGGATTAACAAGAAAGCGGACATTGCAACCCGAAATTTACTGTACTGGATTGGGAAGAGACTCGTTGGAATAAATGTTTTCCTGCGATTCCCTAGACCCTTTTTTGACCTTTTGGTGTTGATGTTTGATGAAGGCTGACAAAGAGCCCTGCAGTCCCAGACTACCTGTGAGGTTGGGGGTTTGCCAGCCAGCGTGGACTATGACAAGCTCACAGGACTTGGCCTCGATGCCCTAGAGGCTGTAGGCCTTAAGTGCCAATTAAATCCAATCAGATATATTCAATATTATTCAATATTATTCAATTTAGATCAATTTAGCAGGTGTGGTGTGGCTTATTCTCAACTACTGTACAATGCTATGTCTCACTGCCTGAGTTTGTGTTCGTATCTGGACCTTTTTTATCCGCATGAAATTTGCAACACTATTTGGAGTCTTGGGGCAAGACTGTGGTGTTGGCTTGTCATTTTCGTTGCCAGGATACTTCGAGAAATATGGCAGCATCGAGGCAGCGGAGCGAAATGCCACAGACATTTGCTCCAGGTCAGCCAGGTCAGCCAGGTCAGTGAAAACTTGGTGAGTCGGTCTGGATACTCTGATAGTCTGATAGTCTCTGGATGGAACTTTCAGAAAAGTGGATTATCCTGGATACTTCATGGATCATTCGATATCATTCGATATCATTCGATATCATTCGATATCATTCGATATCATTCGATATCATTCGATATCATTCGATCATTCCCCGGATCGTTCGATCATGGTTTTCCTGCAGTTTTGTTGTGATCCGGTGCCAGGATGCTGTGGTTATGATTGATCCTGGGACGCAGAGGCGAGACAAAGGATCAGTGAGAGGCACACGACTTGAAACGACTAAGGCTAGACCGTGGCGTTGAGAATCGAAAGTTCAGAACCATGACATCTCATCCAATAGGTTCTGATAACAGTGGGGGAAATCAAGGACTTTCAGATCACGTTTGGAGAAAGAATGACAGATTTCTTGGCAGCTAAAAGTGAAACAAGCAGCGTCTAGGTCGCGAGGCTTTGGTTTCGTGACCTTCAAAGATAGCTCCTCCGTTGAGGCCCACCGGCCCACCAGAAAGGATGTTTTTTTTTTGGTTGATTCTGTATGTGTCTACTTTGCATCACAAACCACATCAAACCACATCAAACCACATCAAACCACATCAAACCACATCAAACCACATCAGACCACTCAGGCGTGCATGCAAAACTACGATTCCAACGAGATTGACGGGAAGTGGATTGAGGTGGGATTGGCAACGTGGATTGAACCAAGTCATCATGTTGAGAGTGTCGAGTGATCAGGACAGTTGCATGTTCCACGCCCGATTCAATCCGATTCAATCCGATTCAATCCGATTCAGCTGCAAATGAATGATATGAATGCTCAAACACGCTCAAACACGCTCAAACATGCTCAAACATGCTCAAACGCTCAGATTGGCCTCCAAATGTAACCGACTGCACAATTTGCACAACGCATGAAGAAGTCAGACAGGTTTGCACAGCTGCGATTGATGTGTCAGGGAAACAAAACACGCATACGAGGACTTTATATAAGGTCAGTTTGCATGCAGCAGTGTTTCTGCGATGGCAATCTCTTGAAAACCAAGTCTGATTCTACTCCTGGAAGATATGCTGATGGAAGACACGCTTATTTTTTTTTTTTTTTACAAGGATTCACAAGACACGGCAAGACAATATACCATACTAAGTTAGTTACAGTTAGTTACTTGATGAATTTGATGAAGGTTTCAGAATTCATTTAGGGCGTTTGACATGGTGCGAGCGCTGAAGGGACTTAGCCATTGCTATGTCGACCTCGCCTGCACCGAGTGCACCAACTCAAGAGAATCAAGGGACACCTCTAGAGAGGCACGAGAGAAAACGTATGCAGCTTTCCCCATCCTCAAATTCAATTGTATTAACAACGTTTGAGCATGATCTTCATGAGCACATGGCAAGTGGTTTGCGCATGTTCGGTCCTAAGACGTCTCTGGTGGAAAGTGATGGTCCTGATATGTCCTGATATTCACCGGCTATCAGATAGCGTCTATCACGACGTATCATTGCTTGTTCAAGCCAGTAACTTGCAGGAAACGGAAGAACAGGATCGGTTTTGCAAGGGAGGTTCCTTTGTTGTTTTGCGCACCCCGAAATACTGCGAATTCCAAGTTCATAAAATTGGACGGTTTCTTTGCCTTGACAAAATCAACATAGCTAAACTATGCCAAACTTGTGCAAGGTGTCCAGCGAAAGCGACACTGAGCAGAGTGGATCAGACGAGGACAAATCGGAGACATGCATAGAAATGGGGTGTTAATCAAAAGTGGCTGACTGAGAGTCAGCAATTCGTTGTGTGAAAAGGATCCTACACTTCTCTTGGCTTTGCATCGAAATCAAGCAGTTTTGTGATCTATGGAGTGCCGCGAGTATTCCTTAGATTCATGGACTTGATATGACTTGATGCATGTTGAAGAACTCGCAAGAGTGAAGTTGGGGCTTTGGGGCTGTAGTTTCGGATTGTTTCGGATTGTTTCGGATTGTTTCGGATGCTTGTAGATTTTGTAGGCCTGCTTCCTGGGCCCCTGCTGGCTACTCCCAGATATCCCAGATTCAGACGAAGATTTCCTTCTGGCGTTGGTTCGGCAATGCACCTTCGTGGCTCGTAGACGACTCGTATCCGTCACCGTCTGTTGAAGTCGTTTTTGGTGTCGTGAAGTTATGTGAAGTTCACGTGTTCTTCACACTGCCATTGTGAATTCTTTTAGTTTTTTAAGACTCTTTTTATGTCTTTGCCTCGACAATCTTGGATTCATCGAGGCGAGTTTGATCCAGTTTGTCAACATACCGTTCTTCTTTTTCCTGGCGAGAAGTGGCTATACCTGCGCTGCCTACGCTGCCATTCCCCTTTTGTTCAGTAGATTTTTGGGATGCTTTCCCCCCAACAGGAGCCGCTCAGGAGCCCTTCCAATTAGTTTGCCACTGGTGGGTTTCTTTTTGAATTTGTCCCTTCCCATGCAGTTTATTTGTAGACTGCGTAGTGCACTGCCACAAAGCCAAATGCACAAGTCAGAGGGTCGACATGGAATGTTTGCAAACGGGCATGCTTGATCATGCTTGTACATACACATATGTAAAGACAGAAACATACATGTGTCCAATCCGCGATGTCTTGGTTTTTGTTTTTGCTGTTATAGTCACACAAACGTCACAGGAACATTCATCCCCCCTGGAATTTCCTCTACAGAATCGGGAACGTTAGGTCCTGGAAAATGGTGCATTTTAACCCCCTGACTTAATAAGGGGTACCTACCCAGTGTCAACGCTTTCAATTTTATAGAGGACCTTGGGGCCTCTGATTCTATAGAGATTTCATGTTGAATACAGCACTGAGGACTAGTCAGCAGAGAGTCTTAGGGACTGCGATTCTACAGTGGATATGTTCTCTTTGGATGTATGTCATGTTCTTCAATTTTATAGAGAAGTATTGGCAGAACCAATTTCCCACAACAATTCTTTGATCATCCTTGATCATCCTTGATCATCCTTGATCATCCTTGATCATCCTTGATCATCCTTGATCATCCTTGATCATCCTTGATCATCTTGTATATTTTGGAATCATTTGGAATCTTGACATATTTTTGGAAACTTTTGGATACTTTTGGATCTTTTGGGATATATTGGAGATTTGTTGGAGATCCATCATCAGGGTCTCATCAGTTATCATCAGTTATATTCAGCAAATATGCACAATTTTAACATTTCAATATCTTACAAAAGTAGCTTTTTCTATGAACATTCTATGTCAAAAAGATGCACCAAAGGCACCCATGCTTTGCCCTTGGGGATCAGGCTATGCCAGGATTTTACATTTGAAGCAACTGCCATCAAAGGCCATCCTTGTGGCCATGCTTGTCTCTGGTTCATACCAGTTCTGGCTGAGGCTCCTTTGGGTGGCTGGATTTCGATTAGCTGGACAGCTGGACTAGCTTTCTTAAGCATTGAATACAATATATTACAATATTATATAGAATCCGTTGCACTATACTGCGAAGGTCCCATTGTTTACGCGAATTTGATTGGACAGCCGCAAACATGCACAAGAAGCAAAGACAAAGAGATGCTGCATCGAACACCTCTCTCAACTTTCCATCCAGCATCAATTCCACCAAAATCAATGGTTTCTCTGCCGTCATTTCTGGAATACATACAGCGACATGCCTAAGATGAGCGTGAAAGGGATTTCAACCGGCATGTCAAGTGCATTGCTGTGTGAGATTTTGCCCAGGGACCGACTTTTGATTTGGCTTCAGCAGCACAAGCACTGGCATGCTGGACTGGATAGTGGAAGAAAGGTGAGAAAGGATGAGAAAGGTATAGAAAGACCGGAAAGGCGAGAGTAGAGTAAGTCTTAAGGCACTAAGGTCCAAGTCACCACAAGAGAAAAACATCATGGAGCTGATGATGCAGCGTCCAATTTCTGAACTTGTAGAGCGGATCCACTGTGGGGGTCAGAAAAGGGATCCTAGTTGATCCTAGTTGATCCTAGTCTCAGGAACATGTGTCTACTATCTCAATCTTTTCAGCACCAAATGCAGCTTGCCTTACCGCTGATGAAAAAAATGAATCATGCTGTATCTTGGCATAGTTCGTGAAAGGCTCACATCGAGAAAGTTAAACATCTTGGAAGCCCTTCATGCATCCCTGGACTTTCTGTGGGTGGCCTGGTTTTTCTGCGCGGCATCTACGAGACCATAGACCCATCAATGGAACCTCAGCTTAAAGGCATCTTAAAGTTTGAAGTAGATTGAAGTAGATCAGTAGATGAATTAAGTGTGATTTGTTGCACCAATATTCTTTGGTGTTTGCAGGTGAAAGTGCTGGAATCGGATGGAGCACACTTTCACGGGCATTCAAGCATTGTAAGTCTTAGGTACATTGAGTGTCTTGTATGGAGTACTTATTGTCTTAGCCTTTTTACCTGCAAAAAAGGAAAGTCTCGCGTAAGATCTTGGGAAAATTTGGGAAATGTGATTCTGACAGATTCCTTATTTCTGGATTTTCTGGATGCCGGCTCCAGCTCAGGATGCCTTCACTGCGGGTAATTCACATCACATGCAACCCAGTTGAGCCCAGTTGAGATGAAATCATCCCAAGTGGCCAAGTGGGTGGCCGGGTCCTTGTATGGTGCCTATGGGGCTAGTTGTTTTGTGCCCAAGGGTTATTGAACTTGAACGAACCCAGGCTTGAGTTTGCTATATTTGCTTGATCTACTGCTCAGCAACGCCGCAACGGTAGCGAACATCAGGGGTATCGAAAATGAACAGAATTTCATGTGGATTTTGCCAGTGCCAAGGGCTTTACACTTCTGGAGAACAGTTTCTTGAAGTTGCTCCAAAATTGTAAGAATGGGCAGATGGGTTCTGTCAAGGTATACGGCAAGAGTGGAGGATACTTGCCTGCAGAGAGCTTGATTGCATTTGATTGCCCTCGCACAACCACCTCGTTTTGAACATTGATAGATCAGCAGGGGCTGGTAGGCCAAACATCCAAACCCTAAAACTGATTGCAATCATCCAAACTGAATCCAAACTGAATCCAAACTGAATCCAAACATATCCAAACCATCGTCCAGGAAGCTTTTTGCGCTTCCTGGCAGAAAACCTGGCTGGGTCCCATTGCTTCACTGTTGGGGCTGCCCGGAGTGCTCGCTGTGATCCTGTGCATTGCCACCTGGAAAGACCTGGAGGGTTACGGACGGTTGAATGGTTGAGCAATGTTGAGCTATTAGAATTATTAGAAGTGTTGAGCTATGTTGAGCTCATTTGAGCTCATTTGAGCTCTCTTGTTTTGAGCACTGCTTGAGCACTCGCTTGCGATCATGACAGTTTTGTTGCTTGGAAAGCTTCTGACATGGCTCGTGGCAACCTTGAAAGCTTCACTCCATTAACAGGCTGCACAAGATGAACACGAGATGAACGCGAGATGAACGCAATATGAACACGAGATGAACGCGAGATGAACGCGAGATGAACACGAGATGAACGCAATATGAACACGAGATGAACGCGAGATGAACGCGAGATGAACACGAGATGAACGCAATATGAACACGAGATGAACGCGAGATGAACGCGAGATGAACACGAGATGAACGCGAGATGAACGCGAGATGAACACGAGATGAACGCAATATGAACACGAGATGAACGCGAGATGAACGCGAGATGAACACGAGATGAACGCAATATGAACACGAGATGAACGCGAGATGAACGCGAGATGAACACGAGATGAACGCAATATGAACACGAGATGAACGCGAGATGAACGCGAGATGAACACGAGATGAACGCAATATGAACACGAGATGAACGCGAGATGAACGCGAGATGAACACGAGATGAACGCGAGATGAACGCGAGATGAACACGAGATGAACGCAATATGAACACGAGATGCGAGATGAACACGAGATGAAGATGAACGACAATGAACGCGAGATGAACACGAGATGAACGCGAGATGAACGCGAGATGAACACGAGATGAACGCAAGATGAACACGAGATGAACGCGAGATGAACACGAGATGAACGCGAGATGAACGCGAGATGAACACGAGATGAACGCAATATGAACACGATATGAACACGAGATGAACGCAATATGAACACGAGATGAACGCAATATGAACACGAGATGAACACGAGATGAACACGAGATGAACACGAGATGAACACGAGATGAACACGAGATGAACGCGAGATGAACACGAGATGAACGCGAGATGAACGAGATGAACACGAGATGAACGCAATATGAACACGAGATGAACACGAGATGAACGCGAGATGAACACGAGATGAACGATGACACGAGATGAACACGAGATGAACGCGAGATGAACACGAGATGAACGCAATATGAACACGAGATGAACACGAGATGAACGCGAGATGAACACGAGATGAACACGAGATGAACGCAATATGAACACGAGATGAACACGAGATGAACACGAGATGAACACGAGATGAACGCGAGATGAACACGAGATGAACGCAATATGAACACGAGATGAACACGAGATGAACACGAGATGAACACGAGATGAACGCGAGATGAACACGAGATGAACGCAATATGAACACGAGATGAACACGAGATGAACACGAGATGCACACAAGATGCACACAAGATGAAAAACATGTTCACAACATGTTCACAAGATGAACGCAAGATGAATACGAGATGAACGTAAGATTAAGACCAGATGAAAGCATGATGAACGCACGATGAACGCACGATGAACACAAGATGAAAAGGAGTCAGCTTTGAATAGCATTTGGATATTTGTGAGTTTGGAGTTGAGTTGTGAGAGTCCTTGGCAAGTTTCAGCCACTTTAGGATGTTGCATAGGATTCTGTTCCAGTCCCAGTTAGATTTCTGAGAAATTGGGACATCCCACGGCCTGCGATGGCCTGTGGGGCAGGGCGAAGGGGCGATGGGGCGATGGGGCGGTGAGGCAACCTTTTGCCAAATTTACAAACTCTTCTCAGAGAGCCGACGGCTGAAGCTTCGCATCGAGCAGATCCTTGAGCCAAGACAGACAACGCTGATCATGTCATGTTATCATAATATTATCATAATATTCCAATGGATTCCGATGGATTCTGACAGACTCTCAACACTGCACTAAGTTGAAGTCACATTTCAAAAACATTCCATTCTTATCCATTCTTCCAGCGATCAACAAGCAACTTACCCACAATGTTTACCATGCCCGCTTAGCAGACCCCGGTGGTGAACATAAAAACTTGTGAAAAGCATTTCTTGTAACATTTGTAACGCCAACATTGCGTGCGGTAGCTTCAAAGACAAAGATGGCTGACTGATAAGACACGAGCATTTCCTGTCCCGGGGATGGAGAACTGCATCAGTTCCCCTCAGGATGACACGCACAGGCAAATTTGTGACGTAGGTTTTGAATGGTCTTGACATTTCACATCATTTAACATCATTTAACTATTTCACTTCACAGTGAAGTATGTGAAGTGAAGTGGCAAGAAATGTGAATGCATGTGACCGCATATGAACACATATTTTGTGAAGTTGTGACATGTCTCCTGCTTTGAACCGACATTTATAAACAAAGACAAAGACCTATAAACTGTTTTCAAGCACGCCATTGACAGTTTTCATGACTCTTCACAGCTCGAGGAACACCAATCTCAGCGAGGCGCACCGTCGCTGGCAAATCTGGATTCGGATGTCACACCTGACCGATGTCTCTTGACGCAGTGCTTTGCAACTGGATGAGTTCCTAGGAGAATTCGTCACAAGGAAAGTATATTGAAAATGATGAGGTTGCAGAGAGAGAGAGAGAGAGAGAAACATGATTTAACTACTCGTGCTCTTGTTTGCACGTTTGGGCCCAAAAGATAACGAAGTATACTTGCAAAGACAGTGTAGTGTCAACCCTGGATTAATAAACCATGGTTTATTAATTAGGGGGGGTACTCTTCCAAGAGTCATAATCTAGTACTCAAATGGTACCCTCCCAATTAAACAATCTAGCGGGTTTATTAATCCGGGGTTGACATTAAGATTCTTGTTTGCCTGTCCCAGTCAATAGAACAATCGGAACAATCTACTTGCTTCGGCATATCTTTGCACCACTTAATCTTTACAGCTTTGACTTTAGTGACCCTAATGCTTTTGCTTAAACCGTTCCGTTCCGGGCGGTCACAGCCATTTTGCCTGCTTAAATCTGCTTGCCAAGGTGGGTGGGTTTATGCTGCTACATCATCTTTTTAAAGAGCTGGTCCTCATTGAAGTTTCCACTTCACCAGATATTTGGCCAATTGCTGACCGAGCCTTGCACCGTGGTTTTCCATGGTTTTCCCTCATGCGAAAGCATTCTCTGCCAGCAAATTCTTGGAGTTTTTTGCCAGATGGTTTGTGAAATGCCGTTTTGTGTTGTGAAAGACGAGGTTCCAGCAGTAAAGGTACTAGGTTTTGCCAGAGCACTCTTCACACAGATTTCTGAGGTATGTGGAAACCATTGGAAACCTGTGGACACCCAAGGTTTCCCAAAAGCCCCACCAGTTCACAAGTCTGGTGTCTTGAAACAGAGGTCCTGAGTACCAAGAAAGGCGCGAATTTAAGTTCCCCAACTGTTAACTTCCCCAAAAACAAAGTTACCTCAGGAGGTTTGCAAGGGGGTTCCCAAGCAGGTTGGACTTACGTATGAGGTTCGTATAGGTTCTGAAATTGTAGGGAAGATCATGTTGGGTTTTCCCACGCGCTTGACCCGTGCCCATTGTTTGGAACTTCTTCCCCTGAGGGGTTATTTTGTTGATATTTGCCACTGTGGTTGTGAAGTTTGCTGGAAGAATTTTGTTTGATACCGTTTTTTGGAACATCATTTTGTTTGGATACACAGTGATACACATGAACAAAACTGAGCAAAGCTTTCCAAATGTTGTCTAGTCCGACCTTTGCGTCTTTTCTGTGCCGTCCCGCTGCTCTCATGGCAATTCGTTCCTGAATCAGTTGTCATTTTATTTAATTTTATCATATCTTATCGCCCTGCTAGTCATGCACGTCTTCCTCGCCATTCTTTGAAAGGCAGTGTTATTCAAATAAACTATTTTGATCCTGGCTTTCTATTTATTGCGGTTGTACTAAAGTGGTGATTCTGATGTTTTTGCTCGCAGTGCTTGTCAGTTTATTTCATTTTGAACACTTGGTAGGGAATGTCTCACTTATCGATGCGGATATTGCAAGAAAATGCGAATATGCACGCATTGCATCAATTGGTCTTGTTGATTCTTGTTGTATATTGGGAAACCATGCATATATGTGGCCCGTCTCTTTGAGGACTTGTACCGCTTGCCAGTTGGGAGAAGCCTGAAGAAGCGTATTTTGATTTTGTTGTAGCTAAATTAGGAATGCATTTGCATGTCATGAACCTGCTTTTCTATTGAGGATTCGGCTACTGCCGTACTTGTTTCCAATACACAATCCCGCCATATCCCTTTGTATTCTTTGGATTGTATTACATTGATGCTCACAGTACCTATAAATAGGGAGTCAATATTTGATAGACGATTTTTCTTGAATATTGATTGCCGTTTAATGCCGTTTAACTCTTGGTGGCATTTTGGTATGCAACTGTTTGCCGGCAAAGAAATGTAAAGTATTATTTCATATTATTTCCATTGTTTTTTGTTTTTAAAGTACGGTGCTCGTCAAAAGCGCTGATTTCTCCACAGTGATCAAAAGACTCACATCTTGGACAATTTGCTTTAGATTTAAAGACACCCAATGTTTGGATGGGACTTCCTCCGAGCCTGCCACAGTAAAGCTCAGTAAAGGACACTGAACCGATTCGTTGAGCCTGCAACTTGGCTCCCTCAAGGTTTCCCACTTTTTCTCAGCTTTGCCAGGTTCCAAAGATACCCCAGCCCCAAAGATACCCCAAAGATACCCCAAAGATACCCAAACACACGGGTTCCATATGGTTCCAATACAAAGTTGCCAAGAACCTCGTAACGCAAGCTGGTTAGAGCCAGATTTCCGGTATGATTTCCACAACATGTCAAACGGCGCCAAATGCTGCTGCAAAGACATCTAAGAATCTAAGAAGAATCCCTGCAACAATGTGTTTCCAATGTCTTGAGAGCAAGGCTCCAAAACCAGACAAGTCCACAAACGCTACACAAGAACGTGTTCAAGGATGTGAAAAGCATTATGTAAGTGCACGGCTCCTTGATAAACGCTTTCCAAAGGCAAGCTTTTGAAGAGCACAGTTCCAAAAGACATGCTCCCGAAGAAAGCAAGGTTCCCAAGAACGCAGGATGCCCCAGCAAAGCATAAGAGAACAGGTTGCCAGGTTCCCAAAGATGTTTGCTTCCCTGCAAGGAGCAAGGGGTAACAAGATGTAACAATACCTGACATGAAACACGTCATCTCTTGAAATCTTGGCGGTGGGGATGGTCTTTGGGCTTCTTTGTTTGAGCAAAGCACATAGCTTCTCTACATTGTCTGTAGTAGCTGCAGTGAGCATGCTGGATCCGGTCATCTCCTACTGGAGGCTGATGATTTAATCGGTTTGGCTTTGGTATTTGTTGATTTTGTTGCGTAAGTTTGTTTCACTTTCCAATCGATTGTCACACCGCGTCTGCAATCAAGGACTGATAGGTTCACTGTTTAAGTCTCTATCACAGATAGTTTGGGACATGGGCTTCATGATTTGTACTCTCTGACTGGCAACAGAGACCTGCAACGACTTAGGAAATGCTGCTTTCGAAGTGAAGATCTTTGCTGAATCTGTGCCATCTTTGTGGTTTCAAATCTCCCTTTTCTGTTGCCAGATTGCAAGCGAATGACTCTGTGCAACGGTCCCAGATGTTTTGAATTGTTTTGATGCTCAGATCCTATTCTTTTGCTCATTGTACCGCAACAATACATAGTGGAGAGACCGACTCAACTTTCTCAAACAGCATTTGTCGAAGATGTTTGGATCTTAGACAGTCACGTTTGCTTCCAACAGTTGTTTGGACAGTTTGCAGAGCGCTTGAGAATGATTGAGAATGCCTTTGACTTTTCTGTCCAGAACAATTGCCATCTTCCTGCAGTGTGCGTGACTTTGGTTGATTTCGCTTATTTGATCTTTTCTCACCCATGCTTTGTCGGAAGCGACTTCTTTTGCAAGGCTTGACATTTTCTGACGCCAGCCTGAAAAACGGGCTGCTCACTTTGATGTCGATCGGAACCAGCACCTTTACGAGACTTGGAGGATTCAGATGGATTCAGCTATGTTTGCGATTCCAATTGCACAGGGCCGCGGCACCACAGAGTCACAGAACAGTTTGCCTATATTGGCGATGCACTTTGCCAAGCATGTCGAGCAACAAAGAGTGTTTCTGCAAAGGAACAAGTAAGATGCTCAGCACAAATACAACAATGCATGAGAACAGGAACGCATTGCGATCCAAGGATATTACATTTCCTCTATCTGCAGACCTTCGTGATGCTTCAACTACAAAAAATAGGCATGAGAGATCTTTGATCATGTTTGATCATTTTGGAGTTGCTTCGGAACATTTCGAAAATAGCCGTATAATGTCGTATATCTATACAGAGGTGCGTTGTCATCGAGCAATATTGGCTCGCAGTAGTGAGTCTTGCAGGTGAGCTGTGGCAAGTCAAAGAAACTGCTTTGATCATTTCATACATAGCAACTCGCCAAGGAAATCGACGCGCCCAGGGTCAATGGTTTTCTACGTTTGGCAATCTTTAGGAAAGGTCATGGCATATCGCATGGTGTATTTATACTTTTGTATAGATCACATCTCTTTTATATATATATAGATACTCTTCACTCTTCCTATGTACAGGCACTATTCACTTCAGCATAGACATATATATATAATATACCTTGCACATCAGATAGATTAGATAGACTAGATAGATTAGATAGATTAGATAGATTAGATAGATCAGATGGATTAGATCACATTAGGTTAGATTAGATTAGATTAAGTTGAAGTAAATTAGATTAGATAGATAGGTTGGTAGGTAGGTAGATAGGACTAGACAGGATAAGATTAGTATAGATTAGATCGACAGATAAACACATGATATATATATAGACTAGATAGTACGATAGACAAGATAGATAAGATCGATAAGATGGGTAAGGTGGATGATATATATATACACCATAGATAAGATAGGATAGATTCAGGGGATTAGATAGAGTAGATAGATTAGACTAGACTAGATTAGATTAGATTAGATTAGATTGGATAGATTAGATAGATTAGATTGGATTTGATTAGATTAGATAGACTAGATTAGATTGGATTGGATTGCATTGGATTTGGATTAGATTAGACAGACATGTATTCATGTACAAATGCATAGACATGTAATATGTATATGCATTATACATATACATGTACTGCATATACAAATAAAAATACAAGTACAAATACATACACATGTACATCTAAATTTCATATACATACACATTACACATAGACTTGCATACACATACACATGCATATGCAGATGCAATGTACACCTTTATATGTATACATGTACGCACACTTTTCCATAATTGCATTTACAATTACATTTACAGATACAGTACACTTACACATGCATACTTATCCTTGACATGCATGTATATCTTCATACATTCATCCGTATTCATCCATTTTCACCCTACGTCCAGTGGAGGACTTATACTTGCAACATGGGGCATGACACAACTCTCCAACAAAGCAGTATCTCTGTTCAGAACTTCGATAATGTGGCTTGCATTCTGCGTGACGCGCAGGTCATTCATTCCACATTATTTCATGTAATGTTCGTATTGGCCAATTCTCTTGGCCAAGGCAACTCTCGTTTGCTGGGCGCTCTGCATGGTGAGACTTCCCGGAGCATGGATTTGCCCTAGTCATATTCTGAACGTCGAGTCCGGCTGCCTTCCCAAAGAAGGTTTGTAGCTGTCATATGGGCAACACAGCGACAACACGTCGCTTCGGACAGAGTGTTGCCTCGAATAAGGAAAACAAGGACAACAAGGACTGTGCCACTGCATTCAGGATGCAGAGTTCACCAGTTGCATTTGTAGGGCATTGATGGCACTATGTTTTGCTCACTTCAGAGTTCACCAGAGGTGAAGCGTTGTATACCTCAGGCAGCGGTGGGTGTTGCCAAAAAGGGGAGGTTCGGGTAGGTGGTCCACATTGGTTGAGACGAAGTCTCTGGGTTGAAGAATGGCCCACACCCAATCAGAACTAAGAGATACGGGTCGTCAGATTGGACATGGTAAAACATGAGATGTTGACATGGAACATGCTGCTATAAAGATGGGTCCTGGGTTCCTTCGGCTTGCTGCTGACTTCTCCATATAGTGTGTAGTATTATATCTATTATGTAGTATTGTAAGTCACAAGTGTAGGGATTAATTTTCAATCAGGGAAGGAAACAGTCTCAAAACGTGGAAACAGTCTCGATAATCTAATCAAACGGGAGTCATGGAGACATGACACAAACTTGAGGGCTGCATTCCCCAATTTGAAGCTGTGCCGAACGAGGGAATCTTGCTGAACCATGCGCCATGCGGACCATGCGGATTGTCATATCTTGCCAGGACAAAATGGCCCCAGGGCAAGGAAAAGGCTGCAAGACTGTGCTGAGAAAGTTGGCAAAAAAACAGTTGCATTGGAGAGAACTCATGGAAGTAACATGTCCTTTTTTGCAGAAAAGAAGCAACTGATGGGAAACACTTAGAGTCCACTGATCCTTTTTGTTTTTGCCAATATAACCGCTTTGAGGATATATATATATGATATATTGTCCTTACAAGTGGGATCCTTTAAGTGGAGTTTTTCTTGTCTCACCTCGGACCCCCACAAAATCGACAAGATCCACGAAGGTCCTGCAAAGCTCTCAAAAAGATCCACGATTTGCACATTATTTGCACAATTGCTATTGGATATTATTGGATCTATTGGCTTCCCGGATTTACCATTTTTCAGGGCATAATTCTTGATGTGCAAAATGAGCATGCCTTTATTGCAGGCAAGAGCAAGGGAAAGCCTCCCTCCTACAGCAATGGCATCAAACTGAGATTGCGTTTAAGAATAAAACTGTTCGTTGGCATCAAAACGACCATAATTCTAAAGTGGTCAGCTGACTTAAAATAAGCTCGCGAAAGAAGACTACTCGCAGGAAGATGAAGGAATCATTATCATAAATGTATGTGTGACTGTGACTTATATGTGCAATATGTATACACACATTGCATACATGTGGAATTGTGTCCGGAGGCCTGCTGTCTTTCTTGAAGTTGTGAAACTTAAACTCTAATTGACAGAAACCTCTCGCCGTCAACTCAGAGTCGACAGACCAATACAGACCATCGAATATCCTTTTTGGATGTTTAGATTTCCACCGCGAATCTAAAATCAAACGGTGGTGGGTGAAATAGTCCTGACCACGCCACTTGTCTGTTTGCATATGGTTGGGATGATTTTGGCGATGTCGACGTGACCAAGGCTCTTCTCCAGGGGGCTCAGGCAAAGCTGCCAAAGCGGGCTTGCAGTGGTTTGACCTTTTTTGACTTTGAACGAAGAAATGTTGAGTTTTTTTTGATCGAAATCATAAAAGATGGACTGGTTTCGAAAGAAATCTTTGCTACACTTCGCACAATATTTCGCAGAAAGATGTTTGGTAGCATCGGTAGTTGCATTGCTACCATAAGAAACTGCCGTCGCAGGTTGCGTGGCAAGAGAATGGCATTTGCAGGGTTTCCATGATGTTCCACGAATCATTCGCTCGTTGTAGGTGCTGGGTATCCTCCCAACTATGGGCATGGCTACCCGCCTGGTGGCCCTCCTGGCCTTGGCCTTAGTGTTGATCCACACTTTCAAGAGAGAAAAGAAAATTACTTTACTTCGAGTCATCCCCACCATGACATTTATACGTTTTGTTACTGGCAAATCTTCTGGCATTCTATCTGACATATCTTCTGGCATTCGATCTGGCATTCTATCTGGCATATCTTCTAGCATATTATCTGGCATATCTTCTGGCATATGTTCTAGCATATCTTCTGGCATTCTATCTGGCATTCTATCTGGCATTCTATCTGGCATTCTATCGGCCATATCTTCTGGCATATCTTCTGACATCCTATCTGGCATTCTCTCTGGCAAATCTTCTGGCATTCTATCTGGCAAACATTCTGGCACTTTATCTGGCATATCTTCTGGCATTCTATCTGACATTTTATCTGGCATTCTATCTGGCATATCTTCTGGCATTCTGTCTGACATATCTTCTGGCATTCTATCTGGCATTCTATCTGGCATATCTTCTGGCGCACTGGGCTCGGAAGGTCCCAGGTTGAGGTCCAGCGGTGCGCACTGAGCTGGGCAGGTCCCAGGTTGAGGTCCAGCGGTGCGCACTGAGCTGGGCAGGTCCCAGGTTGAGGTCCAGCGGTGCGCACTGAGCTGGGAAGGTCCCAGGTTGAGGTCCAGCAGTGCGCACTGAGCTCGGAAGTTGGCGAAGAGCTTGGCGAAGAGCTTGGCGAAGAGTTGGCAAGGCAACAGTGGACATGGAAGTGGAGGCAGAGGTGGTTGAAGAGGAGGAGGACGCGGAGGAGGAGAAGGAGGAGGAGGAAGGAGGAGGAGGAAGGAGGAGAAGAACAACTCTGATAAAATCTAACAACCTTCACCTGGCAGGTGGGGAAAAACGACAAACATTCGTCACAAATTCTTCAAAAATTGCCAGGGCGTAGGAGAACTTAGGACTTAGGAAGCCTTAGCCGATCATTTCTTGACAATTCCATCAAATTCCTGCATACCAATGTGCCAACAGAAACAACGAACACCGCTCCAGGTTATGGTGGTTTTGGCCCAGCACCAGGGCCTTACGGTGTCCAGGACGGGATGAGAGGAAGCTGATTAGACTGTACAACGCCTTCTGACAGTTCAATACTATTAGAAGTGAATAGAATCGAATAGAAATGATATTGATTATCAATGTTTATCATGTTCATCATGATTCATCATGTCATGGTGTGCATTGATATGCATTGAATTGCATTGATATGCGCTACATTGATGACATTTGATGATGTGTAGAATTGGCTGCGGTGCTGTTCTTGTGCAGGGCTGTGGCGGCTATGGTTATCCACCGGCATATGGGCAGGGCTATGCACCGGGCTATGCACCAGGCACACCAGGCACACCAGGCTACGGTGCACCTGGTTACGGAGGCAAAGTCGGCGAAGTCCCTTCGGATTCTTCCGACTTGTAAACTTTGGATGTTAGGAAAGTGTAGGAAAGTCAAGGATCTACATTTTGAGGAGCAACTATGAACAACTACTGTACTCTTTTAAACTCTTTTATATTTTTTAATTAGTGGGATCCTTGACTTTGTGGAGAGCAAAAGAAAAACACGCTGATGAGCACATTGTGCTAAAGTGTAGCCGGAGCCTGCGCAGAGCTTGTTCCAAGATGTTTCATGTTTGATTGGCTGTGACGGTTATGACGGTTATGATTCATAATTGGTTGCTTGATGTTTTGGTTGTGCTGTTGGCTTTAGCAATTCCACTCCAACTTGGCTTTCCAGGCTACGGCGCCTACCCTCCTGTAGATTTCCGCTCTGTTGGGGTACCCAGACGCTGGCATTGGACGTCGAGAGCTTCGTCCACCTTTGGATCTCGTGGATTGCACGCTGTTCGAACTTGGAGATTGTGAAGAAAGTGAGAGCAAGAACTATGACATACTATGACATACTATGACTCTATACTATTTCATTCAAAAGCCAAAAACATGCAGAGAGAGAGAGGGAGAGAGAGAGAGACTTACACACACACACACACAAGAAAGTCGGTGCAAGTCATTGTGAGGCTCCCTACTGAGCGCAGCGCATGACTGTTGCGGAAAAAGACGCTGCATAACTTTGCAACATTGCAGGTGCTACGATGATCTATGATCTACATCAATGATCATCAGTGCATTATATGATCCTGGATGATCATCTATGATCTTCTATGATCCTGTTTGCAAGTCTATGCGAAGGAAGTTCGCCACAGTTTACTTTCACGCTTTATGTCGCTTGGGTATGACGGGCATGGCACAGTGCAGTGCATTCCTTGCCGCAAAGCTCAGAGTACCAAGTCGCACAAGTCGCAGGTTGTGAGAAGTTCTGCAGGAAATATCAGGAAATCACAACTTGAAATCTATTTGAAGAATTTCTGAACAATTCACTCTGCCCTGTGCAATTGCTGGGCTCAAGTATATTTTTGTTTTGAAGGTGCTGCAATGCTGCGCGCCGTCAGAAGTTCTTGGGCAGTTGTTAGTGAACTCTGTTTCTTTTTGAAGGGTTCTGTTTGCCAGATATTGATGTGGAGCAGTGACAGTACGCAACGAAGAGTGGATCAAAATGAAACGATAGGATTTAAAAGGACTCGCAAATTTCTTGCAGTTTTTTAGCTGTATTTCATTTTCACAATGTCAAGGTCTGGCTATGAGTACCATGATTGTCACCGTTATGGGACAGGACCGTCAGGAATTGATCTCGTTGATTTGGAAGCATGTCGCAGTGCATCCAGGGCCCACAGACTCAGACATGTGACTAACATGCTCAGGGTTTTTCGGAGCACATCGGACCTGGGAAATACATGCAAAATACATGGAAGATATGGACAGACCATGAAAGACCATTAGAATCATTAGAATCTATTTCCATCCCCAACTCAGCCTGTTGAGATCTGTTGAGATTTGTTGAGATCTGTAGGATTCCACTACGGAGCTGCTGGAAAGCAACACCACTGGGCCTGTGGAACCTCCAGTGCAGGGCTCGGTGGAATCTCTGGGATCAGAGAGGTCCACGAGCCGACAGAAGAAAAAAGATGAACAAAAAAAGAAAACAGATTTATGTAATTAGTATATTTATGTCACTTTCTTTTTCTTCTTTTTCTTTTTTCATATTTTTTTCTTTTTCTTTTTAGAAAAAGACTGTTCATGTCACTCATGTCTCTTAGTTTTATCCCAAAGATTGGATTTATATGAGTTAATCAATTTGGAAAAGGGAGTGCCATGATATGGCCAATGGCCATGTATACCATATTGTACAACTCCGGGACTTTCCGATCTCTTAGCCGCATTTGCTTCTAGGCCTTGCCACCGGTCTTCCCATGTGACAATCAAAGCATTCACCAGCATGCTGAAAGCGAGCACATGAGAGGCGGCAGGGTAGCTCAGCCGTCGAGCTGCCATCAAGATACGATATATGCGATGTCAAAGCACAATGGCTCGAATGACTTGATCACAATGAATCAGCGACAGTCAGTAAATGTCAAGTAAATGTCCCTAAACTCTTGTTCTGTGTAATGTTGAAACTCCACAAGGTTGTGCTGATGGTGCCAAGTGCTACGCTGCACAGGACAGCATGTTGTGGCGGACGAGTGAAATTGATGAAAGAGCGGCCGCAGATTTATATAATTATATACGTTCACTGTTGCGCACAGGATGTCAGGAGTTGCCACAAGGAACTTACCACACTTTCGTATTTGTGATATTTGTGCAGTGTTAGTTGTGAAATCACACGAATCCTAAGGGTGTTATACAGTTTACGACCATACATTCCTTGACTTGCCAGTTTGTACAAACCATTTTGGTTGTTACCGACTTGTTTTGGCTCAAGCACTGTTAAAAGGGCGCTGCCTTGTGCTTGGGTACATCTTGACTAGTTCCCACGTAAGGCTGTATCGTGGTTTAACTAACTGGTTAACAGCCTCAGCTTCACATAAGCTAATTCCATAAACTTGTGGTTCCCAAAGCTTGAGCCCCTTTGGTTGCCACACCCCCGCCGCCTGTGGCACTAACTTTTCTAATAGACCCATAATCGAGTTGCAAAGGGTCTAGGATTGTTTGTTCCACAGACGTGTTAATCAGACCGGTCCAGGTCTCGCCAAGTGAAGAAAAGCCTAAGCTTCTTTGTGGAGGATTGCTTGGTGCAGGGCAGGGAGTTGCGATCCAGTGCAACACTGCCATTGAATAGTATCCGAATTCCATAACCCTAACTTCAAAAGAGGTAGCTCCTTGTAATTGTGTGTTCGCACGTTCAAGTGAGTGTTACATTCCGGGGTGTTTGCGATCCACTGCAACACCGGACCAAATTAGACCAATTCCATACTAGTTTGCTTGGTAGGTTAAACAACCAGTGCTCCTCGGACTTTCCTTAGGAATCTTTGAGTGTAGTCCCAAGCATAAAGAAGAGAAGATCCATAACGTCCAAGAAAGGTGGAACAAGTGCTTCATTTGTGCATATCAGGCTCAAAGAGTTCAACTCATTTGACCGCACCTGTTCCATATCGCCATTGACTAGTGCTCGGTGCCCGTTGATGCAAAGGGATCGCACTCCTAGAAAGGGTGCGCAGCTTGTCAGCCGCTTCGAGAAAGTTCGCAGAGAAAAGAGAGGCGGGAGAGTGTTCAAGCGCAGGTACAAGAGTATTTGTCTGCAGGTGCTTGACAATACTTCATTGGCCTTCTTGAGTTCGTGGTGTACCACGACCAGTTTGATCCTCGTGATAGGAGGAATCAGATTGTTCTCAGGCGCCTTCGACAGGCTGAGGAGCAGCATCAACTGTGCAAGCGTGACATCCTGCCATTGAGGGATAGGCCTTTGCTGCCCAGACTGCCTCGACATCCATATCAGCCGTTTTTTGCCGAGGTTCAGACCGATTCAGAATTTGCAGAGACTGTTTGGATTTCGTCCGAATAGGAAGAGGAAGACGTTCCATCGGGTATTTGGGCAGACCCAGCTTCGATTGCTCGTCCATCATCGGCTAGTCTTGGAGCTGTATCTAAGGCCAGACCTGCGATTTGACCAGCTGTGCCCAAAGCCAATCCTGTGGTACTTAGACCAGCTGTGCCTAAAGCCAATCCTGTGGTACTTCGACCGTCAACAGCAGCGGCATCAGGGCCATCGGCGTCATCAGGGTCAACAGGCCGTGGAAGAACCACTCCACGACCAGTGTGGGAGGCTTGGGATCAGGCTTTTGCTGGAACTGTGATCACACCATCGGAGCCAAGAGTGAAGTTCAGTGGACAGGTAATTGTGAGTTTGGACTGGCATCAAGTTTTGGACATCAAGCGTCATTCTCGAGGAACTGACCGTCCATCGCCTCCATACACATTGTTACCTGAGTACGAGCGGCTCATTCGAGGTTTGAAAGATCGTGGTGTGGCAGTTCTGGTTTGCTCTTACACCTGTAGTCCCGTGTACCGAGATCAAGTCCAGAGCCTGTCGTGGAAGTATCCAGATTTGTTTGGCCACATCGATCATCATTACCACCGAGAAGCGTGGTCGTGCAGGTGGGAAACTGTCAGCACTTCACGGCTCTTGCCACTTGGTGCATTTCGACGATTCAGACGAGGTGTTAGACGAGCTGGAACGGTATCGGGAGTATCGTGGCTGGCCGGTTGGACATCCGGTTGGGATCACTGCTGTAGGGATCAAGGTGCCTCGCAAGCCACAGTGCCAAGGACCTCGATATTTCAAGAATCTTGGTGACGCACTGGCTCAGTTGGACACGGATCACCTCAGTAGACGATTGGCAGAGTTCATCCTTACCCGACGCACAGTCTAATCTCGTGGTGAGTTGCGATCCAGTGCAACGCCACATTGAGGGGTGAGTTTCTTGGATCCTCCGCCTAAGGGTGAAAAAGAAAGGCCAGGGATTTGCCTCGAACCTTGTAAATTTCCTATTGGTTTGGGCCTTGCCAATAGACCCCCCAAGTCTGGGAAAATCGCGTTATTTCCTGCGTTTTGGCCAAAATGTTTGGTACTTGCTAGGGTCCGTTTGGTGGGCCCGCTCACACAGGAAATTTGGTCCTCGAACCAAAGTTTACAAATCAATTCAAAAGTGGTTGTCATTTTGGTGAACCCCAATTTATTTGGAGTGCAATTTTTGCCAGCGTTCTCATTTGACAATGCCGCCAGTATCATCAGTATTGGGTTCAATGGAGCCTTCAGCCAATGACTCAGCGGAATCATCTCTTCAAATATCGCTCCAAATATCTAGCAGTTCACCGGATGGGATTCCATCTAGGGCATTGCAGGTACAAGTAGCATCAGCAATTCAATCGGAATCCAGCGCTAGTTCACAAACTCCGAGTCATGCTGAGCCACTTAGAAGGAACCGTTCCAGGATGTTCCAGGTCAAGGGATAGTCCATATGAAGGGGGTTCCCAGCAGCTTGTCTCGTCCAGGAGTCAAAGTGGAAGCCGTGCAGAATCGCCATTGTCCAGTCATCGAGGTCCAGGTTCATTGACAGCCTTGGAAGATAGACAGGGTAGTGGGGGAGGATTGCCACCAACTGGTCAACCCGTAACACTTGTAAGACAACAGGATCAAAGATCGGTTGTTCGTAACAGGCATCAGCATGTGCAGGCACAGGACCAAAGGTCAGTTCATCAACATGTGCACCAACATGCTTATGATCAAAGATCGATGCCAGTTCAAGCAGGGATGGATCCGGTAGCAGTTATCCAACATGTCCAGGGAGTTGAAAGACATGATCATGCGGCCATCCATGAAGCTCACTCGGAAGTGACTAGCACCCAAAGGTTGGCTGATCAGGCTGTTCAGAACATTGTCCAAGAGGCAAGAACCCACGTTTCTGAAGTCCAAGCTCAGGCACAGGTTCAGGTTCAGTCAGTTGAGACCAGAGCCCAAGCCATTGTGAGTGACATGGAAACAAATTATCAAAGGGAAATTGCTCAAATTCAAGACATTGCTCAAAGAGCATATGAGGATTCGCAACATCGATTGTCGCAAATGGAGGATCGCAATCGTGAACTTCTTGCAATCATTGAATCACAATCCCAAGCGCTGGAGTCACAAAGGGACGAACAGCGAAATCTCATGAACCAAGTGGGATCCCTTCAGAGTGAAATCACAATGCTTAGGCATTCGTCGGCCCAGTATGATGTACCGTTTCAAGACCAAAATGGCACGGTTGATGTTTCAGGGTTGATGCAAATGATGAATTCACTCAAGGATGAAATCAAGGTTTTGAGGGGTAGACATACACGTAAGAAGAAACATGAGAGCTATGTTGATAGCAGGGTTGCAGCGTCACCAGAATATGCTCAATCAGCTTGTGCAGTGCAGGATATCCACCGTCTCAGGATCCTAGTCCAGCACATTCGATGCACTCGCGTCGTTCGAAAGAGCCCCAAAAGCCAAATGCTGCACCACAGATGTTTTCGCTTTCAACATGTAGTTACTTGGGGAATGCTTCAACAATTGAATTGCCAGGAAGTTCAACCCAAAAGGGACTCGATCCGCCACCTGATGACTCATCCTCGTCATCTTCATCGTCCAGTGATCGGGACCACCTCCTAATGACAGTCCAGCATCGTCCGGACTTGGGAGATTGAGAGGAGATCGAATCAATCCTTCAATTGGTGTAGGGTCAGCGGTAATCTTTGATGAGTCAGTGATTTATAAAGCAACGGATTTGAGTTTGATCAAAATAGAAACCATTCCAGTTGATGCAGCTCAATATCGTGGATGGAAGAACGATTTCCTGACAAAGGCATCATCCGTTGCTGCAGGCGTTTTCTCCAGAAGTAACGAGAGAAATGTTGATTCTGACGTCAGCTGAAATGCCGAGATTGGATGCTCATCTTGCAAGTGTTTTGATGGAGGCCAAGCACCTCAAAGGGGAGTTGGGCTTACAGTTTCAAGCTTACACGGAATCTGAGCAGATGAGAGGAAGGGCTCCTTTGGGAAGAGTGTTGTTGAACATGATTGCAAGACGCTTTTTCCTTGACCAAAGTCGTGGTGCCAATCTCACTCAGCAAAGTTTGCTTGAACCTGAAATCACTCAATATACACCTGAAGGACTGAGTAGCTTTGTTGATCGGGTAGAGTATGTGCTGAATTCGATTCCACCGGAGTTGCAGCCATCAGAAATGACTCGTTACACTTGGCTATACTCACGTATGCGTAAGGTAAGAGTGATGCAAAGACACATTGACAAGATCCGTGATTCCAGAGTCGGTTCTCGCTGCCGTACCTATGACTGGCTTTTCGGAAAGCTCAAGACGTGCATCAATGAGATGAAGGAAGACCAGAACGAAGAGGCAGTGCGCAGTTCGCTTCAGAAACGACTCAAAGACAAGGACAAGGACAACAAGCCAAAGCCAAAGGCCGCGGCTGCAATGACAAAGTCGGAAGGTACACAAGAGGAGTCCAAAGGACTTCCAAACCCGAAGGCCAAGGCAAAGCCAAAAGCCACTCAGCCTAATCCAAAGGAGAAAGGTTCTGGGGAAAAGGGTAAGGGTAAGAAGGATAATAAAGGCAAGGGTCCGGGTCAAGGAGAGAAGACAAAGTCGAATCCCAAGCCAAAGGCTGATCCGAAGCCAGACAAAACTCGTGTGGATTGTTTGTTCTGGGGAAAAGGTTCGTGTAACCGCGGAGATGCATGCCCATTTTTCCATGACCCAGCCAAGAAGGCAGCGGCAAAGCCAAAACCTTCACCTTCGCAGCCATCTGCCTCAACCGTTAGAGCTGCTGTGGCCACCATAGCTTCGGTTGGGAATTTGGCACCATCGAGTGCGTGTTCCGTTGCATCCAAAGGGTCAACTTCTTCCATGGGAAAATCCTTGATTGGGAGGTTCATGCATTTCGTTGCCACTTGTGTATCAATGCTCACTGGTGCCCATACGCCCCAGGGGTTTGCCTCCGTGGCAACACTGTTGGCAGCACCAGCCGTTGTCCATCAACATAATCATGGAAATGCAATGAGTGCCAAAGTAGCTGATCAGTACTCATTTGAATGGATTGCAGACTCTGGAGCAGGCCGTGACCTCACATCGCATCGTGCTTTGATCGAGCAGGGTGTTCCAAATGCTGTGATTCAGAAACAAACTCAATCCGTAAGTCCAATCAATTTGAAAGCGGAAATGGCACAGTAGTGAGTGATTCTTGCACTCGTTTTCAGGTCATGGACGACTGTCCCATGGTTCGGTCACTTGGTAAACTTGTGGAGCAGGGTCATCCCTTCATTTGGTGCCCAGGTGAATTGCCGTTCTTTGGTAAGAGTGCAGGCTCCATTCAGTTGACACACAACTCGGATATCATTCGTGCCCAGCGAGTAGAGGATAGTGTTCCCATCTTCACTGAGACATTCAACATGTCGTCAGCATACGCATTGCCAGGTGCCGCAGGAGAAGATGTTGAGCACTCCGCTCCAGCCGTGGTTCCGGAAGCTCGAGAAGAACGTGTCAGGGAAGAGGGGGGTTCATCCGATGCAGATTCTGAAGGGGAGATGCCAGTAGATCGGTTGAGACGCCTCGTAGCTGAAGCTAATTCCTTAGAGCATAAGTTGTGTCATTACCCAAAGAATCCTCATTGTCCAGTGTGCCAAAGATCGAGAATGTACAGAAAGAAAGTTCGCAGGTTCAGACATGATGCGCTCACAGATCGTGGCATGTTACCCGCGGTAACCCAATTTGGAGAAAGGATCGCAACAGACTTCGTGATCGTTCAGAAGTTGAGTTCAGGTAAAGAACATGTGGTTCAGGTCGTACGTGATGAGTTTTCGGGATGGATCAGGGCATATCCTTTGAACAAGCGAGACACCTCATCCGTGGTAGGCAACATACTGTCGTTTCTCGGGCCATCCCACGACCAACCCTCCATAATGGTAAAATCCGATCAAGCCGTTGAAGTTAGAGCAGCATGCAAGCAGCTTGGGTGTCATTTTGAAGGCACCCTTGAGAATAGGTTCCCACACAACAGTGTCCTTGAACGGGACATCAGAACCGTGCAAGAAATTGCCAGGGCTTGTCACTTGCAAGCTGGGTTCGATCTTGTAGGCGGTTTGTGGGTCCATTCAGTTGACTATGCAGCCACCATGCTGACAGCATTTCAATGTGCGTCCGGAAAAGACCAAACAAGACATCAGCTTGCTACAGGTAAAGAGTTTTCTGGTAGAAAGTTGCTTCTAGGACAGCTTGTGCACTACCATGTGCCGGCAGCTCAGAGAGGCAAATTTGATCCATCCTCGAAGCCTGGTTTGTTTGCTGGTTGGCGATATGACGCAGGTCCGTTGTCACACAAAGATGTGTACTATGTCTTGGATTATGGTAAGTTGAAGCAATCTCGGTGCCTGCTGAGGACTCTATGTTGAGGAGAAAGAGCCTTTGCTTCCGTTGAAGCGTGCAGCGGATTTGGCATTGGCCAACTTCAGTGAAGCAACCTTGGATGACATTCCGCCTCTTGACATACCTTTTTCAGACGTAGCCATCGAAGGAAAAGTAAAGAGAAGTGAGTACATCACCCTTGATCGCATCATGCGTTTCGGAGCAACAGAGGGTTGTCGTGCATGTAGGTTTGAATCAACTTATAGTAAGCACACTCCCATTTGCCGCGCGCGATTCAATGGACTAATCAGGGCAGATCGCATTGCATCATCGAGAGCAGATGGGTCAAAGACTCCAGTTCCAGTGCCAGAGACGCCAGCACCCGAAAGCCCCAGAGATTGTTGAAGAATTTGCAGGTGTTCCAGAAGAGGAGCTTCCGTTCAGTGCTGGAATTGCCCCGGATCGTGCGGCCATTGTGAAAGTCCTTGAAATAGATGATGTGTTTGTTGAAACTTGTAGGATGAGAAATCGATTCCGAAGGTTACACCATCAAAAAGTGGAAAATGTGTTGTTTGAATTTGCATGTTCAAATGACTCCGTGCTGGGTAAAGTTGCAGAATCAATCAATGTGGATTGTATCCGTTTGAGTAGGGATATGCTGGATCTGACTGACCCAGAGCACCTTTCCCAAGCGTTGGGACAAGTCGACGCACTGCCGGGTTCAGATACTTGGGTGTCCATTGTGTGTACGTACCATAGCCCACTGCAACATCTCAATGAGTACCTTCATGGGGAAACATACAAACGAAAGTTGAAACAAAATCGAAAACAATCCATCAAGCTGTTGCGCAGTGCACAAAAGTTCATTGCCAAGGTTTGAGTCACGGTGGTCGTGCAGCCTTTGAACTACCAGCAGAGAATGAACTGTGGAAAGACCCAGAATGGATGAAGTTTGAAGCAGATCATTCAATGAAACGTGTGTTCTTTAACGGTTGTTCTTTCAACCTTCGTGGAAAGGGGGGTGAATTGATAAAGAAGCCGTGGGCTGTCAGCACTTCTGACATGCGACTCATACAAATCCTTGACCAGCACAAGTGTTCAGGCGACCACCAGTATGAACCAGCAATGGGTGGCAATGCAGCACACACAGCATACTACACACCAGAAATGGCATCAAAGATTCTCGAGGCCCTTTATCCGAATAAGTTTTACAGTTCCGTTCCATCAGTTCAGCATGGTTCAGCCTTTGTCACTTTGAACCTCAGCCGAAGCCAGTGGTTGAATGATGAGAGAGGAGTCCAAGCTGTACAGAAAGAAGCAGATGGCCTCAGAGCCACCGAAACTTGGAACGACGAAACGGTTGATACCCTTCAGAACTGGAAGACTTGGGCCCGGAATTCCAACATCAAGATTCATGTCGCGGACCTTTTAACCCTTTGCGGAATAAAGCACTTCGAGTTGGGACCTTCACAGTGGAAATATAAGGGCCGTGTCGTTTATAGAGGCGACAGAATCAGAGACACAGATGGACATGTAATTCTGTTCCAAGAAACAGCAACAAGTCCCACAGCGATAATCGCACTACAAATAGCCCTTTGGTACGGCTTGCTAGCCGATCACATTGTGACATGTAGTGACGCAGTTCAGGCATTTCTTCAGACATGGTTGGACAAGAACGATTTGACGCTCGTCATCCTGCCAGTTGAACTTTGGAAACCTGAATGGAAAGCTCGCTTTAGTGAATCCGCAAAGTTGGCAGTTCGGTTGCAGAAAAGCTTGTACGGCCACCCCATGGCCGGAAAGTGGTGGCAGCAGTTCCTCAACTCTTGTATTGTTTCTATAGGTGGGATAGAACTCCAAGAACATCCAAGTAATTTTGCGTTTCGTTGGAATCCTAGTAAACATGGCGGAGATGTAGATCATGAATATGTTTTGCTTCTCAATGTTTACGTAGATGATTTAACACTAAGTGGACATCGATGTTGCCATGAGTCATTTTGGAGAACCTTGTCTTCCAAGGTGAAACTGGATCCGTTTCAAGAGATCAACACAGAAGGACTCTTGATCTTGGGACGCAGACACTTCATTGAGAGAAGTCCATCTACCTCAAAGATCACATTCGACATGCGTACTTATTTTGATCAGGTTGTGAAGACGTACTGTGAGCTTACTGGAACAGAGGTCACAGCTTTGAAGAAAGTCAGCACTCCAAGCTATCCAGAGAACTCCGTGACAGATGAAGAGTTGAACCAACAAGGACAACTCAGTGGTTCAGCAGCCAGAGTTCTGATGAGAATCCTTTGGCTCTCCAGACTCGCTCGCCCAGATGTGAGTTTCATTGTGGGTCGTTTGGCAACACGTGTCGCACAGTGGTCGAAATTCGAAGACAGACAACTGTACAGATGCATTTGTTATCTTCACCACAGTCGAGACAAAGTTTTGGTAAGGCAAATCGACCATGCACACGAACAAGAAGCATCAATCGAGGTGTTTGCAGACAGTGACTTTGCCAGCCGTCCGTTCAGTGCTAAAAGCACGTCCGGAATCATGATAGTGATCAAAGCACGTCAGTTGTCGCTTCCGATTTACTGGAGCAGTCGAAAACAGACAAGTGTAGCTCGTAGCACGCCGGAGGTCGAGCTGATCGCTATGTCGTCTGCCATGTTCACGGAAGTCATCAACGTACAAACCATGCTGCAACAGCTATTGGAACGACCTATCAAAGTTAACTATCGTCAAGACAATCAAGCAGTAGTCGACATCGTCACTTCTGGTTACTCGGCCAAACTTCGCCATGCACCCAGAGTTCACCGTGTGAACGTGAGTTCAGTGAATGAGGTGCTTTCAGAAGGGTTTCTGCATTCAATTTGGTATACCCATACTGCAGAGCAGATTGCAAACGGCTTGGCCAAAGTCATTTCTCCAGCCGAGTGGCCTTCAATGCTTCAGCAATTGTGCATCCAAGACTTTGACGTAGATACAGAATCGTAGTTTCATTTGTTGTATAGCAACTTGCTTACAACTTGGAATCGCATCCAGGTCAGGAATGTCGCCCGAGGGGGGAGTTGTGAAATCACACGAATCCTAAGGGTGTTATACAGTTTACGACCATACATTCCTTGACTTGCCAGTTTGTACGACTTGTTTTGGCTCAAGCACTGTTAAAAGGGCGCTGCCTTGTGCTTGGGTACATCTTGACTAGTTCCCACGTAAGGCTGTATCGTGGTTGAACTAACTGTGTTATCCGAGATCTGCGTACCCGTAGCAGCAGGACATTGACCATTGCGGAGCCGACACCTACTGTTGCGCTCCTGTCCAGGACTTACAGCTCAACATGGCTCAAAACCTCAAACGATTCAAATCCTTCAAAGCTCTCAGCATCTCTCAGCATCTTTGAGTTCGCAACGGGTAGCTCTGGGTAGCCGCTAGCCATTGGCTGTAAGCTCAGGCGCCATAGGCGCCGCGGACAAAAACACCGCAAGAGGCATTCACACAATTTCACACAAATTCACAAGACTTCCCATGATGTCACAGAATTTGACACAATTTTACACAGTACTGATGCTGATACTATTTGATGTTGCTTAATGTTGTTTAATGTTGTTAAATGTTGCTTATTTTTCTAAAACAAATGCTTCAAGTGTTCCAATTGTTTCACCATCTTTCTGAATCAGAATTGACATGACCAAAAGTATCGGCTCCTGTGAGTCCACTGAGGTGGTCGGGAAATGCACCTCGGGTGCGACATGCTTTGCTACAGAAAGGACACGCCCCACATGATCCACATCGCAAAGTTCATACAAAAATCATACAAATCCATACAAATCCTACAAACATGTTAGTTAAACAGAGTTAAATCATGTCAAACGCTTGAAATTTCTTGAACATGTTTGTCAGACTGCACTTTTTGAGGATTTTCACGGTTTTGGAAGGTGGTTCTTGGCTGTATTAGCCAAAGTACCCAAGTCCCCCAACAGATGCTCATCCACTCTGTCGGACCTCCTTCATTGAAGAGTTGCATTCAATGAGTTGCACATGTGTAGCACATGCGTAGCACATGCGTAGCACATGCGTAGCACATGCGTAGCACATGCGTAGCACATGCGTAGCACATGCACAATGTTTTGGTATTCTAAAGCAGCCAAGCAGTGCAAGGATCGAGATGTGCGAACCATGGGCCTCCTGCTGTGCACCGATCGTTCGGACTTGCCTTTCGCCCTCCTGTAGTCAGGCCGAAACCTGGGAACTTGACGTCAAGCCGAGTCAAGCTGCTCGAATGATTTGAGTTGCAAAAACAACAGATGACAAGATACAATGGCAAATGCTATGCTTAGAGATCTTAGAGATTTCGGAGCAAAGCTTGTTTTTCCGGAGTCAAGTAGTATCAGTCAAGGGTAAAAGCCTGACCTGGTGGACAGTTGCCATGAGACTAAGGCGGACGCACAAACTGGTCTTGAGACCAAGAATGCTATATATGTATATAGTATATATGTATATATATGTGTATATATATATATGTATATAAATGTGTATATAATATATATATATATGTATATATATATGTATATATATATATATGTGTGTATCTATGTATATATGTATATATGTATATATAGATATGTATATTCACAGAGTGACTAGTAGCAAGCTTCAGATGAAGTCAATCCCTGGTTTACCAAGCTGATGAAGGATGTCCCTGAATCCAGTTGTATTAAAATGTCCCTGACCTAAGAGATGATGATGAACACCGCGCTGCAGTTAACAAAGGATGCCGCTCCTTTTCCAATGGCTCTCGAAGCGCGAAATCCCTACCCTCCAACTGGCTGACACTGAGCCTCCCCTCGGCTGCGAAGGGCAAAGTTCCTTCTGGCTTCGCATGGAACATTGGAACATCTTGAACGGGCTAAATTTGAGATTCCCAAAACTTCTTTTGTTTGTTCAAGATGTTATGCAGTCCACTTGGCAAAACACAGCTGGTCTTCACCGGATTCACTTTCCCAGATTTCTGCTTTTTCAAGGTTTTACAAGACAGGCCAAAAATAAAATTTTGATACCCACTTCTTCACCGGATTATGGACGTCTCGGCTTTTCCAGAAGTGACGAAACTAAAGTTGAGTTATTTCCCCTGACTGGAATCGGTGGACATGTGTCGCAGCCACTGCAGTTTCGCTCAGGAATCAGAGTGTGCTCGGAGGATCTGAGATTCACCATGGAGGCTATACCTCCCAAGGGCCATACATTCTCGCAGAGCACAGGCATCCATTACCTTCGTGAGTGTACCCGCCAGTTGTGCCTGGCTTGGAACCCATCGAATCGTGATGCCGTTATCAAGGTGTTCTTTGATCAACCTTGCTCGCAACTGAGTTCTAAACTCTTGACAACTTGGAGGTGCATGGCGGCTGATGAGATCATAGAGTGATTTGCAGTCCGTGGTTATTATATATCTTTATGTTGTGTGATGGTAGTTGAAGGTGTCTGGGAAATATTGACTGGTGGTTTTGGTGTCTGTGTCTCCTCTTCGGGTGGTATTGCTGCGAAGGCCGGTGGGAGTTTCAGCAGTGTCTCATCTGCTTGTGCCATTGGCATTTGCCATCTCGCAACCAGGCCCAAAACAGACGGATCCATGACAAAACATCGACTGCCCCAGCTAGTGACATTGCCTCGGCCGACAGCGTGCTCACAACAACTCTCTGGATTTTCTTTGAGTGCCATACTATTGGGTTGACTGCGCTACTTTTGTTGTCCCCAATATCTTTATGACATGCCAGTATTAACATTCCTTGATGAGAGTCTGGATTTTTCTCTGAGGCAAACGACGCATCGAAAAAGGCCACAAAACGCAAGTGCTCTAAGGGAATCGGTTGGATCTTCACAGTAACGTCCGCAAACATCTTGGCTTCATGGAGGATCTTATTGGCTTCCAACAGAGCTCCTACAGTTGCTTTTTTGATGTTTGTTTGTAACCATCCCAAACGGCTTGCTAAGTCTGGCCTAGTGTTGATGGTGGCGTATTGAAGTGATCCAATCAGTGCTCTCAGACTCTGTCTCTCACCCTCAGTCACTGCATCATGTGGTGTGGATCTGCGTTCTTTGTTCACTGAGATAGGATTTACTTCTTTGACACATTTTTCCTGACTGACCCAGATTGAGTTGTCGGCTTTTTGGGACATGTTTCAACCTGTGAACACAAATTCCCTGCTCTTTTTGCTTCCAAAAAGATATTTGGCCTCAAGTTGGGCTAACTTGGCATGGAACCGTGGTGAACCACAACACAGTCCACCGTCAACATGGACGCCAATCAATCCTTCGGCTCGCTGATTTTCATCCCTAAGGACAAACAGGCAAGGGTCAAATGGTGCAGATTCAAAACCCAAACTCTCCAGACTTTGCTTGAGCTCACGAAACCATGGTGCATCTACTCTCCCATATGCCCCTTTGAGTAGCTGTGCGATTTCATTTGGCTTTAGATTCATGTTTGCTCTTAATTCTTCCGGAGGTTCAATTCCAAGTATCGTAGAGCTATTTTCAGAACCTCTGAGGAAAGCTGTCTTGATATCGAAGCTGCTGATATCATACCCGAGACTAGCGGCGTGCTGGAGTATCAACACACGGGACAGCTTTGTCATTGTCGGTGAGTCCCTCGGGATTTGATCTACCAGTGGATCTTCAAAGCCCAGCACCACCAATCGTGCTTTTGCTTTCAAGCGAGGTGCTTGGACTGGAGGTTTCGGCGACTGCAGTTTGGAGTCACCGGCAGATTCATTTGGTTCATTTCCCTCCTTCCAAAGTGAGGATCCAACGACATCGCATCACATTCTCTCGGGGAACTTTGTTTCGGAGGATTCGGCAAACAGTTTCTGTTGATAACCAGCTGTCTATCTCTTTGGCTTTGGCGGCTTCAAACAGTTTCCGGTCTTGTGGGTTCAAATTGGAAATTCTCACCTCACTGCGTTGTTTATTCGCTTCTGACACTAGGAAGGTCATTTCTTCAGGTCAGGTCTCCTCCTTCCAGTGGTCTGCATCTCTTTGGTTGATGTTCACCTCGAACCTGAATACCTGATCCTCTTGAAGGTGATAACATGGGAGTTCACCAAGATACAAACCATTTTCTTCATCGGAGGTCTCTGGTACGGGAACTTCCACTGGTGCATTTATGTCGGGGATTATTCTGGGGTTATGTAGTTGAGGATTACTGGAGTGAATTGATTGGACTTCTGGCTCAACGTCAGGTTGTTCAACTTGAGGTGATGTGATGGATGACGGTGGAGGTGGTTGCCCTGTGGTTGACCCACTGGCTTGGGTCGCTGGTATCCCCTCAGTGAGACGCGTGTTTGGCTCATGGGTCTCCGCTGGAACGCTGGCAGTTGGATCTTGCGCACTGGGAATGAGGTCATGATACTGAACACCCCCATGACTTGGGAGTATGCTCTGGTTTCCTAGCATGGTGTTTGGCTCGCCCTGTGATGTCTTCTGGATTTCCTCCATTGCAGACAGGCTTCGAACATATTCTGGGGGAACTCGGTATAGCTTATGGTGTCTTGTAACCCATATGACATTTTGGTTCTCCTGAACAATCACTTGCATGGGGCCAATCCAATTTCCATCGGCTTGTCCCCTTTTCTTCCATATCATTACCCACTCACCCTTTTCATAGAAACCCCTGTTGGGACGACTACGCTGGACGATGGCTCTCCGGGGAGTTTGATCATTATCAACCTCAGCAAACGCTCGGCGTGCAGCTTCCCTTGTGGCAAGGTCCTGTCTGAACCGCTGTCCGTCTGGCATGTTTGCCAGAGCTTGTGCATGGGCTGCTATGGTGGAGTCTGAAGTCACCGAACCTGGAACACGAATCCCTTGTCCAAAAACCAAGACCTCTGGTGGGTAGCCTCTGTATTTGCTCCACTGATTTTTGGTGCTTGTGGCATGGCTCAGGGCAATGGACACTTGGTCATAGTTCTGAATGGGGTTTTCATGAATCCATTTTGTTCAACATCAATTGCAAGATTCCACCATGTCTTTCCGTGTGTGCATTCTGCCAATGGGCTTCGGCTGCGCATGTTCTGCATCGAACACTGTGGCGCTGGAGAAATTGGCTGAATTCCTCGGAGTTCAGTTCAGTTCCCGAGTCAACACATAACAACCCAGGGGTCCAGCCCAGTTGAACCAACCATTGAGGAGAGCCTCGCATGCATGTTCAGTGGTGTGCGATGGGGCAACTACGGCTGTCTGAAACAGAGTGCTCTGGTCAAGGCAGTGGTACAAGAAGAATTGGTCTCCTTTGGAGTTTGTCCACATGACACCATCCATGGATACAATGTCCCCAAAATCGCATGGTTCATGGATTGCACTGGGTCGTGAGGCGACTGGCCCACGGATTTCCTGGCATGTTGAGCACCTAAGGTCACTCACGGCTTTGATGACGTGCTCAGGGCAGTTGAGCTGCTTGCAAGACTCTCTCAACTTGATGGACCCTGGATGTCCTAGGTTACGATGCAGTTTCAATAGCCAATTCTGTTCCTCGGATGACGGTTGTTGAAAAAGTGGACCATGTTTCTGGCTTGACAAGTCAATTACATGTGGTGTTATGGAGCTATCGGTGGTCAGTTGGGAACTTTTGGTCTCAGTACCAGTGGCTTGGAAGTTCCTTTGTGGGGAAATGTTGTTTTGGGATCTTGGAATTACCTTGTGTGTTGGTGCCATGCTCTCCGTCGGTTGGCCGCGGTCAGGGCGGTATCTTTTGGCATCAGGGACATTGGCGTCCTCTTTATTGTCCTCTGCAAGCAGGCGTTCGGCAGAAGCGGGAACTGACGGCCAGGCCGGTGCATGCACTGCTGCGCTGCGGCAAGTATTGTCATGCTAAGTCTGGCGGATACCCCTTTCTTTCTCAATCCTCGGTTTGATAGGCTTTCCCATGGTTCCCATTCATCAACATGTATATCTTCAACTTTGCGACGGATGCATATTTGCCTTCTCAGAGGACATATCGATCCGTACCCCGGCAGAGAACAAGGTGATGGACTTTGTGGTGGGGACACATCTCTTGAACCCTTTTCAACAGCTCACCTGAGTCAACCACTAAAGTGCCTACTCATGATGCCGTTTTGTCGGCCTGGCTCATGGCTATCTGCCAATTGATGCCTGTGTTTCATGACCAAAGCGTGCTTCAATGGCCAGCTTGCTTCCCAATCTACGCTTCTTGGTGGGGTGTTCATCAACATCTCCAACCAACACATGCTCATGGGGTTTTTGGTCATGAATCAGTATCTTGGCAATTTGTCTGGCAAA